GTAGGCAGCGAAATTATGTCAAACTGCTCGTGCGTATTTTAATAAGCTGCTGTCAGGCAAACCTAATTCCAAATCTATCTGGACTGCTATAAATCAAATAATTAGAAAAAAAACGCACATGTAATACAGCTGGACATTGCCAGATATCTGCTGATGACTTTAACAATCATTTTATATCATCTGTAGCGCTCAACACAGATGCTGATTACACTATCAGTGAGGAGCTTAAACACTTTTGTAATTCTGCTCACCGTGGTAGGACAGAGCTGATAATTCCGCTTCTCACTGTTCATGAAGTATATGTTAGCCTAAGATCTCTTAAACCGTCTTCAACAACTTCGTTTGATGATATTTCTAATAATGTATTGAAGATTTCAGCTCCAATAATTTCCGAAGTTTTAACCTATGTCTATAACCTCTGTATTGCCAAGCATTATTACCCGACACATTTTAAGCATGCTAAGGTTATACCACTACACAAAAAAGGTAGCATCCATGATGCTAATAACTACAGGCCAATTTCTATACTTTCTTCCCTCTCCAAGCCACTAGAAATACATATAAACAAATGCATTTCAAATTACCTAGAAAAGCTCAAGCTTTTCCATAGTAATCAGTCTGGGTTTAGAAAGTTTCATTCTTGTCACACTGCTCTGATTAAGATGAATGAAAACTGGCTTAAAAATATTAACAAAAACCTACTCTGTGGCTCGCTGTTTGTCGATTTCAGAAAAGCCTTTGATTCTATTGATCACACCATACTTATTAAAAAACTAATTCCATACAAATTCCACGACTTTACAGTTAAGTTACTTCACTCCTTTTTATCTAACCGATCTCAACGCGTGTTTCACCTTAATACCATCTCTTCACAGAAATATGTTAATATAGGGGTTCCACAGGGCTCAATCTTAGGTCCTTTACTTTTTTTCTTTTTTTCTTTATACATTAATGATCTTCCATTACATGTTGACGCTGGTCAGTGCGAGATGTTCGCTGATGATACTTCTTTGCATGTCTTTGCAGACAGTGCTGAGTCACTCAGTTACAAACTTCAAACATGTGCCAATCAGCTTGCTACTTGGACAAAATTTAACAAAATGAAACTTCACCCCGATAAAACCAAGTCAATGTTTATTACAACTCATCAGAAACGCCTTCGTCTTCCATCCACCGCATTAAACATTACTATAGACAATTCAAACATTGAACAGGTAGACAGTTACAAATTCCTAGGATTGTTTATAGATCACAACCTCACTTGGTCTGACCATATTCATTTTCTAAGAATGTCCTTATTAAAGACAACCTTTCAATTAGCAAGGATAAAAAACTTTCTCAACTATAGGAGCAGGCTGGTTTTTTATGAGGCTTTTATTCAATCCAGGTTGGATTATGCTTCTGTAGTGTGGAGCAGCAGCTTTATAACTAAGCAGCGTCCTTCTTTACAAAAAAGGGCTATAAAACTGGTTACTGGCTTGTCTAGTAGTCTGGATTCTTTTCTTACAACTAAAATACTTCCATTAAATAAAAAGATAATATATACTAAATCAATTTTCTTATATAAAATATTCCACGAAACAGCCCCCTCTTACTTATCAGATCTATTTTCTTTTAACATAAAATTAAATCGTCGTCTTAATTTACCATTCCCTTATTCAACCTTTTTCCAAAAGCATAGCTTCGCCTACTCTGGTTCTAATTTGTGGAACAATCTTCCTAATAAAATAAAGCTATCTAGATCTGAAAATATATTCAAATCTAAACTAAAACTAAAATTATTTAATGACCTAACTGACTCATTGTAACATTTCTCATTCATCTATTATATTCTCTTTTTTATCTCATTATGTATGATAGCTATGTACCATTGTTTCTTTATTCCACATTTTTAGTGCTATGTGTTACTGCTATGTGTTATTGAATTGTTTTATTTGTTTAAACGGCCAATGTGAAAAAAGGCCTTTGTGCCTACAATTGTAACCGTTGTTTGAATAAATTTGAATAAATTTGAAATTTGAACCCTCACCACACCAACCCCACCACACCAACCCCACCACACCAACCCCACCACACCAACCCTAAAACATGTGACACCACACCAACCTCACCACACCAGACCTCACCACACCAACCCTCACCACACCAACCCTCACCACACCAACCCTCACCACACCAACCCCCACCACACTAACCCTCACCACACCAACCTTACCACACCAACCCTCACCACACCAAACCTCACCACACCAACCCTCACCACACCAACCCTCACCACACCAACCCTCACCTCACCAACCCTCACCACACCAACCCCCACCACACCAACCCCCACCACACCAAACCTCACCACACCAACCCTCACCACACCAACCCTAACCACACCAACCACACCACACCAACCCTAAAACATGTGACACCACACCAACCCTCACCACACCAACCCCCACCACACTAACCCTCACCACACCAACCTTACCACACCAACCCCCACCACACTAACCCCCACCACACCAACCCTCACCACACCAAACCTCACCACACCAGACCTCACCACACCAACCCTCACCACACCAAACCTCACCACACCAACCCTCACCACACCAACCCTCACCACACCAACCCTCACCTCACCAACCCTCACCACACCAAACCTCACCACACCAACCCTCACCACACCAACCCTCACCTCACCAACCCTCACCACACCAAACCTCACCACACCAACCCTCACCACACCAACCCTAACCACACCAACCCTCACCACACCAACCCCACCACACCAACCCTCACCACACCAACCCTCACCACACCAACCCTCACCACACCAACCCTAAAACATGTGACACCACACCAACCCTCACCACACCAACCCCCACCACATTAACCCTCACCACACCAACCTTACCACACCAACCCCCACCACACTAACCCCCACCACACCAACCCTCACCACACCAAACCTCACCACACCAACCCTCACCACACCAACCCTCACCTCACCAACCCTCACCACACCAACCCTCACCACACCAACCCTCACCACACCAACCCCACCACACCAACCCTCACCACACCAACCCCACCACACCAACCCCACCACACCAACCCCACCACACCAACCCTCACCACACCAAACCTCACCACACCATTCCTCACCACACCAACCCTAACCACACCAACCACACCACACCAACCCTAAAACATGTGACACCACACCAACCCTCACCACACCAACCCCCACCACACTAACCCTCACCACACCAACCTTACCACACCAACCCCCACCACACTAACTCTCACCACACCAACCTTACCACACCAACCCTCACCACACCAACCCCCACCACACTAACCCTCACCACACCAACCTTACCACACCAACCCTCACCACACCAACCCCCACCACACTAACCCTCACCACACCAACCTTACCACACCAACCCTCACCACACCAACCCCCACCACACTAACCCTCACCACACCAACCCTCACCACACCAACCCTAACCACACCAACCACACCACACCAACCCTAAAACATGTGACACCACACCAACCCTCACCACACCAACCCCCACCACACTAACCCTCACCACACCAACCTTACCACACCAACCCTCACCACACCAACCCCCAACACACCAACCCTCACCACACCAACCCTCACCACACCAACCCTCACCACACCAACCCTCACCACACCAACCCTCACCACACCAACCCCCACCACACTAACCCTCACCACACCAACCTTACCACACCAACCCTCACCACACCAACCCTCACCACACCAACCCCACCACACCAACCCTCACCACCCCAACCCTCACCACCCCAACCCTCACCACACCAACCCTCACCACACCAACCCTCACCACACCAACGCCACCACACCAACCCCACCACACCAACCCTCACCACACCAACCCTCACCACACTAACCCTCACCACCCCAACCCTCACCACCCCAACCCCACCATACCAACCCTCACCACACCAACCCCCACCACACCAACGCCACCACACCAACTCCCACCACACAAACCCCCACCACACCAACCCACCACACTAACCCTCACCACACCAACGCCACCACACCAACGCCACCACACCAACCCCACCACACCAACCCCCACCACACAAATCCTCACCACACCAACGCCACCACACCAACCCTCACCACACCAACCCTCACCACACCAACCCTAAAACATGTGACACTACACCAACCCTCACCACACCAACCCTCACCACACCAACCCTCACCACCCCAACCCTCACCACACCAACCCTCACCACCCCAACCCTCACCACACCAACCCTCACCACACCAACCCTAAAACATGTGACGCCACACCAACCCTCACCACACTAACCCTCACCACACCAACCCTCACCACACCAACGCCACCACACCAACCCCACCACACCAACCCTCACCACACCAACCCTCACCACACTAACCCTCACCACCCCAACCCTCACCACCCCAACCCCACCATACCAACCCTAAAACATGTGACACTACACCAACCCTCACCACACTAACCCTCACCACACCAACCCCCACCACACCAACGCCACCACACCAACTCCCACCACACAAACCCCCACCACACCAACCCTCACCACACCAACGCCACCACACCAACCCTAAAACATGTGACACTACACCAACCCTCACCACACCAACCCTCACCACACCAACCCTCACCACACCAACCCTAAAACATGTGACACTACACCAACCCTCACCACACCAACCCTCACCACACCAACCCTAAAACATGTGACACTACACCAACCCTCACCACACCAACCCTCACCACACCAACCCTAAAACATGTGACACTACACCAACCCTCACAACACCAACCCTCACCACACCAACCCTCACCACACCAACCCTAAAACATGTGACACAACACCAACCCTCACCACACCAACCCTAAAACCTCTGGCAGACGATGAACATGGCGTCCATTTTGTTTCTTCCAGTCCTCCACCTCCAGACGGATGTAGCTGGCGCCACCTTCATGGCCGCGGGCAGCTCCGCCCCTGAGTTGGCCACGGCGGTCATCGGCGTCTTTATAGCCAAGGTGAGTGGACATAGGTGCTGGTGTCTTTATAGCCAAGGTGAGTGGACATAGGTGCTGGTGTCTTTATAGCAAAGATGAGTGGACATAGTCGGGTGCTGGGGGGGGGGGGGGGGGCTGCCGCACGTTTGCTGGTGGGGGGGGGCTGTCGCACGTTTGCTGGGGGGGGGGCTGTCGCACGTTTGCTGGTGGGGGGGGGCTGTCGCACGTTTGCTGGGGGGGGGGCTGTCGCACGTTTGCTGGTGGGGGGGCTGTCGCACGTTTGCTGGGGGGGGGGGCTGTCGCACGTTTGCTGGTGGGGGGGGGGCTGTCGCACGCTTGCTGGGGGGGGCAGTCGCACGTTTGCTGGTGGGGGGGGGCTGTCGCACGTTTGCTGGGGGGGGGCTGTCGCACGTTTGCTGGGGGGGGGGGCTGTCGCACGTTTGCTGGGAGGGGGAGGGGGGTCCTGTCGCACGTTTGCTGGGAGGGGGAGGGGGGTCCTGTCGCACATTTGCTGGGAGGGGGAGGGTTGTCCTGTCGCACGTTTGCTGGGAGGGGGGGGGGGGGGGTCCTGTCACTCGTGTGTCACATAGGTTGAGTATACATACTAATTAAAATAGTCTATAGCTATGCTAATGAGTAAGTGTGTGTCTATAGCTATGCTAATGAATTAGTGTGTGTCTATAGCTGTGCTAATGAGTTAGTGTGTGTCTATAGCTGTGCTAATGAGTTAGTGTGTGTCTATAGCTGTGCTAATGAGTTAGTGTGTGTCTATAGCAATGCTAATGAGTTAGTGTGTGTCTATAGCTATGCTAATGAGTTAGTGTGTGTCTATAGCTATGCTAATGAGTTAGTGTGTGTCTATAGCTGTGCTAATGAGTTAGTGTGTGTCTATAGCTGTGCTAATGAGTTAGTGTGAGTCTATAGCTGTGCTAATGAGTTAGTTATGCTAATGAGTTAGTGTGAAGTATCGATGTTGTATTTGGTGAGTAGATTGTGCGCGTGTTGGCCTACATCGTGATGTGTCACTTGGCACGTGATGTGTCACTTGGCACTGTTGTTCACCTGGTCAACCCCCCACACCCACCCCACACACACTCACACACAGAGCCAAACTTCAAGCGTGTGTGACGAATGGCTCGGGCTAACACTGGATTATCCTACTTGCCACACCCTATGGATTATAATAACTTTAATCTCATTGCGGATTATCCCTTTACCCTACGGATTATCACAATACCACCCCAGCCTCTGTACTCACTAACCTACCCCCCCCCCCCCCTCTCAATTTATCCCTTCTGCCCCCTCCCCTGCCGCCTGTCCCCCTCCCCTGCCGTCTGTCCCCCTCCCCTGCCGCCTGTCCCCCTCCCCTGCCGTCTGTCCCCCTCCCCTGCCGCCTGTCCCCCTCCCCTGCCGCCTGTCCCCCTCCCCCTCCCCTGCCGCCTGTCCCCCTCCCCCTCCCCTGCCGCCTGTCCCCCTCCCCTGCCCCCCTCCCCTGCCGTCTGTCCCCCTCCCCTGCCGTCTGTCCCCCTCCCCCTCCCCTGCCGCCTGTCCCCCTCCCCTGCCGCCTGTCCCCCTCCCCTGCCGTCTGTCCCCCTCCCCTGCCGTCTGTCCCCCTCCCCCTCCCCTGCCGCCTGTCCCCCTCCCCTGCCGTCTGTCCCCCTCCCCTGCCGCCTGTCCCCCTCCCCCTCCCCTGCCGCCTGTCCCCCTCCCCTGCCGTCTGTCCCCCTCCCCTGCCGTCTGTCCCCCTCCCCTGCCGCCTGTCCCCCTCCCCTGCCGCCTGTCCCCCTCCCCTACCGCCTGTCCCCCTCCCCTGCCGCCTGTCCCCCTCCCCTGCCGTCTGTCCCCCTCCCCTGCCGTCTGTCCCCCTCCCCTGCCGTCTGTCCCCCTCCCCCTCCCCTGCCGCCTGTCCCCCTCCCCCTCCCCTGCCGTCTGTCCCCCTCCCCTGCCGCCTGTCCCCCTCCCCTGCCGCCTGTCCCCCTCCCCTGCCGCCTGTCCCCCTCCCCTGCCGCCTGTCCCCCTCCCCTGCCGCCTGTCCCCCTCCCCTGCCGTCTGTCCCCCTCCCCTGCCGTCTGTCCCCCTCCCCTGCCGCCTGTCCCCCTCCCCTGCCGCCTGTCCCCCTCCCCCTCCCCTGCCGTCTGTCCCCCTCCCCTGCCGCCTGTCCCCCTCCCCTGCCGCCTGTCCCCCTCCCCTGCCGCCTGTCCCCCTCCCCTGCCGCCTGTCCCCCTCCCCTGCCGTCTGTCCCCCTCCCCTGCCGTCTGTCCCCCTCCCCTGCCGTCTGTCCCCCTCCCCCTCCCCTGCCGTCTGTCCCCCTCCCCTGCCGTCTGTCCCCCTCCCCCTCCCCTGCCGTCTGTCCCCCTCCCCCTCCCCTGCCGTCTGTCCCCCTCCCCTGCCGTCTGTCCCCCTCCCCTGCCGTCTGTCCCCCTCCCCTGCCGTCTGTCCCCCTCCCCCTCCCCTGCCGCCTGTCCCCCTCCCCTGCCGTCTGTCCCCCTCCCCTGCCGTCTGTCCCCCTCCCCCTCCCCTGCCGCCTGTCCCCCTCCCCCTCCCCTGCCGCCTGTCCCCCTCCCCTGCCGTCTGTCCCCCTCCCCCTCCCCTGCCGCCTGTCCCCCTCCCCCTCCCCTGCCGCCTGTCCCCCTCCCCTGCCGTCTGTCCCCCTCCCCTGCCGCCTGTCCCCCTCCCCCTCCCCTGCCGCCTGTCCCCCTCCCCTGCCGCCTGTCCCCCACCCCTGCCGCCTGTCCCCCTCCCCTGCCGTCTGTCCCCCTCCCCCTCCCCTGCCGCCTGTCCCCCACCCCTGCCGTCTGTCCCCCTCCCCCTCCCCTGCCGTCTGTCCCCCTCCCCCTCCCCTGCCGTCTGTCCCCCTCCCCCACCCCTGCCTCCTGTCCCCCTCCCCTGCCGTCTGTCCCCCTCCCCTGCCGCCTGTCCCCCTCCCCTGCCGTCTGTCCCCCTCCCCTGCCGCCTGTCCCCCTCCCCTGCCGCCTGTCCCCCACCCCTGCCGTCTGTCCCCCTCCCCCTCCCCTGCCGTCTGTCCCCCTCCCCCTCCCCTGCCGCCTGTCCCCCTCCCCTGCCGTCTGTCCCCCTCCCCTGCCGCCTGTCCCCCTCCCCTGCCGCCTGTCCCCCACCCCTGCCGTCTGTCCCCCTCCCCCTCCCCTGCCGTCTGTCCCCCTCCCCCTCCCCTGCCGTCTGTCCCCCTCCCCCACCCCTGCCGCCTGTCCCCCTCCCCTGCCGTCTGTCCCCCTCCCCTGCCGCCTGTCCCCCTCCCCTGCCGCCTGTCCCCCTCCCCTGCCGTCTGTCCCCCTCCCCCTCCCCTGCCGTCTGTCCCCCTCCCCTGCCGCCTGTCCCCCTCCCCTGCCGCCTGTCCCCCTCCCCTGCCGTCTGTCCCCCTCCCCCTCCCCTGCCGTCTGTCCCCCTCCCCTGCCGTCTGTCCCCCTCCCCTGCCGTCTGTCCCCCTCCCCTGCCGCCTGTCCCCCTCCCCCTCCCCTGCCGCCTGTCCCCCTCCCCTGCCGTCTGTCCCCCTCCCCTGCCGTCTGTCCCCCTCCCCTGCCGCCTGTCCCCCTCCCCTGCCGTCTGTCCCCCTCCCCCTCCCCTGCCGTCTGTCCCCCTCCCCTGCCGTCTGTCCCCCTCCCCTGCCGTCTGTCCCCCTCCCCTGCCGCCTGTCCCCCTCCCCTGCCGTCTGTCCCCCTCCCCTGCCGCCTGTCCCCCTCCCCTGCCGTCTGTCCCCCTCCCCTGCCGCCTGTCCCCCTCCCCTGCCGCCTGTCCCCCTCCCCTGCCGTCTGTCCCCCTCCCCTGCCGTCTGTCCCCCTCCCCTGTTGTCTGTCCCCACCCCTGCTTAGCGTGACCTTGTCAGTGTGTGTTGTGTCTAAAATACCGGCGGTGACCTTGTGTAAAGCACGTGGAAAGGACGTGTAAAGAAAGGACGTGTAAAGGACGAGGCAGGTTTAGAGACAAATGAAGTTGGAGGTCGTTACTCAATGGAGGAGGAGTATGGGGGAGGGGGGGGTAATGGCGTGGGAGGGGGAGACAGAAAAGACAGAGCTAAGAGCTTGTCTGGAATTATTGGATGGGGGATCTCTTTTGATACGATTATCTGGGACTGTAGAAACAGATACAACCCCCACCCCCCCCCACACCCACCGTCTCACCCACCTCCTCACCCACCGCCTCCCCACGTCGACGCTGCCATCAGATGATTCAGATGTCGCAGAATTGGCGAGACAATCTAAGACAAACTTGGAGCGTGGGTGAAATCTCGGGAGGGGAGGGTTGGGGGAGATGAAATCTTGATTAATCCCTGGATCCGCCAGCTGAGGACACGGACAGGACCTCTGTCCTCTGTGTCCTGTTGACCCCGTATCTCCCCCACCCCCACACCTACACAATGACCACATCGGTATTCCCCACACGGCCCCCACACGGCCCCCACACGGCCCCCACACGGCCCCCACACGGCCCCCACACGGCCCCCACACGGCCCCCACACGGCCCCCACACGGCCCCCACACGGCCCCCACACGGCCCCCACACGGCCCAGTTTGTCAACATGTCTGAGCTCCTTAAGCTCTGCCTGGCCACACGCATACAGTGGCCACACGCATACAGTGGCCACACGCATACAGTGGCCACACGCATACAGTCTTACCATTTAATCCAACCACCTAACCCAACCATTTAATCCAACCACTTAACCCAACCATCTAACCCAACCATCTAACCCAACCACCTAACCCAACCATCTAACCCAACCACCTAACCCAACCACCTAACCCATCTAACCCAACCATCTAACCCAACCACCTAACCCATCTAACCCAACCATCTAACCCAACCACCTAACCCAACCATCTAACCCAACCACCTAACCCAACCCCCTAACCCAACCATCTAACCCAACCACCTAACCCAACCATCTAACCCAACCACCTAACCCAACCAACTAACCCAACCACATAACCCAACCCCCTAACCCAACCATCTAACCCAACCACCTAACCCAACCATCTAACCCAACCACCTAACCCATCTAACCCAACCATCTAACCCAACCACCTAACCCATCTAACCCAACCATCTAACCCAACCATCTAACCCAACCATCTAACCCAACCACCTAACCCAACCATCTAACCCAACCATCTAACCCAACCACCTAACCCATCTAACCCAACCATCTAACCCAACCACCTAACCCAACCATCTAACCCAACCACCTAACCCAACCATCTAACCCAACCACCTAACCCAACCCCCTAACCCAACCATCTAACCCAACCACCTAACCCAACCACCTAACCCACCACCTAACCCAACCACCTAACCCACCACCTAACCCAACCACCTAACCCAACCATCTGACCCAACCACCTAACCCAACCACCTAACCCAACCATCTGACATCTACCATCTGACGTTTATCATCTAACATCTACCATATGACATGTACGCTCTGACATGACATCTAACATGTACCATCTGACATGACATCTAACATGTACCACCTGACATGACATCTGACATCTACCATCTGACATTACATCTGACATGTACGATCTGACATGACATCTGACATGACATCTGACATCTACCATCTGACATCTACCATCTGACATGACATCTACCATCTGACATCTACCATATGACATGACATCTACCATCTGACATGACATCTACCATCTGACATGACATCTACCCTCTTCCATCAGACATCTACCATCTGACATCTACCATCTGACATCTACCATCTGACATCTACCATCTGACATCTACCATCTGACATCTACCATCTAACATGTACCATCTGACATGTACCATCTGATGTCTGACATGTACCATCTGACATTTACCATCTGATGTCTGACATGTACCATCTGACATCTACCATCTGATGTCTGACATGTACCATCTGACATCTACCATCTGACATCTACCATCTACCATCTGACATGTACCATCTGACATGTACCATCTGACATGTACCATATGACATGTTCCATCTGATGTCTCAGGATGACGTAGGACTCAGCACTGTCGTCGGGTCGGCCATCTACAACGTCATGTTCGTCATTAGCGTCTGCGGCTTCGCTGCTGGAGTGGTAAGTGATGCTGTTGTATGCTGTTGTAGGCTGTTGCATGCTGTATGATGTTGTATGCTGTATGCTTTTGTATGCTGTAGCATTTATCCAGTGTATCAGTGATGCTGTAGCATTTACCCAGTGTATAAGTGATGCTGTTGTGTAAGCTGCAGTGTGTCTAACTAGCATACCCTAGCACCAGCCTGTGATTCAAGCACCACGTATTACCTCTACCAACACCGCGTAGGACCTCTAGGACCTCTACCACCATCGTGTGGGACCTATAGGACCTGTACCACCGCCGTGTGGGACCTCTAGGACCTCTACCAGCACCTCTAGACCTCATCTGTTTTGTCGCTCTGTGAGTGAGCCCGTGAGTCGAGCAGCTTGACTCGGCTTGACGCATGCGCACGTGTGTATTATGATATCCAGTAGCGGACCACCTTAATGTCAAAAAATTGATGTTGTAAGCTAAACACAATATAGCACCAGCGGTTTTATATATCAACAGCTGGTAAGTTTTTTAATTCGGCCAATCAATATTTATCGATCTTCTATCTGAGCCAGTCCTAAGGTACGTTGGTCTACCTGGATAATCCGCTCACGGCAATACAAACTTCACAGCGGGCTAGATTTATACCCCCCCCCCCCCCACCCTGGTCAGCTCTCGTGGAACGGCTTCTCTTTTAAAGTGCACCCAACCAATCGAAACGTTAAGGAAAAAATAATCCTGGTTAATTATTGGCTAGGTAAATATTGGTAGGGGAAATATTTTAAATAGCACTTTTTTTTTCAAGGGCAAATGTTGACTTCAAGGTCAGATGTTGAGTGATCTGGTGAGAATGTTGAAATGGTTGAAACAGTCTCATGCCTGTTTCGTGTAGGTCAGATGTTGAGTGCTCTAGTGAGAATGTTGAAATCGTTGAAACAGTCTCATGCCTGTTTCGTGTAGGTCAGATGTTGAGTGCTCTAGTGAGAATGTTGAAATCGTTGAAACAGTCTCATGCCTGTTTCTTGTATCCAGTACTTGGCCGAACCACATTTACAGGTTGTTAAATGAGTTGTGAGGCTTCATGTGATTTTCCTGTCAACTTTCAAATCAAATGTTCTTGCGATTCTCCTGTCTAGTCTTAAATCAAATGTTCTTGTTATTCTCCAGTCTAGTCTAGTCTTAAAACAAATATTCATGTTTAGTGCGTTGATTATCACACAGAAAATGTTGTGTGAATTTGCTACATTTACACTGCTACTATACGCTGAGAATGATGCGTATTGTTTTGATTGTAAAAACATTACTTCTGCTAACATAGGTGCCCGCAGGAGTTGTTCTACAGGGGTCAGACCCCCCCCCCCCCCTTGTCTAAATGTGCGTGCAGCCATAACCACCATCACGTACCGCTGGGAACCAAATATGGCTGAGGCCCACCTACCTATAAAAGCTGTCGTTCGATGCGAATTTAAGCCCGAGTGAGCTTCTAATATTTTTAATGTGATCGATATCGCCAGTGTACCCCCAACTGCTGTGCCCGGCTGAACATAAATCATTTATGTGACTCACTTTTAAAAACATTTCTCTTGCATATTGAATCATTTTTTTCTTCGTATGAATACAAAGGGGCTTGAAAGCAAGTATTTGATACCAACAAATATGTCTCAGTATCACTGTCTGTCTTTTTAATGTTAACAAGCTAAACTTTAAGGTTGTGTCACATATTTGATCGTCGTGTCACATCTGACGTATTTGATCGTCGTGTCGTCACATCTGACGTATTTGATCGTCGTGTCGTCACATCTGACGTATTTGATCGTCGTGTCGTCACATCTGACGTATTTGACGTGTAGTCGGGATGAACAGGTCGGAAGAACATCAGCTAGAAACGTCAGAATTTCAAATTATTCCATGGGAAAAAAATCGTTTAACAGACCAACATTTCAACGAGATTTAAGGGATCGATAGCAGATACAAGAAATCGATGAACACTTGTAAGGTTGTACGTGCTTCAGACTTCTTCAAATAAAGTAAAATCCAAATCATTTGAATCTTGATCTTTGGAGGAGAAACTTTTGTCAAATAAAGTAAAATCCAAATCATTTGAATCTTGATCTTTGGGGGAGAAACTTTTGTCAAATAAAGTATAATCCAAATCATTTGAATCTTGATCTTTGGAGGAGAAACTTTTGTCAAATAAAGTATAATCCAAATCATTTGAATCTTGATCTTTGGAGGAGAAACTTTTGTCAAATAAAGTAAAATCCAAATCATTTGAATCTTGATCTTTGGAGGAGAAACTTTTGTCAAATAAAGTAAAATCCAAATCATTTGAATCTTGATCTTTGGAGGAGAAACTTTTGTCAAATAAAGTAAAATCCAAATCATTTGAATCTTGATCTTTGGAGGAGAAACTTTTGTCAAATAAAGTAAAATCCAAATCATTTGAATCTTGATCTTTGGAGGAGAAACTTTTGTCAAATAAAGTAAAATCCAAATCATTTGAATCTTGATCTTTGGAGGAGAAACTTTTGTCAAATAAAGTAAAATCCAAATCATTTGAATCTTGATCTTTGGAGGAGAAACTTTTGTCAAATAAAGTAAAATCCAAATCATTTGAATCTTGATCTTTGGAGGAGAAACTTTTGTCAAATAAAGTAAAATCCAAATCATTTGAATCTTGATCTTTGGAGGAGAAACTTTTGTCAAATAAAGTAAAATCCAAATCATTTGAATCTTGATCTTTGGAGGAGAAACGTTTGTCAAAGTAAAATCCAAATCATTTGAATCTTGATCTTTGGAGGAGAAACTTTTGTCAAATAAAGTAAAATCCAAATCATTTGAATCTTGATCTTTGGAGGAGAAACTTTTGTCAAATAAAGTAAAATCCAAATCATTTGAATCTTGATCTTTGGAGGAGAAACTTTTGTCAAATAAAGTAAAATCCAAATCATTTGAATCTTGATCTTTGGAGGAGAAACTTTTGTCAAATAAAGTAAAATCCAAATCATTTGAATCTTGATCTTTGGGGGAGAAAACATTGAGACAGTGCAGCGTTGTCACGCAAACGTGCGGTCTGAATATCTAAGCAGTTTTTTGTGTTGTGTCTTCTAGTACGTCAGCGTTGAATATTCAGTGTATTCAGCCATTAGCGAATATTCAAGTGTATTAGAGATGTCAATCTAAACGTTGTTAACATTGATGGTCCAACAGAAACCACAGCTAATTCAAACGTCTTTTTAACACAGCTAAATCACACATCAGCTGACACAACTAAATCAAACATCTGTTGACACAGCTAAATCACACATCAGCTGATACAGCTAAATCACACATCAGCTGACACAGCTAAATCACACATCAGCTGACACAGCTAAATCACACATCAGCTGACACAGCTAAATCACACATCTGTTGACACAGCTAAATCACACATCAGCTGACACAGCTAAATCACACATCAGCTGACACAGCTAAATCACACATCTGTTGACACAGCTAAATCAAACATCTGTTGACACAGCTAAATCACACATCTGTTGACACAGCTAAATCACACATCTGCTGACACAGCTAAATCACACATTTCCTGACACAGCTAAATCACACATCAGCTGACACAGCTAAATCACACATCAGCTGACACAGCTAAATCACACATCTGTTGACACAGCTAAATCACACATCAGCTGACACAGCTAAATCACACATCAGCTGACACAGCTAAATCACACATCAGCTGACACAACTAAATCACACATCAGCTGACACAGCTAAATCAAACATCTGTTGACACAGCTAAATCACACATCAGCTGACACAGCTAAATCACACATCTGCTGTCTTGCCTGTAGGTCTTTGTGTGACAGGTCTGTGTGGGACCCCACACACATGTATGCTACATTGAGATTGTAATTATATTATTTTTACTATTGTAGGTTGTCCAGTTGAATTGGTGGCCATTGGTCAGAGATTGTATCGCCTACCTCATCAGTATAGTGGCTCTCATCCTGGTCATTGCTGATGAAGTTATAACATGGTGAGACTGTTATAACATGGTGAGACTGTTATAAGTTATAACATGGTGAGACTGTTAGAAGTTATAACATGGTGAGACTGTTAGAAGTTATAACATGGTGAGACTGTTATAACATGGTGAGACTGTTATAATTTATAACATGGTGAGACTGTTAGAAGTTATGACATGGTGAGACTGTTATAACATGGTGAGACTGTTATAAGTTATAACATGGTGAGACTGTTAGAAGTTATAACATGGTGAGACTGTTAGAAGTTATAACATGGTGAGACTGTTAGAAGTTATAACATGGTGAGACTGTTATAAGTTATAACATGGTGAGACTGTTAGAAGTTATAACATGGTGAGACTGTTAGAAGTTATAACATGGTGAGACTGTTAGAAGTTATAACATGGTGAGACTGTTAGAAGTTATAACATGGTGAGACTGTTAGAAGTTATAACATTGTGAGACTATTAGAAGTTATAACATGGTGAGACTGTTAGAAGTTATAACATGGTGAGACTGTTAGAAGTTATAACATGGTGAGACTGTTATAACATGGTGAGACTGTTATACGTTATAACATGGTGAGACTGTTATAACATGGTGAGACTGTTATACGTTATAACATGGTGAGACTGTTAGAAGTTATAACATGGTGAGACTGTTATAACATGGTGAGACTGTTATACGTTATAACATGGTGAGACTGTTAGAAGTTATAACATGGTGAGACTGTTATAACATGGTGAGACTGTTATACGTTATAATATGGTGAGACTGTTATAACATGGTGAGACTGTTAGAAGTTATAACATGGTGAGACTGTTATAAGTTATAACATGGTGAGACTGTTACAACATGGTGAGACTGTTATAAGTTATAACATGGTGAGACTGTTAGAAGTTATAACATGGTGAGACTGTTAGAAGTTATAACATGGTGAGACTGTTATAACATGGTGAGACTGTTATAATTTATAACATGGTGAGACTGTTAGAAGTTATGACATGGTGAGACTGTTATAACATGGTGAGACTGTTATAAGTTATAACATGGTGAGACTGTTAGAAGTTATAACATGGTGAGACTGTTAGAAGTTATAACATGGTGAGACTGTTAGAAGTTATAACATGGTGAGACTGTTATAAGTTATAACATGGTGAGACTGTTAGAAGTTATAACATGGTGAGACTGTTAGAAGTTATAACATGGTGAGACTGTTAGAAGTTATAACATGGTGAGACTGTTAGAAGTTATAACATGGTGAGACTGTTAGAAGTTATAACATTGTGAGACTATTAGAAGTTATAACATGGTGAGACTGTTAGAAGTTATAACATGGTGAGACTGTTAGAAGTTATAACATGGTGAGACTGTTATAACATGGTGAGACTGTTATACGTTATAACATGGTGAGACTGTTATAACATGGTGAGACTGTTATACGTTATAACATGGTGAGACTGTTAGAAGTTATAACATGGTGAGACTGTTATAACATGGTGAGACTGTTATACGTTATAACATGGTGAGACTGTTAGAAGTTATAACATGGTGAGACTGTTATAACATGGTGAGACTGTTATACGTTATAATATGGTGAGACTGTTATAACATGGTGAGACTGTTAGAAGTTATAACATGGTGAGACTGTTATAAGTTATAACATGGTGAGACTGTTACAACATGGTGAGACTGTTATAACATGGTGAGACTGTTAGAACATGGTGAGACTGTTATAACATGGTGAGACTGTTATAAGTTATAACATGGTGAGACTGTTATAAGTTATAACATGGTGAGACTGTTATAACATGGTGAGACTGTTATAACATGGTGAGACTGTTATAACATGGTGAGACTGTTATAACATGGTGAGACTGTTATAAGTTATAACATGGTGAGACTGTTATAAGTTATAACATGGTGAGACTGTTAGAAGTTATAACATGGTGAGACTGTTATAAGTTATAACATGGTGTGACTGTAAGAAGTTATAACATGGTGAGACTGTTATAAGTTATAACATGGTGAGACTGTTAGAAGTTATAACATGGTGAGACTGTTAGAAGTTATAACATGGTGAGACTGTTATAACATGGTGAGACTGTTATAATTTATAACATGGTGAGACTGTTAGAAGTTATGACATGGTGAGACTGTTATAACATGGTGAGACTGTTATAAGTTATAACATGGTGAGACTGTTAGAAGTTATAACATGGTGAGACTGTTAGAAGTTATAACATGGTGAGACTGTTATAACATGGTGAGACTGTTATAATTTATAACATGGTGAGACTGTTAGAAGTTATGACATGGTGAGACTGTTATAACATGGCGAGACTGTTATGAGTTATAACATGGTGAGACTGTTAGAAGTTATAACATGGTGAGACTGTTAGAAGTTATAACATGGTGAGACTGTTAGAAGTTATAACACGGTGAGACTGTTATAAGTTATAACATGGTGAGACTGTTAGAAGTTATAACATGGTGAGACTGTTATAACATGGTGAGACTGTTATAAGTTATAACATGGTGGGACTGTTATAACATGGTGAGACTGTTATACGTTATAACATGGTGAGACTGTTATAAGTTATAACATGGTGAGACTGTTAGAAGTTATAACATGTTGAGACTGTTATAACATGGTGAGACTGTTATAATTTATAACATGGTGAGACTGTTAGAAGTTATAACATGGTGAGACTGTTATAACATGGTGAGACTGTTATACGTTATAACATGGTGAGACTGTTAGAAGTTATAACATGGTGAGACTGTTATAACATGGTGAGACTGTTATACGTTATAATATGGTGAGACTGTTATAACATGGTGAGACTGTTAGAAGTTATAACATGGTGAGACTGTTATAAGTTATAACATGGTGAGACTGTTACAACATGGTGAGACTGTTATAACATGGTGAGACTGTTAGAACATGGTGAGACTGTTATAACATGGTGAGACTGTTATAAGTTATAACATGGTGAGACTGTTATAAGTTATAACATGGTGAGACTGTTATAACATGGTGAGACTGTTATAACATGGTGAGACTGTTATAACATGGTGAGACTGTTATAACATGGTGAGACTGTTATAAGTTATAACATGGTGAGACTGTTATAAGTTATAACATGGTGAGACTGTTAGAAGTTATAACATGGTGAGACTGTTATAAGTTATAACATGGTGTGACTGTAAGAAGTTATAACATGGTGAGACTGTTATAAGTTATAACATGGTGAGACTGTTAGAAGTTATAACATGGTGAGACTGTTAGAAGTTATAACATGGTGAGACTGTTATAACATGGTGAGACTGTTATAAGTTATAACATGGTGAGACTGTTAGAAGTTATAACATGTTGAGACTGTTATAACATGGTGAGACTGTTATAATTTATAACATGGTGAGACTGTTAGAAGTTATGACATGGTGAGACTGTTATAACATGGTGAGACTGTTATAAGTTATAACATGGTGAGACTGTTAGAAGTTATAACATGGTGAGACTGTTAGAAGTTATAACATGGTGAGACTGTTATAACATGGTGAGACTGTAATAATTTATAACATGGTGAGACTGTTAGAAGTTATGACATGGTGAGACTGTTATAACATGGTGAGACTGTTATAAGTTATAACATGGTGAGACTGTTAGAAGTTATAACATGGTGAGACTGTTAGAAGTTATAACATGGTGAGACTGTTAGAAGTTATAACATGGTGAGACTGTTATAAGTTATAACATGGTGAGACTGTTAGAAGTTATAACATGGTGAGACTGTTATAACATGGTGAGACTGTTATAAGTTATAACATGGTGGGACTGTTATAACATGGTGAGACTGTTATACGTTATAACATGGTGAGACTGTTATAAGTTATAACATGGTGAGACTGTTAGAAGTTATAACATGTTGAGACTGTTATAACATGGTGAGACTGTTACAATTTATAACATGGTGAGACTGTTAGAAGTTATGACATGGTGAGACTGTTATAACATGGTGAGACTGTTATAAGTTATAACATGGTGAGACTGTTAGAAGTTATAACATGGTGAGACTGTTAGAAGTTATAACATGGTGAGACTGTTATAACATGGTGAGACTGTTATAATTTATAACATGGTGAGACTGTTAGAAGTTATGACATGGTGAGACTGTTATAACATGGTGAGACTGTTATAAGTTATAACATGGTGAGACTGTTAGAAGTTATAACATGGTGAGACTGTTAGAAGTTATAACATGGTGAGACTGTTAGAAGTTATAACATGGTGAGACTGTTATAAGTTATAACATGGTGAGACTGTTATAAGTTATAACATGGTGAGACTGTTAGAAGTTATAACATGGTGAGACTGTTATAACATGGTGAGACTGTTATAAGTTATAACATGGTGAGACTGTTAGAAGTTATAACATGGTGAGACTGTTATACGTTATAACATGGTGAGACTGTTATAACATGGTGAGACTGTTATACGTTATAACATGGTGAGACTGTTAGAAGTTATAACATGGTGAGACTGTTATAACATGGTGAGACTGTTATACGTTATAACATGGTGAGACTGTTATAACATGGTGAGACTGTTATAAGTTATAACATGGTGAGACTGTTATAACATGGTGAGACTGTTAGAAGTTATAACATGGTGAGACTGTTAGAAGTTATAACATGGTGAGACTGTTATAACATGGTGAGACTGTTATACGTTATAACATGGTGAGACTGTTAGAAGTTATAACATGGTGAGACTGTTATAACATGATGAGACTGTTATACGTTATAACATGGTGAGACTGTTATAACATGGTGAGACTGTTAGAAGTTATAACATGGTGAGACTGTTATAAGTTATAACATGGCGAGACTGTTATAACATGGTGAGACTGTTATAACATGGTGAGACTGTTATAACATGGTGAGACTGTTATAACATGGTGAGACTGTTATAAGTTATAACATGGTGAGACTGTTAGAAGTTATAACATGGTGAGACTGTTAGAAGTTATAACATGGTGAGACTGTTATAAGTTATAACATGGTGTGACTGTAAGAAGTTATAACATGGTGAGACTGTTATAAGTTATAACATGGTGAGACTGTTAGAAGTTATAACATGGTGAGACTGTTAGAAGTTATAACATGGTGAGACTGTTAGAAGTTATAACATGGTGAGACTATTAGAAGTTATAACATGGTGAGACTGTTAGAAGTTATAACATGGTGAGACTGTTAGAAGTTATAACATGGTGAGACTGTTATAACATGGTGAGACTGTTATACGTTATAACATGGTGAGACTGTTATAACATGGTGAGACTGTTATACGTTATAACATGGTGAGACTGTTAGAAGTTATAACATGGTGAGACTGTTATAACATGGTGAGACTGTTATACGTTATAACATGGTGAGACTGTTAGAAGTTATAACATGGTGAGACTGTTATAACATGGTGAGACTGTTATACGTTATAATATGGTGAGACTGTTATAACATGGTGAGACTGTTAGAAGTTATAACATGGTGAGACTGTTATAAGTTATAACATGGTGAGACTGTTACAACATGGTGAGACTGTTATAACATGGTGAGACTGTTATAACATGGTGAGACTGTTATAACATGGTGAGACTGTTATAAGTTATAACATGGTGAGACTGTTATAAGTTATAACATGGTGAGACTGTTATAACATGGTGAGACTGTTATAACATGGTGAGACTGTTATAACATGGTGAGACTGTTATAACATGGTGAGACTGTTATAAGTTATAACATGGTGAGACTGTTATAAGTTATAACATGGTGAGACTGTTAGAAGTTATAACATGGTGAGACTGTTATAAGTTATAACATGGTGTGACTGTAAGAAGTTATAACATGGTGAGACTGTTAGAAGTTATAACATGGTGAGACTGTTAGAAGTTATAACATGGTGAGACTGTTAGAAGTTATAACATGGTGAGACTGTTAGAAGTTATAACATGGTGATACTGTTAGAAGTTATAACATGGTGAGACTGTTAGAAGTTATAACATGGTGAGACTATTAGAAGTTATAACATGGTGAGACTGTTAGAAGTTATAACATGGTGAGACTGTTAGAAGTTATAACATGGTGAGACTGTTATAACATGGTGAGACTGTTATACGTTATAACATGGTGAGACTGTTATAACATGGTGAGACTGTTATACGTTATAACATGGTGAGACTGTTAGAAGTTATAACATGGTGAGACTGTTATAACATGGTGAGACTGTTATACGTTATAACATGGTGAGACTGTTAGAAGTTATAACATGGTGAGACTGTTATAACATGGTGAGACTGTTATACGTTATAACATGGTGAGACTGTTATAAGTTATAACATGGTGAGACTGTTATAACATGGTGAGACTGTTATAACATGGTGAGACTGTTATAACATGGTGAGACTGTTATAACATGGTGAGACTGTTATAAGTTATAACATGGTGAGACTGTTATAAGTTATAACATGGTGAGACTGTTAGAAGTTATAACATGGTGAGACTGTTATAAGTTATAACATGGTGAGACTGTTAGAAGTTATAACATGGTGAGACTGTTAGAAGTTATAACATGGTGAGACTGTTAGAAGTTATAACATGGTGAGACTGTTAGAAGTTATAACATGGTGAGACTGTTAGAAGTTATAACATGGTGAGACTGTTAGAAGTTATAACATGGTGAGTCTATTAGAAGTTATAACATGGTGAGACTGTTAGAAGTTATAACATGGTGAGACTGTTAGAAGTTATAACATGGTGAGACTGTTATAACATGGTGAGACTGTTATACGTTATAACATGGTGAGACTGTTATAACATGGTGAGACTGTTATACGTTATAACATGGTGAGACTGTTAGAAGTTATAACATGGTGAGACTGTTATAACATGGTGAGACTGTTATACGTTATAACATGGTGAGACTGTTAGAAGTTATAACATGGTGAGACTGTTATAACATGGTGAGACTGTTATACGTTATAACATGGTGAGACTGTTATAACATGGTGAGACTGTTAGAAGTTATAACATGGTGAGACTGTTATAAGTTATAACATGGTGAGACTGTTACAACATGGTTAGACTGTTATAACATGGTGAGACTGTTATAACATGGTGAGACTGTTATAACATGGTGAGACTGTTATAACATGGTGAGACTGTTATAAGTTATAACATGGTGAGACTGTTATAAGTTATAACATGGTGAGACTGTTATAACATGGTGAGACTGTTAGAAGTTATAACATGGTAAGACTGTTCGGGTCCTTAGATGCAACTTGTTAGACTCAAGACTTCTATAGATGGACTAAGTTGTTAAACGCAACTTGTTAGACTTGTATAGTGCACCATCTGTTGTGTAACTATTCTACATTAAGACTGCAGTGAGGCATAAATTTGGCCAACTGTAAAGTATCAAATATTTTCTGTCTATGGTGTTTGACGTACTGTCGCTGGTTTTAAAGCCCTGTCTCTGGTGTTTGACGTCATGTCTCTGGTGTTTGACGTCCTGTCTCTGGTGTTTGACGTCCTGGTGTTTGACGTCCTGTCTCTGGTGTTTGACGTCCTGGTGTTTGACGTCCTGGTGTTTGACGTCCTGTCTCTGGTGTTTGACGTCCTGTCTCTGGTGTTTGACATCCTGGTGTTTGACGAACTGTCTCTGGTGTTTGACGTCATGTCTATGGTGTTTGACGTCTTGTCTCTGGTGTTTGACGTCCTGTCTCTGGTGTTTGACGTCCTGTCTCTGGTGTTTGACGTCATGTCTATGGTGTTTGACGTCCTGTCTCTGGTGTTTGACGTCCTGTCTCTCGTGTTTGACGTCCTGTCTCTGGTGTTTGACGTCCTGTCTCTGGTGTTTGACGTCCTGTCTCTCGTGTTTGACGTCCTGTCTCTCGTGTTTGACGTCCTGTCTCTGGTGTTTGACGTCCTGTCTCTCGTGTCTGACGTCCTGTCTCTGGTGTTTGACGTCATATATATGGTGTTTGACGAACTGTCTCTCGTGTTTGACGTCATGTCTCTGGTGTTTGACGTCCTGGTGTTTGACGAACTGTCTCTGGTGTTTGACGAACTGTCTCTGGTGTTTGACGTCCTGTCTCTGGTGTTTGACGTCCTGTCTCTGGTGTTTGACGTCCTGTCTCTGGTGTTTGACGTCCTTGTGTTTGATGTCCTGTCTCTGGTGTTTGACGTCCTGGTGTTTGACGTCCTGTCTCTGGTGTTTGACGTCCTGGTGTTTGACGTCCTGTCTCTGGTGTTTGTCCTGTCTCTGGTGTTTGACGTCCTGTCTCTGGTGTTTGACGTCCTGTCTCTGGTATGTAGACGTCCTGTCTCTGGTGTGTAGACGTCCTGTCTCTGGTGTTTGACGTCCTGTCTCTGGTGTGTAGACGTCCTGTCTCTGGTGTTTGACGTCCTGTCTCTGGTGTTTGACGTCCTGTCTCTGGTGTTTGACGTCCTGTCTCTGGTGTTTGACGTCCTGTCTCTGGTGTTTGACGTCCTGTCTCTGGTGTTTGACGTCCTTGTGTTTGATGTCCTGTCTCTGGTGTTTGACGTCCTGGTGTTTGACGTCCTGTCTCTGGTGTTTGACGTCCTGGTGTTTGACGTCCTGTCTCTGGTGTTTGACGTCCTGGTGTTTGACGTCCTGTCTCTGGTGTTTGACGTCCTGGTGTTTGACGTCCTGTCTCTGGTGTTTGACGTCCTGTCTCTGGTGTGTAGACGTCCTGTCTCTGGTGTGTAGACGTCCTGTCTCTGGTGTGTAGACGTCCTGTCTCTGGTGTTTGACGTCCTGGTGTTTGACGTCCTATCTCTGGTGTTTGACTGAAAGTTTTTAACTTGCAGGTACGAGTCCGTGATATTCCTGGTGCTCTATGCCCTGTACATCCTGTTCATGTTCTTCAACCAACGGCTGGAGAGGTACTGGGTGCCCAAGTTCTGGTGCTGCCCCCGGGAGGCCAGCTCCGTACCTGACCAGGTTGTCGTCCACTATGAGAAGATGCAGAATGGCGAGCCTCGGACACCTGAAGGTCTTTTCTCGTCCAATCATAGTTTTAAAACCTAGGCATGTTTTTAGGTTGTGTGATTGATTCAGCAACCAATGGAATCAATATTTCAACAGATGTATTTTTAAATAAAGGTCCCACAGAGACGACCCGGGTTATAATGGGCAAAGATGGCAGCTCGGCGTCTTTGGACTCCAGCAGTTCAGCAGATGAGTCAGCCACAGGTCAGTTCTACTGGACTACACACCGACATATTTTTTTACTGCTGTTCTACTGGACTACACTCCAACTGACATTTTTTACTGCTGTTCTACTGGACTACACACCGACATATTTTTTTACTGCTCAGTTCAACTGGTCTACACACTGAAATATTTTTTGCTGCTCAGTTTAACTCGGTCACCACTGGTCAATCTTATATTTGTCAGTAATTCGTATATCATATTTTCATTAACATAAAGCCACACAATTTTTAATCCCTACGAATTTAGCCCATGCAATAACTTTATCCTTCAAACTATGATTTATACTAACCCTATAATGGAGATGAATAAATATAAATAAATAAGTCTAGCTACCCAACAAGACCTACTTTGTCCTATTATTTTTTCTGAATGAGCTTAAATTCACACAACCCAACCTTATGAATCTGTTGATTCATCTGTCTACTAATAATTTCCTTTGTTCCAGAGATCCACAAGATTGTTCCGGATGAGTCTATATGGCACATCCCCTCGGGGAAATGGTCCCGTCTCTTGTGGATTGTGTCCCTCCCCATCTCAGTTCTACTCTACTTCACCACGCCAGACTGCAGGAAAGAAACCCTGAGGAAATGGTTCCTGGTCACATTCGTCATGTCCCTAGTCTGGCTGTCTTTCTTCTCTTTCCTCATGGTCTGGATGATTACAATCATTGGTAGGTTTTAGGGGATCACAATCATAGGTAGGTTTTAGGGGATCACAATCATAGGTAGGTTTTAGGGGATCACAATCATAGGTTTTAGGGGATCACAATCATTGGTAGGTTTTAGGAGATCACAATCATAGGTAGGTTTTAGGGGATCACAATCATAGGTTTTAGGGGATCACAATCATTGGTAGGTTTTAGGGGATCACAATCATAGGTAGTTTTTAGGGGATCACAATCATAGGTAGGTTTTAGGGGATCACAATCATTGGTAGGTTTTAGGGGATCACAATCATAGGTAGGTTTTAGGGGATCACAATCATAGGTAGGTTTTAGGGGATCACAATCATAGGTTTTAGGGGATCACAATCATTGGTAGGTTTTAGGAGATCACAATCATAGGTAGGTTTTAGGGGATCACAATCTTTGGTAGGTTTTAGGGGATCATAATCATAGGTAGGTTTAGGGGATCACAATCATAGGTAGGTTTTAGGAGATCATAATCATAGGTAGGTTTAGGGGATCACAATCATAGGTAGGTTTTAGGGGATCACAATCATAGGTAGGTTTTAGGGGATCACAATCATAGGTAGGTTTTAGGGGATCACAATCATAGGTTTTAGGGGATCACAATCATTGGTAGGTTTTAGGAGATCACAATCATAGGTAGGTTTTAGGGGATCACAATCATAGGTTTTAGGGGATCACAATCATTGGTAGGTTTTAGGGGATCACAATCATAGGTAGGTTTTAGGGGATCACAATCATAGGTAGGTTTTAGGGGATCACAATCATTGGTAGGTTTTAGGGGATCACAATCATAGGTAGGTTTTAGGGGATCACAATCATAGGTAGGTTTTAGGGGATCACAATCATAGGTTTTAGGGGATCACAATCATTGGTAGGTTTTAGGAGATCACAATCATAGGTAGGTTTTAGGGGATCACAATCATTGGTAGGTTTTAGGGGATCATAATCATAGGTAGGTTTAGGGGATCACAATCATAGGTAGGTTTTAGGAGATCATAATCATAGGTAGGTTTAGGGGATCACAATCATAGGTAGGTTTTAGGGGATCACAATCATAGGTAGGTTTTAGGGGATCACAATCATAGGTAGGTTTTAGGGGATCACAATCATAGGTAGGTTTTAGGGGATCACAATCATAGGTAGGTTTTAGGGGATCACAATCATAGGTAGGTTTTAGGGGATCACAATCATAGGTAGGTTTTAGGGGATCACAATCATATGTTTTAGGGGATCACAATCATTGGTAGGTTTTAGGAGATCACAATCATAGGTAGGTTTTAGGGGATCACAATCATTGGTAGGTTTTAGGGGATCATAATCATAGGTAGGTTTAGGGGATCACAATCATAGGTAGGTTTTAGGAGATCACAATCATAGGTAGGTTTTAGGGGATCACAATCATTGGTAGGTTTTAGGGGATCATAATCATAGGTAGGTTTAGGGGATCACAATCATAGGTAGGTTTTAGGGGATCACAATCATAGGTAGGTTTTAGGGGATCACAATCATAGGTAGGTTTTAGGGGATCACAATCATAGGTAGGTTTTAGGGGATCACAATCATAGGTAGGTTTTAGGGGATCACAATCATAGGTAGGTTTTAGGGGATCACAATCATAGGTAGGTTTTAGGGGATCACAATCATAGGTAGGTTTTAGGGGATCACAATCATAGGTAGGTTTTAGGGGATCACATTCATAGGTAGTTTTAGGTGATCATCACAATCACAGGTACATTTGTAGGTTACCACAATTCAGTTATAGGTACATTTTTAGAATGTTTTAGTATTAGTGTAAGAATATTTTACACTTGATATTTGAGATTATGTTTTTGACTTTACAATCTGCTCTATAATGTTTCAGACTTGACCATTTGTCCCATGATGTTTCAGACTTGACCATTTGTCCCATGATGTTTCAGACTTGACCATTTGTCCCATGATGTTTTAGACTTGACCATTTGTCCCATGATGTTTCAGACTTGACCATTTGTCCCATGATATTTTAGACTTGACCATTTGTCCCATGATGTTTCAGACTTGACCATTTGTCCCATGATATTTTAGACTTGACCATTTGTCCCATGATGTTTCAGACTTGACCATTTGTCCCATGATGTTTCAGACTTGACCATTTGTCCCATGATGTTTCAGGGTTCACAATCAGCATCCCAGACAGTGTGATGAGCCTGACTTTTGTAGCGTTTGGTGTGAGTTTACCTGACGTCGTGGCCAGTGTTTTAGTCATCAAGGATGGTGAGTTTAACTTAGTCAGCCAAATCTTTTATCATTTGATTGGGATATCATATGGACAGTCTAATGGCGTGTGTGGAGAGGGGGGGTTAAAGGTGTGGGGGTCTAATATTGTGTTTAGTGTAGTGTAATAACGGTACAGGGGGGGGTGGGCCTAACGCTGTGTCTAATGCTGTGTCTAATGCTGTGTCTAATGCTGTGTCTAATGCCGTGTCTAACGCTGTGTCTAACGCTGTGTCTAATGCTGTGTCTAATGCTGTGTCTAATGCTGTGTCTAACGCTGTGTCTAATGCTGTCTAATGCTGTGTCTAATGCTGTGTCTAATGCTGTGTCTAATGCTGTCTAATGCTGCGTCTAATGCTGTGTCTAACGCTGTGTCTAGTAACTTTGAAGTTTGTCTCTCTAGGTCTGGGTGACATGGCAGTGTCTAATGCTGTGGGCAGTAACGTGTTTGACATCTTGGTTTGTCTGGGAATTCCCTGGTTTCTGCAGACCAGTGTACTTGACCCAGGTAGCACAGTGCAGGTGTACAGTGAAGGTAAGAGTTGTGGGATGAAGAATTTGTATCATATTGCAGGCTCATTACATATTAAAGGCAACACTTTAAATATATTGAGAAGTAAAATTTTAAAATAAAAACTAAATGGGTACATCTCGATAGAATGGAATAATTAAGCATAGACAACAGTGAAAGTAAAAACAGGGAATATAACATAATAATAAATGTAAAATTAGAAAATCACAGACAAAAACCATATGTAAGTGTTGGCAGGGGACACAACCCAGTTTTTATATCAGAGGAAACAACTCAGTACACCAAAAGCCAGGGGACATGACTTAGTGTGAAAATAAAATAAAAACTAACAAGAGGAAGAACTTTCTAGAAGAATAAAAATAAGCTTTATGATCGACATTGATCCTCATTAAGACTATAAAATATTTCAGGACTTGTATATGCATCAATCACACTGTTATCAACTGTAGCGCTTCTCATCTTTGGAATTCATCTCAACAAGTGGACTCTGGACAAGCGCATCAGTATAATTTTCATGATCATCTACATAGCCTACACCCTGCTAGCTGCCATGTATGAGCTCAATGTCTTTGGCTACTTCCACCCATCAGAATGCCACAGTGACTACTAAATTATTTCTAACTGCTAGACTCTGTTCCAGCTCACTTCAATATTTATCTCATTTACATTTGTTTACAATGTTGAAGAATGAGGATGAACATGCATAATGTTTGTAGTGATAAGTTCTTAGTGATAAGTTTCTAGTGATCAGTTTACCATTTTACACATGAACATTGCAAGTGTTTGTTTTCAACTGTCTTGTAAACTACCTTTAACATGATTCTCTGTGGACTGTCTAGTAAACCATCTTTAACATGATTCTCTGTGGACTGTCATGTAAACCATTTTTAATGCGAATCTAATATTTTTTCTAACCCTTGGGAGCTTTAATTTTATTTTTGTCATTTGTATAATATTTGGGTTTTGGGAATGAACATACTTATGAATTAAACATTACTTATAATTATCGAATTATATTTTTTAACACTGTGGAATCCTGGATACCAGAATTGAGTGTTTATTGACAATCTCCTTTTCCGAATGAAATACAAATGAACTTTTTGTGACAAGTTATCCAATCGCTTCACAGAAGAAGGTCATGTGATTGTCAGCTGATGAGAGAATGGACTAAAATATGACATGCCACATTCCCATTTCTAGCTAGAAATTGTTTTGCTTAACCAAAAACTTATTTACAAATGCATGAATGAGCTCAAATACTGAAAACCATTATAAAGCAATACATTAAAAAATTCTTTACTAAGTTCGAATTTTTTCGTTTGCAAGAGAAGGCAGCCATATACACTTAACAGATAGTCCCAGTATTTTGTAATTAGCATCAATGCTCTAACTTTTTAATGTTCTTACGGTAATGGACCAAAATTGTGATTTTTAATTATAAAATATTTGACTGCTGATTAAATTCCTGACGAAAAATCAGTTATTTTTTCTCAACCAGGCACAAAATTGTGTTGTGAAATATTTTTATTTGCTCAGTATTACTTCAATTTCTTAATTAATGTGATTTGTATGGGACCAAGAAAAACTTATTGCGCAATAGTGGTTTGTGTCCCCTGTTTGTACATGACCCCCATAACTTGAATGTTGTTGTGACTGTATTGTGCACATGAGAGCCTAGCTCTCAGGTGACTTATCAAGCAAAACAGGGAAAATTGTTGAACTTGACTCGCATTTTTGACTATAAGTATAAGAGGCTCTACTTTAGTAGGCCATGTTGATATAGCAAGGTATGATCTAGTTGTCTAAAAATTTACATTACATCCAGAATTTTAAACAATTTAAAAAGCAACAAATAATTTTCAAAATATCCACACAAATTAGCAAATAAGTAGGTGCTTTTATTAATGTAAAAAATGTTTAATGTTTTTAGACTTAATTAGAAAAATATTTGTATGAGTTTATAGGCCTACAGCTGTATGAGGCGAATTATCTCTGACATTTTTCACACTTCTCCTCATGGTCTCTGTTGGTTTTGTCATTTAGCGCAACCTTTTTTTCTACCTCTATCTTTCATTCTTTGATTACTGTACATGTCAAGTGATAACCATATCAAACACCAACCTGAGAACTCAATGTAAACTTTTGGAGGCCCCAAATAATCATTTGTTGCATGTCACAAACTGTCAGATATTCAACAATTTGTTCAACTATCTGTTGAATGCCACAAATCATCCAACTTACTTATGTAATAAAAGTGGACCGGAAATAAAAACCAAATTTTTCTTTGCTTTCACTGTGCCTTTAAAAAAACAATGTTCACATTATTAAAAGAATATATTTTCTTACAAAATACTTTTTTCAAAGTCCACAGCGTTTTAGGTTAAATAAAGTATTTTAAATTATGTCTGTCTTCAAGATTACTGGGGAGTCTAGAAGACTTATTAAATAGCCTACTTACTAATTTAGAATTCTTCATTAAATGCTTACTAATTAACAATTAATTTATTCTTTCAACTTACTTACATCCCATTTAATATTTCTTACTGTATAAAACAATCTTTGTAAACTTCCATTACAAAGTTTACAATACTCCTTAAAAACTTAATATGAATCATTCCTTTTCAACTTTTTAAAGAATGTATTTGTTGGTAAAAAAAATTGTGAAAGATTGAATTTAATTTATCTGACAAGTTCCAAGAAATTATTTTATTGTACTTGTTGAATTTTGTGTCATGTTATGCATTTGAAGGAGGATGATATCTCATTCGTGATAGCAGTCTGTTGAATGATTGATAGCATTGAAATTATCTTTCTTACTGCCCCTAGCTTAAAGCTTGATGTAAGAACCTAAAGGCCTGCAGTTTGTGTTGCACTGTACGGCTGTCTCAATGTAGTTTTTTTTTACTTTTTTGGGCTATTACATTGTTGTCTAGTTCAAGTCTAGATCTAATATGTGTTTGTTCTAGATCAGCATTTTGTTTTGTTCTAGCCGGCTATTTTTAATGTATTTTTTGTTCTGTTTCTAGATCTACAAGCTTTGTTTTCTCTGTTTGTTCTAGCTCAATTTTATTTTTGTTTATAAATTTTATTGTAAAAATTATGATGATTTATGTCAATACTAATTTATGCCTATATAGATCTAGATCTAATCTATTTTTTTAAATCTTTATATTGGTAGTGTTATTTTAGTCAACGGTAGACAAAATAAGTGACCAGCTTATTTTTCTAAAAACAAAAAGGCTTCTCAGGAAATAAACAGTGTATGTTTATTTCCTGTACCATTAAAAATATCTGAGTTAAAAACAGAAACGCCTAGATCTAGATCTAGAGAAAATGTAGAATCTATATGGCAAAAGATGCTTATTTCATTAATTCACTTGAAAGTCTTAATATGTGGTCTCATAAAATTCATTATTTTCTTAGACTAATCAAAAACCTGATTCTGATCAATATTAATAAAGCATAGTTTGTTTTTTTTTAATTATGTATGCTACAAATTAAGTATTAAGGAAAATCTCTAACAGAGTTTCTTCCAGGCATCTCTTCTACCGCCCCCTGAACGAAATGGAATTTATATAATTTATATACAAAATATATACTTTTAACAGTGTCCCCCCCCCCCCCTCGGAGAAAAAAGTCTGGAAGAAACACTGATCTCTAAAAGTAACCTTCTTGGGTAATCTATCGTTTTGGGTACGTAAAATCGCCCGCGATTTGTAATGTGAAAAACAGGTGACTCCTTAAATTTTAATAATTATTTCACATTTTGAGGAGGATTTATGTTTTAAAAATTCAAAAATGTTTCCTTGATTCATTTATGTACCTGTTTTTAAACAATTGAATTAAAACTTTTCCGTAATAAATGAAGACTAGCGATGTTTCCAACAGATGCAACCATGCTCATTTACTATAGCAGCCATCTTGTCTAAGTTTTATTTTTATAAGCTTTAGCGCCAGATTCAGGTGGAAGCCACTCTATTTTACAAATGGCTTCTGTTTATATAGCAAATCTTGCTCTTAGACACTGCTGTTTAAAGTTAATTTCTGGCCTATATCGATATATTTAGCCATTGATTTAGGTTTATTATTCATTTATCTATAATATTTGACACAAAAGTATGACAATATACTTCTATTAAAGCCTTGACAATGAGGTAACGTTTTCGTACATAAATAGCCGCGGGCGATTTTACGTACCCAAAACGATAGATTACCCCTTCTTGATCCAAACTTCATAATTTATTATTTGTAAAAATCAGTCCAACAGAAACTTTAGAAATTCTAAAAACATAGATCTAGAAGATAAATATAGTATTATATAGATTGCCTCTAACCACAACAAGCACGTTGTTTATTTCGTCTACTGACGGTATATTTATAATTTATTTGGTTGCCTGTATGTGTACAATATGGCTGGGCTGTTACTTGCACTTTCTGACTAACTGGGGTTTATAAAGTTACGTCATGTTATTTCATCCATTTTATTAAAATCTGGTTCAATAAATTTATTTATATCAACCATCAAACTTGATATCTGGTGTCTTGTTTTGTTTGTTCAGGAATAAAGTCATTTTATCTAGAAATTTTGTTTGTTTACTTGAATAAATGATGGTCTGTAAGCTTTGTTTACTTGTAGATCTATAATTTGTCTAGAATGATGGTGTAGGTTTTGTTTACTTTAATAAATAATGGTCTGGAAGTTTTATTTGTTTACTTTAATAAATAATGGTCTGGAAGTTTTATTTGTTTACTTGAATTATTTGAATAAAATGATGGTCTGGAAGTTTTGTTAGTTTACTTCATAAATGCTGAACACGAGAGATTGTCTGATTTAATAAATGCACACAAATAATTTAGCCCGTAGTTCATACGCCTTAATTAAATATTAACATAGCAAATTAAAATGTTGATTGGAAATTACTCCTTCAAAATCTTAATCACAAACATGGAAAAGATGTATTGATGCCTTAGCCACCCCCACCCCCTCCACACACCTCCACTGATGTGGCCTTTGTCCAGTGGTCTAGCTGATGTGGACCTAGGTGCTAGTGATGTGGACCTTGTCCAGTGGTCTAGCTGTTGTGGACCTAGGTGCTAGTGATGTGGACCTTGTCCAGTGGTCTAGCTGATGTGGACCTAGGTGCTAGTGATGTGGACCTTGTCCAGTGGTCTAGCTGATGTGGACCTAGGTGCTAGTGATGTGGACCTTGTCCAGTGGTCTAGCTGTTGTGGACCTAGGTGCTAGTGATGTGGACCTTGTCCAGTGGTCTAGCTGTTGTTGACCTCGTGATGTGGACCTTGTCCAGTGGTCTAGCTGATGATGACCTAGGCGCTAGTGATGTGGACCTTGTCCAGTGGTCTAGCTGATGATGACCTAGGCGCTAGTGATGTGGACCTTGTCCAGTGGTCTAGCTGATGTGGACCTAGGTGCTAGTGATGTGGACCTTGTCCAGTGGTCTAGCTGTTGTGGACCTAGGTGCTAGTGATGTGGACCTTGTCCAGTGGTCTAGCTGTTGTTGACCTCGTGATGTGGACCTTGTCCAGTGGTCTAGCTGATGATGACCTAGGCGCTAGTGATGTGGACCTTGTCCAGTGGTCTAGCTGATGATGACCTAGGCGCTAGTGATGTGGACCTTGTCCAGTGGTCTAGCTGATGTGGACCTAGGTGCTAGTGATGTGGACCTTGTCCAGTGGTCTAGCTGTTGTGGACCTAGGTGCTAGTGATGTGGACCTTGTCCAGTGGTCTAGCTGTTGTTGACCTCGTGATGTGGACCTTGTCCAGTGGTCTAGCTGATGATGACCTAGGCGCTAGTGATGTGGACCTTGTCCAGTGGTCTAGCTGATGATGACCTAGGCGCTAGTGATGTGGACCTTGTCCAGTGGTCTAGCTGATGTGGACCTTGTCCAGTGGTCTAGCTGATGTGGACCTTGTCCAGTGATCTAGCTGATGTGGACATTGTCCAGTGGTCTAGCTGATGTGGACCTTGTCCAGTGATCTAGCTGATGTGGACCTTGTCCAGTGATCTAGCTGATGTGGACCTTGTCCAGTGGTCTAGCTGATGTGGACCTTGTCCAGTGATCTAGCTGATGTGGACCTTGTCCAGTGGTCTAGCTGATGTGGACCTTGTCCAGTGGTCTAGATGTGGACCTTGTCCAGTGGTCTAGCTGATGATGACCTAGGCGCTAGCTGATGTTGACCTTGGCGCTAGTGATGTTGACCTTGGCGCTAATGATGTTGATCTTGGCTCATCCACTGACTCCACGTTTACACTGAGCAAGCTGACGTCGTGTGGTGAGTCATCAATGGTCGTCTGTGTTCCACTCAGGTCCAACTCACCCTCCTGGAGACTCTGTAACCAATTGAAGACTTTCAGGTTTCTATGGGAACGGTCAAGGAGATGGCCTTGGTTCCACAGTTCAAGGTCACGGATGCGAATCTCGTGATACCTCGGTCTCCCCATCCGCGTCATAATGTCGACTTTAATGACGTCACTCAGCTGTGGGGAAATCCTCATCCGGTAGGGAAACCGGACGACCCGTGTGTAGTCTTGTTTGATTGCGTGAGGGTCCTCATCTCTCGCGTGGGCGAAGGCTCGCAGTCTGTTGTAGTCGCCATGGCCGGTGACTCGAGTAAGCGCTAGAGTTCTCTTGTGAATATTGTTTCGGACCTTGGAAGTAAATTCTTTTTTTGAATCAAAATTAAAATCTTGGAAATCTTGGTTCCACACAGCCGTAGATTCGTGGTGTGTTACTGTGTCGGACTGTGTCGTCAGGTGTGTTACTGTGTCGGACTGTGTCGTCAGGTGTGTAGCTTTGTTGGAATGTTGCGATTGAACACGTGTGAGTGATGCGGAGTTAGAGCCTCCATTTGGTTTCACGTTAGATCTAGTTCTAGATGTAGATTTTCGAAGTTGATTTTCACGAAGTGATGCAAGTTGACTTCTGAATTCAGTCAAATTCACCGTGATTTGTGAGTGAGTGTCTGCTGACGTGGGTCTACGAATGTGAATGCGAGTGATCTGCCCTTGACTCGGCTCACTGTTTCTCCTCCCCCCTACCCGCCCCATCACCTGAAGTTTGCGGGCAGCAGCCTTGATGACCAGTTGCTTCTCGTCCTCGGCCAAACACTGGAAGATTTCGCTCTCAGTCTCCAGCTGGGCGTTGACGGCGTCCATCTTGAGCATCTTGTCTAGGGCGCCCCTACGTCTGCTGGCTAGCTGCACCCACAAGCTGGGCTCGGCGGGTCTCGCTGTCTTTACATCCGCTGTCTTTACATCCGCCGTCTTTACATCTGCCGTCTTTACATCCGCCGTCTTTACTCTCGCCTTCTGCCGGCGCTGCCTGCTGGTATGTGGTTGAGGACCAGACTTGTGACCGTAGGTGGAGCAGCTGAACAGCGAGAGCTCGGTGCTGATGGACTCGCTGCTGTCACTCCGGCGGATTCGTTGGGGTTGGCCCAGTCTGGCACTGTAGACCGGGGCCCGTCCTGGGTAGACTGGGGGTAGCATCCGTTGGGGGTGGCCCAGACTGGCACTGTAGACCGGGGCCCGTCCTGGGTAGACAGGGGGTAGCATCCGCTGGGCGGTGTACTCTGGCAGCCACGACTTGAGGGAGTTTAGCAGGGTGCCGCCCCTGCAGTCGCTGGCCATGGTGGGTCACACTAGTGCACAGATAGATGGCGTTTATTCCATTTCCAATTAGAAACGTCTGAAGTTTACTGTAAACTTCTTAAAACTTAGTACAACAGCTCCAAAAAAAGAATAATTGTTGTAGAAGAAATGGCACCGGATATCTTTCCTGTTAAAACAAGTTAATAAAAAGTCTAGTGACAATTTAAGCGCAATTTCCTTATGTTATCCATAACAATTTTAAATCCAGATAAATCATATATTCAGCAAATAAATAATGCAACACAAGTAATTTTAATAATTCAAAACAAAATAGAAAAAATATTTATTAACGAGATTTTTAAAAATATGCGGACGTGTAGGGGGTAATAGAAAATATCAACGGAAATAGTTTTATTTTAACGAGTAGGCCTACACGATGCTCAGTTTAAAATATCATCCCAGGCCTACAAGATGGTCAGTTTAAATAATTTTTTTTTTAAATTTGTGACCGAACGAGAGGATATTTTTGAAAACTTTTTTCGGCAATATTGTTCTAAATTATGGCAGGAATCGATTGGTAAATGTTTCAAGTCGCTAAGTGGTCTGGTTGCCGAGATATGGAGCAAAAACTGCATTGGTTCGAGGTTTTTTGGCTTTTCCGGGAAATCCAGGAAGGAATTCCGGGAATTTTTTGTCCTATGTCCATCTTCGGAACTTGCTTAACATATTTGCTTTTGGAACTAGTCCTCGATATTGCTTCGTTGAGGAGGAGATACGACTTAAAGCTGCGGACACACATCCATACTACATGCATACATCGGACACACAACCAGAAATGACGAGTTAATAATCGCAATTGTCCGTATGGAAATTGCGCTAAAAATGTAATTAAATTAATTTAAACACATATTATGTTTGATTTAATATATTTTTGTTAAAGAATTAGTCCACATTGAGTAAAGAGGACGAAGTCGTGTGTTTAAAATTTCAGTCATTGTTTTAAATTTAGTCAACTATTTCAGTCATTGTTTTAAATTTAGTCAACTATTTCAGTCATTGTTTTAGATTTAGTCAACTATTTCAGCAATTATTTTAGATTTAGTCTCCTATTTCAGCCATTGTTTTAAATTTAGTCTACTATTTCAGCCATTGTTTTAAATTTAGTCAACTATTTCAGCCATTGTTTTAAATTTAGTCAACTATTTCAGTCATTGTTTTAGATTTAGTCTCCTATTTCAGCCATTGATGTATTGAGTGGTCTATCTTTGTTTATCCACACTTCAATCATGTCCCACCCTGCCAAGTATAACTAAAGAAATCTCTGCTGGTTATTGATTTTTCTTCAGACAAAACGATCGGCCATTTCCTGAAGAAATAGTTTGGCGGTGGATGGAACTCCCCCATTGTCTATACGGAGTGTAGTCGTGCGAAACGTTCGTATTGATTAAACATTAGGGCTGGCGTCTTGGCGAATGTGCGTTTGTTTTTATAGACTGGATGTCCCAGATTGGAATAGTCTACTCAACTTGTTATTTTTTTTTTTTTACGTTTTAGTGGGGTTCGATCCAGATAGATTGTACAATAAAATTCACAAAACAAGATATTGATTTAAAAACAAATTGACACTCTCTGTTTTGTTTCTTTAAACTTTAATCTTATAACGTACTGGGATAGTAGGATGTTATACAGTAGTTCTTAATCTTATCCTAGTCTATATACTACTAAAACTCAACTTTGTTTACATGTTTGAATATTTATTTGTTTGTCTGATTTCGCACTGTAAGGAAACTGCTCAATATGGGGGGCTGTAAAATAGTATGTAGGTAGAGAACAATTTTTTATTGCAGACAGACTGTTAATCACACATTTATTTAAAGACGTTAATTAATTTATTGATTTATTCATAGGTAGATTAACCACATTTTTTAAAAAGTTTTATAACAATGGCTTAATTTTGACTGAATAGTGACGTTTGATAACTCATTTTTTTGTTTGTTTGTTTTTTTTTTATTTGTTATTGGGGAGAATCTGCGTTATGTGTAGAGCTGTAAAATAGGATTTTGGGTGGTAAATAATGTTCTTTCTTGAACACACTGTTAATTACTAACTAATTTAAAGCCGTTAATTAATTTATTGATATATTTATAGGTAGATTAACCACATTTATTATAAAAGTTTAGAACATTGACTATAGTAATAGTTAAAAAAAATTTACAATAATGTTCAATTATTTTTTCTTTATGCCTGTATGTGAATGATAAGGTTGACTATCAGGACCTCGCCAGGCATAGGGCAGGTGAAGTAAAGTTCACCTGTTTCTATGTTCTCAGCATATGAAAGGATAGTGTGGTCAGAGCCATGCTCGGCCGAAATCTTTTTTTTTTTTAAATGCAAACATGTCTGAGACTTGGCGGGGCACTGGGCAGGTGAAGTAGAGTTTAGTAGAGTTTTAAAATATAAAAAACGTCTTTTTGAATGTGGGGTCTGGTTATTTTGGGATGATAAGTGCTGGCAGACGTGATGTCATTTATGGATGACCCCCCGAAACCCACAGTTATCTAACTAGATAACGGGTAGTCTAGTTATTACTAAAGACCAAACAAATTACACTATTCTTTTTTAAATTTTAACTAGCTGCTGTACAGTAACATAGTGGTTTTTATCCTAAATCTAGACTAGCTGCAGTAGAGTTACCCAGGTCGTAACCTAACTTTTAAATAGCATTAGTAGCGTTATAATGTAGTTGTTATTCTATCAAGTCACTAGAGACATTAGTCGATGTTATACATACCTCAGCAGGTAAAGATTGCTGCTGATTTCTACGCTGTCAAATTCCCACGCACAAAATGATCCGCTTCTTTAGTCGGTTTAAACCAAATTGTGTCTGATATTTTTGATGGCAACGATCCCAGCTTAAGTAATCGATTGATTCGATCTGTGGATCTAAGTGGGAATATCCTCTACAGCTCCCCCGGTAAGGGCTGCCCAAGTCAGGCGTTAAATCTGCGGAACAGCTTTGTACCTGAACGATGACAGGGGCGGAACAGTTGTATACCAGATGGGGGGGTAGGGGGGGGGCAGGCGGAGGGACACTTGTATACCTGTATGATGGCAGGGCAGGCGGCACTTAATCTGACGCACACGTCTTCTGCTTGCTGTCTGCTGCTAGCTGTCTGCTAACGTGAATGAATCATCATGCAAACGATACAGTTGAACTCAGGCGCTGAACGGCACCAGAACTTGCTGCATCTAGCTGACCACGCCTATGTGACGTGTTGTTTCTAGCTGACCACGCCTATGTGACGTGTTGTTTCTAGCTGACCACGCCTATGTGACGTGTTGTTTCTAGCTGACCACGCCTATGTGACGTGTTGTTTCTAGCTGACCACGCCTATGTGACGTGTTGTTTCTAGCTGACCACGCCTATGTGACGTGTTGTTTCTAGCTGACCACGCCTATGTGACGTGTTGTTTCTAGCTGACCACGCCTATGCGACGTGTTGTTTCTAGTTGACCACGCCTATGTGACGTATAATTGATTCCGATAATCGATTGGTTGTTTTGATTAGTTCAAAGAAAATTTATTAAGCTCTTAACGTCTTGAGTTGTAATTAGCGGGACCTGTCACGTCATAGCGGTGTGACGCGAGAGAGACGTTCTTCAAAAAAAATAATTAAATTACCTGTATGCTTGTACAGTACAGAGATTAAAATTACCTGTATGTATGTATGTATGAATGTACAGTAAAGAGAATAAAATTACTTTTATTTGTGTACAGTACAGAGATAAAAAAAATTACCTGTTTGTATGTGCAGTGATCCGTCCATGCTTTGTAAAACCAATATTTTTAAGAACATAACAAGCTGCTGTCAAACAAGACAATGGCTAGAAACGCTGGGACCAGCTCAAGAAATTTGTTTGCAGTAGGTTGTGTATTGTACTGCTAATCAGTAATCACAGCACACTGAGCAGAATTAAATTCTAAACCCATATTTTACTCAACATGCAGTTGGCTGTAACGTGAATTTCCCGTCTATTCTGAAACTAATTCCATCAAGTAAAACACGGTAGGCTTGGCCAAAACAAAAACACATCAGACAGGTAGTCCTACTTGTTGACACGAAATTCATTTAATTACTGTTTCATTAATTTTAATCAAAGTATAATTAAGTTATTAAATTAAATTAGCAACATCATGTTCATTAATTTACAATATTTAACTATGCCTGTAACAACAAAAGCACTGTCCATGGTTGTTTCCCTTAGATGGGAAGAATTTAAAATACCACTTGTAGAAATTTAACATGGGAGGTAATTCATTATAATTTTGGAGATGACTTTGACTTGAACTTTCCAGTGTTCTTGTAAACAGTAAACATAACATTACATTCAATGACATTCACAACAGTAAAACTAGACACATTGGTAATTATTCTTTTAATAAACAAAGCTAGCCTTAGCAACGCAATATTATTGTTTAATAATATTATATAATAAGACTTTTTCACACAATTTTGCTATTGATTTTACAATTAGTTTTTTTTTTACATTCTAAGCGAGTTTTCTCTCAAGATTCTCAATTCTTTCATTCTTCATGCGTAAAAGCTGCTCCAGTTTTTGTAGTTTTACTGTCAGCATCTAAAAGGGCATTTATTAAAAGTTCATTATATTAACAAGTTGGTTACATTTATGTTATTAATTATCAATTTTAAGATTAATTTATTGACTTACCTAGCATGCAGTCTACATACTGCTACAGTTGCAGTAGTTATTTTAACAATTCATTTAGATTTTGATAAATTGTAGTAAAGTAGTAACATACTAATTAGCAACTAGACATAGTGAGTTAATTAGGCATAGTGAGCTATTTAGGCATAGTAAGTTAATTAGACAGTTAATTGGGTATAGTAAGTTAATTGAAGTTAATTGGGTATGTGAGTTAATTAGGCATAGTGAGTTTATTAGGCACAATGATTTATTAGGCACAAGGATTTTATTATTTAATATACCTGTATAGTTTCATCTTTTGCCAAACTTTCCAGTACTTTTTGTTCAAATAAATCTCTTGGTATATAGTTCACCATAGAATCCTGCATTGGTCCATTTGGATAACTAGGAAATCAGCAGTAAATATTTTAATTAAAAGAAATTGATCAATCTTTATTAATATGCATGATAGGTGAGTCTTGAGGCTAAAAAAATTAAGTATTAATAATAAATACATTTGCAAATATATTTTAAAGAAACAAACATCTAAATAACATTCTATTACAAAATAAATAAATAACTTGTAACAACGCCTGATTGTAGGAGGAAAAAATTTCACGGGGAAAAAAACCAGAAAAATAGAAAGTACAAATCAACTTAGATTAATTAACTGTGATGTAGTGTGCGTAGGTTGTGTATTAATATTTATATTTATAACAAATGTAAAAATATTTAGTATGAAGTATATAGGCTTTGATTCCGCTATACAAATAATATCTAATAGAATTAAATAGAATATTCCAGCCTTTTGGGTTTTCACCTTGTCTTTTAAATTAGCGTGAAATGGCATAAAGACATTGCTAATCTAACGTGTTGCCCTCAACTCACTGCAACAATGGTTCAACCACCTTTTCTGACCACACTTATCACGCTCATTACATAACAAAGCCTAGGATCAAAACAGAGAGCCGACATGGTACAAATGCTGGCTTTGACGCAAAACGCGAACACCACACGATATGGACTGACAAGGCTGATAGAGGAGAAGCCGACCAAGGAAATGCCTATGGCAAAAACATCGTGCAAAACAAAATGATTTGCCAAAATTTCTATAGTAATTAATTTTCTACCTTCGTATTTAACAAAGTTGAGGTTGATGTGTAAATTACCTAATAGTACTTTTACTTATTATCGTTATAAACCATAGGCCTAATGCTTTTAAAGTTTGAAAATACGCTACTAAAAAACTACATAACAATAAATATCAAAAATCTTACAATTCTCAACAATTTAAAAAAAAATTCTTAAAAGATTTTTGTGACTTTTTTCTGTGACTTTATTTCTGGGACTTTTTTTACGAAAATGTTTTCCTTTGTGACATTTTTCCCTAGAAAACTGACTTTTTTCTGTGGTTTTTTTTTCTTGTGACTTTCCATTCACCCAAAACCTAACAAAACAAATAAATAACTTGCAACAGCTACAGACCTTCTATTGTAAAGCTCTGACGACTCTAGTTCTGGCAAAGGTTTGTGTGACTTGATTTGATAATCTCTAGAGGTAAGTCGAGGACTGGATGGACCAACTGTTAAGCAAGCGGGTAAAATGTAATTTATGTTGTTTTTATTTCGGTAAAATAAACTTTAAAGCAATCTTGTTTAGTTATTAGTACACAGACACTTCTTTTCCCAACTTTAAATAAATGATAAAACAAAAAATTAAACATATATTTCATTGTTTAAACTTTAAACAGTATAGGTAGATATAAATCAATTTAAATCATCTAAGTCCATTTTTGTAGATGATCTAATTTATGGTGTACATTTACCACACTATTAATTAAAGCTTTGATCAATTTAATTGTAATATTTACTGATGAATCTTACAGCAACTGAAATCCTCCATCTCCCTGGGTGACTTGTGGTATTTTTGCCTAGCTCTGTTGCTGTTGTATTTGTCAATGTGTTTGTCAATCTGAAACCTTAGCATCATCAAGACCTTCTCCACCACACTTTGTTTGCCGCTGGACAGAGATCTTATCACATCTTCCGAAAGGTCTAAATCCAAGCGATGTAGAACTTTCCTGAAACATTTGAAAAAGTCTAGATCTAAATCCAAGCGATGTAGAACTTTCCTGAAACATTTGAAAAAGTCTAGATCTAAATCCAAGCGATGTAGAACTTTCCTGAAACATTTGAAAAAGTCTAAATCCAAGCTAGCTGAACTCTGAGACCTGTAGACAACACATGTTCCCATTGGGGCCAGCTGAAGACCTGTAGACAACACAGGTTCCCATTGGAGCCAGCTGAAGACCTGTAGACAAGACAGGTTCCCATTGGAGCCAGCTGAAGACCTGTAGACAAGACATGTTCCCATTGGAGCCAGCTGAAGACCTGTAGATAAGACAGGTTCCCATTGGAGCCAGCTGAACTCTGAGACCTGTAGACAAGACAGGTTCCCATTGGAGCCAGCTGAACTCTGAGACCTGTAGACAAGACAGGTTCCCATTGGAGCCAGCTGAAGACCTGTAGACAAGACAGGTTCCCATTGGAGCCAGCTGAAGACCTGTAGACAAGACAGGTTCCCATTGGAGCCAGCTGAACTCTGAGACCTGTAGACAAGACAGGTTCCCATTGGAGCCAGCTGAACTCTGAGACCTGTAGACAAGACAGGTTCCCATTGGAGCCAGGTGAAGACCTGTAGACAAGACAGGTTCCCATTGGAGCCAGGTGAAGACCTGTAGACAAGACATGTTCCCATTGGAGTCAGCTGAACTCTGAGACCTGTAGACAAGACATGTTCCCATTGGAGCCAGCTGCAGACCTGAAGACAAGACATGTTCCCATTGGAGCCAGCTGAAGACCTGTAGACAAGACAGGTTCCCATTGGAGCCAGCTGAAGACCTGTAGACAAGACATGTTCCCATTGGAGCCAGCTGAAGACCTGTAGACAAGACAGGTTCCCATTGGAGCCAGCTGAAGTCCTGTAGACAAGACAGGTTCCCATTGGAGCCAGCTGAAGACCTGTAGACAAGACAGGTTCCCATTGGAGCCAGCTGAAGACCTGTAGACAAGACATGTTCCCATTGAAGCCAGCTGAAGACCTGTAGACAAGACATGTTCCCATTGGAGCCAGCTGAAGACCTGTAGACAAGACATGTTCCCATTGGAGACAGCTGAAGACCTGTAGACAAGACAGGTTCCCATTGGAGCCAGCTGAACTCTGAGACCTGTAGACAAGAGAGGTTCCCTTTGGAGCCAGCTGAAGACCTGTAGACAAGACATGTTCCCATTGGAGCCAGCTGAAGACCTGTAGACAAGACAGGTTCCCATTGGAGCCAGCTGAACTCTGAGACCTGTAGACAAGACAGGTTCCAATTGGAGCCAGCTGAAGACCTGTAGACAAGACAGGTTCCCATTGGAGCCAGCTGAAGACCTGTAGACAAGACAGGTTCCCATTGGGGCCAGCTGAAGACCTGTAGACAAGACATGTTCCCATTGGAGACAGCTGAAGACCTTTAGACAAGACAGGTTCCCATTGGAACCAGCTGAACTCTGAGACCTGTAGACAAGAGAGGTTCCCTTTGGAGCCAGCTGAAGACCTGTAGACAAGACAGGTTCCCATTGGAGACAGCTGAAGACCTTTAGACAAGACATGTTCCCATTGGGGCCAGCTGAACTCTGAGACCTGTAGACAAGACATGTTCCCATTGGAGCCAGCTGAACTCTGAGACCTGTAGACAAGACATGTTCCCATTGGGGCCAGCTGAAGACCTGTAGACAAGACAGGTTCCCTTTGGAGCCAGCTGAAGACCTGTAGACAAGACAGGTTCCCATTGGAGCCAGCTGAACTCTGAGACCTGTAGACAAGACATGTTCCCATTGGGGCCAGCTGAAGACCTGTAGACAAGACATGTTCCCATTGGAGCCAGCTGAAGACCTGTAGACAAGACATGTTCCCATTGGAGCCAGCTGAAGACCTGTAGACAAGACAGGTTCCCATTGGAGCCAGCTGAAGACCTGTAGACAAGACATGTTCCCATTGGAGCCAGCTGAAGACCTGTAGACAAGACAGGTTCCCATTGGAGCCAGCTGAACTCTGAGACCTGTAGACAAGACATGTTCCCATTGGAGCCAGCTGAAGACCTGTAGACAAGACATGTTCCCATTGGAGCCAGCTGAAGACCTGTAGACAAGACATGTTCCCAATGGAGAGCTGAATTCTGAGACCTGTAGACAAAACAGGTTCCCATTGGAGCCAGCTGAACTCTGAGACCTGTAGACAAGACATGTTCCCATTGGAGCCAGCTGAAGACCTGTAGACAAGACATGTTCCCAATGGGGCCAGCTGAACTCTGAGACCTGTAGACGAGACATGTTCCCATTGAAGCCAGCTGAAGACCTGTAGACAAGACAGGTTCCCATTGGAGCCAGCTGAAGACCTGTAGACAAGACAGGTTCCCATTGGGGCCAGCTGAAGACCTGTAGACAAGACAGGTTCCCATTGGAGCCAGCTGAAGACCTGTAGACAAGACAGGTTCCCATTGGAGACAGCTGAAGACCTGTAGACAAGACAGGTTCCCATTGGAGCCAGCTGAAGACTTGTAGACAAGACATGTTCCCATTGAAGCCAGCTGAAGACCTGTAGACAAGACATGTTCCCATTGGAGCCAGCTGAAGACCTGTAGACAAGACAGGTTCCCATTGGAGCCAGCTGAACTCTGAGACCTGTAGACAAGACAGGTTCCAATTGGAGCCAGCTGAAGACCTGTAGACAAGACAGGTTCCCATTGGAGCCAGCTGAAGACCTGTAGACAAGACAGGTTCCCATTGGAGCCAGCTGAAGACCTGTAGACAAGACAGGTTCCCATTGGAGCCAGCTGAAGACCTGTAGACAAGACAGGTTCCCATTGGAGCCAGCTGAAGACCTGTAGACAAGACATGTTCCCATTGGAGTCAGCTGAACTCTGAGACCTGTAGACAAGACATGTTCCAATTGGAGACAGCTGAAGACCTTTAGACAAGACAGGTTCCCATTGGAGCCAGCTGAACTCTGAGACCTGTAGACAAGAGAGGTTCCCTTTGGAGCCAGCTGAAGACCTGTAGACAAGACAGGTTCCCATTGGAGCCAGCTGAAGACCTGTAGACAAGACAGGTTCCCATTGGAGCCAGCTGAAGACTTGTAGACAAGACATGTTCCCATTGAAGCCAGCTGAAGACCTGTAGACAAGACATGTTCCCATTGGAGCCAGCTGAAGACCTGTAGACAAGACAGGTTCCCATTGGAGCCAGCTGAACTCTGAGACCTGTAGACAAGACAGGTTCCAATTGGAGTCAGCTGAACTCTGAGACCTGTAGACAAGACATGTTCCAATTGGAGACAGCTGAAGACCTTTAGACAAGACAGGTTCCCATTGGAGCCAGCTGAACTCTGAGACCTGTAGACAAGAGAGGTTCCCTTTGGAGCCAGCTGAAGACCTGTAGACAAGACAGGTTCCCATTGGAGACAGCTGAAGACCTGTAGACAAGACAGGTTCCCATTGGAGACAGCTGAAGACCTTTAGACAAGACAGGTTCCCATTGGAGCCAGCTGAAGACCTGTAGACAAGACAGGTTCCCATTGGAGCCAGCTGAAGACCTGTAGACAAGACAGGTTCCCATTGGGGCCAGCTGAATACCTGTAGACAAGACATGTTCCCATTGGAGACAGCTGAAGACCTTTAGACAAGACAGGTTCCCATTGGAGCCAGCTGAACTCTGAGACCTGTAGACAAGAGAGGTTCCCTTTGGAGCCAGCTGAAGACCTGTAGACAAGACAGGTTCCCATTGGAGACAGCTGAAGACCTGTAGACAAGACAGGTTCCCATTGGAGACAGCTGAAGACCTGTAGACAAGACAGGTTCCCATTGGAGACAGCTGAAGACCTGTAGACAAGACAGGTTCCCATTGGAGCCAGCTGAACTCTGAGACCTCTGATGGACTTTAATCTGAATATATAAACCAGTTCATCAGCATGGATGTTGGATTCCTCAGTTTGACCACACGTCCACCCAGAATGTCAACATTATGTTGTACCAGAAATGTGTGGCTTACGTTTAAAATAAATGGTTTTATTCTTGTGGGGGGGTGGGGGGTGACTCACCTGTTTAATAAAAACCAATTCTCCATTTTTTGCTTGACCCCCACAGCAGGTGCGTAGTTATGTACGTCAACATGCCTGGGGAAGTAGTGCTTGAAGATCTCAGCAACAAGAACTACAGAACAAAAAAAGTCGGATTACAAAATTCATCAAAAGTCTGGCTATTATAAGTTTAAAAGTAAAATTCAGTTTTAAAAAATCTGGCAACAAAATTTTGATAACGAAAACCTTGATAACCTTTTTGTTTAATTCAATAATTTAAAAAAAAATAAACTAACTTTAAACTATAACTAATGTTTCAACATACACGTTGGCAAACGTCATATTTTTAGGGGGAGCTACTTGGTTTTACTTATTTTGAACGTAGGTATGTAGAGTTTGCTCCCCTTACACAATATGTTCTTTAGAGTATTGGGTAAGTTGGTGTCAAACAAAGCAAGTAATACAACACGATGTCTGTTGATTCAGCTCAATACTAAACGTCGCCACAAACCCATTAGATAGCAGGTACTGTCTGTATACAACTGACAAAAAGATAAGAAATCAATCCTAGCTACTAAAGTATTCACTACCAAATACGCAAATAGGCTACTGAACTGCCAAATAGGAACAAACTTGAAACAACACAACAAAATGTATGTTATCGATCTACATAATCATATCTATCGACTTCCATAAGTTGTATATATTTTAATTTTATTGATTCTTTTATTTTTTAAATTAATTGTTTGTTGTGTTTTTCTTTTTGCCAGAAGTTCTGAGGCGAATGATATTTTTTTTTCCAATCAATTAAATTATATTTCAACCGATCGTTTGAAACTTCTAGTTTGTAGTTAAATGTCTCCATGTATCATTCTATGAAGCCTTAAAAGTAATGTAGTGAGTGTTATCAGGGGCGTAGCGAGGGGGGGGGGGGCGGGAGGTGCGGACCGCACCCGGTGACACCATTTAGGGGGGTGACACCAAGGCAAAAATAATCATTAAAAAAGTTTTAAAAAACCCACGTTTTCTGATTGAACTGAAAAGTAGAAAATAAATGCTATAGGCCCTACATCACAATAATGCAAGCGATCACTCTACTATAAGCGATGAAAAACGTGGGGCGCCGAAGTAAAAGTTATATTACTATTGATTAGATAATACTATTGACTTTTATTAGGGAGCTTGTAGAGAGTCAACAGTATTAGAAACTGTAAGAAAATCACGGCGCCCCACGTTTTTGCTCGCTTATAGTAGAGTGATCGCTTGCATTATTGTGATGTAGGGCCTATAGCATTTATTTTCTACTTTTCAGTTCAATCAGAAAACGTGGGTTTTTTAAAACTTTTTTAATGATTATTATTTTCTACTTTTTAGTCTTTGTCTGTTTGTTTGCATTAAAATCTTGCTATCGATTTTATCTTTTCACTTTTTTTGGGTAAACGAAGACAACTCGTAAAAAGACAACTCGTAAAAAGACAACTCGTAAAAAGACAACTCGTAAAAAGACAACTCGTAAAAAGACAACTCGTAAAAAGACAACTCGTAAAAAACACGTTGTTTGAATACGTTACTGACTAGAACACATAGATTTGAACCCGTGTCGAGTGGGATAGCAATCGTGTGCCCAACCACTCGACCATATCGTCTCCCCCAAACTGGCCTACCTCCTGTAAGTTTAAACTCGGTTCAAGCTAAATTCTCTGCCCCTAAGCCTGTGGCGACATGTGATCGTTCGCTTCACTGCGCGCGAGGTACGCGTCGCTGGTTTTTTTTCTAATGGCTAGCAGAGGAGAATTATATATATAGATTATATAGCGGTCTAAAATGCTCAATAAAATGTTTCCATTGATCAATTTAGTAATAATAACAATTGAATATTCAATGGTCATCCAAAAGAAAGCTTCCCTGAAAATTTCAGCGCGCTAGCTAACTGGGAAGTGCCAGAAATTTCGATCGCAAGATTTGATTGGAAAGACAAACAAACACACAAACAGAGAAAGCAAGTTAAAGAAAACGTGGGAAAAATAGCAAACTATAGAGAGAAAAACTTGAGGGGGGGGGGGGGTGTAAATCGAAAGTTTGAAGGGGGGGTGCAAATCGAAAACTTGAAAGTTTTTTCCCCGGGAAGGGTCGCAACGCCTCTGGGGGGGGGGGGGAGGGAGGTTAAACCATTAAGTGCCGCACCGGGTGACACCCGACCTCGCTACGCCACTGAGTGTTATTTTTATACGATTTTTAAAATGTCAGCTGAAAATCGATTATTTTTTTTTATTCTCGCCTTATCTTATGTATTTGCACTAGACTTTGCGTCTAATAAAGTATGAACACATGCGCCGCTCTTGTTTAAGACGGTCTTATAGTAAAGATAAGCCTATTCCATAACGTCAAAGGTAAGCGGCCAGTACAAAAATGTGATTAACTGTTCGATCTGACGAATGCCATTGATAGGAAGATCAGATCAATACGTTTCCTGTTCGGCAGACGTGAATAGAAGGGCAGACATGCGGCAGGATATCAATAACCCTTTGCAGCGAGAAGTTCGAAAGTTTTTGTTTGCGCTCGACCACTTTCATTGTTGGCCAGGACAAAAGTTACACGCGGCGGCCAAATAAAAGAAACACGTCATGTTTTTTCATTCATTGGTCTGATATTAATTTACTCCTCACTATAGCGGGAATGGCTTTTGACTCTACATTCATTTCTAAAACATTTCATACAGTAGATGAAGTCAAAGCTTCGGAAGTGAAAAGTTACGTAAGAGTTTAAAAATAGATTTATGATCATGAATAGTTGGATAAACAAATGTTGGACAACACAATAAGAAAGAGTAAGAGGACGCTTCTCATACTGAGCACTTCTCACAGATAGAGCACTTGACACATTTCACAACACCATTCAAATCACAACATCACACCAAATACATCAAGCTAATACACCAAATACTTCAAACTCCAAACAAATTCATAATTTTAAAAAAGAAAACTCACACTAAATAGACCCACATCAAAATAATGCACAAAATACGTCAAATTACAACAAAATCTATCAAACTCACATACCAAATACATGAACCTAAGAGTGACCAAATATTTCAAACTCACACACCAAATACATCAAACTAAGATGACGTGGATTGTAATGACTGACGAGAAGCCGCGTTGGTTGTTAACAGTCTTTATTATGTACAGACGCCATGTTGCAAAGAGAGAAAGAGAAATGGCGAGAGAGAACTATTTATAGATAACAACATGTAAGGGACATCACTCAAGATAACAATATAAATATAATACTAATACAGAGAGTGAGTTCCCTTGATCTCACAATTAACTCAATCTATTACATCCCTTTACCCTTAGAACACAATAACACATCTCTCAATAGAACAATTGATAGTATCCTAAAATCACCAATTATATTGTAACATGAACACTATGGTAGATTACATCCTTACAAACAATGCACAATATGCTACAACATAATCAAAATACAAAACAATAATGTCAAAGTCCTTTTGACCTTTAAAATCATAGGTCTAACTTATTTGGGACTTTGATTGTCCTGCTTGACCTTCTCAGTGGCTTTTGATTTGGTGACTCAAGATTCTGACCATCTGGATTCTCTATCTCAGGAGGTCTAGGATTTAAATCATTAACTCCAGAATTTACATTTTCTGACTCCAGACAACTTGGTTCACTCATATCAACAGAACTTGGTTGTGAAACAAACTGAGTTGGTGTGAACTGTTCAGATTTGGTGGGATTGACAGATTCACACTTATTATCTGCACAAGTTATTACTTTCTCGTATATACGTAGTATAGAGAAAGTATTGTAATCGTGCAAAAAAAAAATCGAGATTTTTACAAATCTCGACGTTTTACACCTCACTGATACGGAAAAACATAATTTTGCAATCTTGTCCGTATGTCTGTGTGTGTGTGTGTCTGTCTGTCTGTCTGTCTGTCCGTGTGTAAACACGATAACTTGAGTACCGTTACAGCTAGGTTGATGAAATTTCATATATAAGTATTTTATCAAAATCGTAGATCCGTATCAACTTTTGAGCGATTTCCGATAACCGGAAGTGGTACTTTTCCTACTTTGAATTTTTTAAAAGCCTATAACTTGAGTACTATTTCAGATAGATAAATGAAATTTCACATGTAAGTAAAAGATCTAATTCTCTACCTTCTGTTAAATTTTGAGTAATTTCCGTTGACTGGAAGTAGTAATTTACGCTACTTCCGATTTCTCAAAAAACTAATGTAAATTTTTAAAGTACTAATAATATTGCGCACTATTATACGCGTTTTTATTCGGCGTTTGCTTGGTGCGCAATGTTTTTTTTATGAGATTCTATTCTATTTTTAAAAGTTTAAGTATTTAAAATGGATTAAAAATCATAACTATATCCCCAGTTACCATCCCCTGTTGTTTTATATAAGAATATTCGAGAAAGTTTAGGGGAGATCACTACCGGTTTATTTTTAACTTTATAAGACACAGGTCCTGTACATTGAACAATTTGACCTGGTATCCATTTTTCTCTTCTCCCATAGTTTCTTAGATACACATTCTCATTAACACCAAATTCTCTTTCAATGAATGTTTGTCATGATTTAATTTTTTAATTGGCATCTGAAAGTATTATGCTATTATTCAGATCCTTAACTGGCATAGATTTCTTTGATTGATCAATTTCCTCAGGTAATCTGATAGTGCTTTTTCGTAACCAAACATACTGTTTAAAAGTAATATCCTGGACAATATCACTTTGCAACTGTGATCCAGTATTTGAAGTGGGTGTATTCAATGGCAAAAATCTTTGCTCTTTTCTTTTGATGTTACCCTTTTAGTTTCTGTAAGTGCTAATGATGTTAGCAAGGTTGTTTGATGATCACATTCCTTCTTGCTAATGTATTTTCTTTAAAACATTTGAAATTGCCATATCACCATAATCATTTATTAAGTTACAAATACTTTGTTTAGGCAACTCTGACTGATAATGGACTGCATCTTCTCCATCTTTTATATTATCTTCACAAAGGTTTTTATTTCTTATTTAATATGGCCTTAAGTCATCATTCACAGACTCTTCAGGCCAACCATTCTTACAGTACTCATATACTTTTATTAAGCACTCATCTTTTTGTGTTTCTCTTTTAATATCATTCACATTTATATTGGAGTTATCCATGATAGTGAAGAGAACAAATACATCTTCTGGTACATAGCTCAGGCTTTGGTTTTTTAAAGGTAATCTACTAAGACTATCTGCACTATTCTCAGATCCAGGTTTGTATTTCAATTCATAATTGTATGCAGTTAGTGTGATAGCCCATCTTTGAATCCTTGGTGAGGCATGCTCAGGTAGGGTTTTGTTTTCTCCAAATAAACCTAGCAATGGTTTATGATCTGTAAAGATGGTGAACTTCCTACCAAACAGAAACTTATGAAATTTCTTAACACCAAAAATGATGCCTAAGCCTTCCCTATCTAACTGAGAATAATTTTTCTCAGCCTGATTCAAAGATCTACTGGCAAAAGCAATGGGTCTGTCACCCTTCTCATCCATGTGGGACAAGACTGCTCCTACACCATCTGGTGAAGCATCACATGTCAATACAAGTCTTTTCCCTGGGTCATAGTGAGTTAGTAAGGTGTCAGAAGACAAAGCCTCTTTTGCTGTATTAAAAGCAGCTTCTTGTTGTTTACCCCAGTGCCAAGTTGCATTTTTCTGTAGCAGCTTGTACCGTGGTGATAGTTTACCAGACAGATTTCCTATGAACTTTGCATAGTAATTTATCAAGCCCAAAAAAGCTCTTAGTTGTTGGGTATTTTCAGGTTTGGGTGCTTCTTTAATGGCTTTTGTTTTCTCAGGTTGAGGTCTGATGCCTTGTTTGCTCAATATATAACCAAGAAAACTAATTTCTGTCAGCATGAATTGACATTTATCTTTGTTTATCTTTAAACCTTTTTCACCAACAATTTTTAATACTTTATCAAGTGTTTTAAGATGTTCAGTGTCATTCTTACCAGTTATGTACACATTGTCAAAGTACACACAAACATTTGGAATATCCTTAAAAATACTGTCCATGACAGCTTGGAAAATTCCAGGGCTAGATGATACGCCAAAACATAGTCTTTCATATTGGTAGAGTCCTTTATGTGTGTTTATTGTCGTATAGACTTTTGAATCTGGATGCAGTTCTAGTTGAGTGTAAGCATGACTAAAGTCTAATTCAGTGAATTTGTCTCCTCCTGCCAAATTCAAAGAAATTTCCTCAATGTTAGGTATAGGGTACCTATTTAGCTCTATTTGCTTATTCAGTGTAGTTTTATAATCTCCACAAATTCTTATAGAACCATCCTTCTTTAACACTGGCACAATGGGTGTCGCCCAATCGGAATAGTCTACCTTCTTTATAATGCCATTAGATTCCAATCTAGTTAGCTCATTTTCAATTTTATTCCTCATTGCATAAGGTGGAACTCTAGCTTTGCAGTATCTTGGATTTGTATCTTTAATGCTTAACTTCACTGTTCTATCATTTAGCGTCCATGATTACCAAAAACACATTTATTTTCAGATATTACTTTATCTAGTGAAGTAAGACTAGATTCTTTTACATTCTTCAATGAACAAATACTCTCCCAATTTAACTTAAGATCACTTAACCAGTTCCTACCTAGTAATGGCGGTCCATTTCCTTCAACCACAAGAAGAGGAAGTTTAACACTTTGACCATTATAACTTACATGAACCATACACTCTCCTATTACCGGAACATTGTCACCAGTGTATGTTGTTAGACACTTGTGACACGGCTGTAGAGGCACTGATCCTCCTGTGACAGCGTCAAACTCTTTCTTTGTTATGACTGTTAGAGATGCTCCAGTGTCAAGTTGGAAGCTGATGCTCTTACCGTTGATATTAACTAGTACATTGATGGGAGCATGACTCATTGATTTCACAGAGAACAGGCTGAAATCCGGCTGCGAATCAGTTTGAGAATTTTCACAGGTAGAGTGGTTCATTGGTTGGGTTAGGTAGTCTTGGTGAGAGTTAACATAGTGCTGCTTTTGGTTGCGGTACTGTCTTGACTGGCTAGATTTAGCAACAGACGAAGACTTTGCAAAGCAGGCCTTGGCAATGTGACCTTGCTCACTGCACTTATAACAAGTTGCTAACTTGAACTTGCACCGATGAGATGCATGGGGACCTTTGCATCGATGACATTTTTGATAATTATTACTAGATTTAGATCTAGGATTTGAACGAGCAGGCTGTTTAGCATAAGTTGGAATGCTCTGATGGGGTTGATGTTTATTGACTAACCTGCTGTTTACTGCATGGATCTCTGAAGGCGTTAGAGATTTCGCCGCCTCGGATGACTGCTGGATTGAAGTTGCGAGTTGTATTGCTTTTTCTAATTTTAGATCTGACTCGAGCAGCAACCTTCTTTGAATATCAGGGCTGTTTACACCTGTCACAAACTTTTCACATAGTCTGTCAGACAGCGTATCGCCGAATTCACAAAATCTACTTAAATGACGTAAAGCAGCAACATATTCTGTTATTGACTCGTTTGGTTGACGAGTCCTACTGTCAAATCTAGCTCGACATAGAAACTTTGATGGGGTAGGCGCATGGTGGTCTGTTAGCAATTTGCTCAGCTCGTTAAAGCTCTTGGTATCTGGACTAGCTGGTGCGCATAAGTCCTTTAGTAGCCTGAATTGTTGAGGCCCTATGACTGTTAACAAAACAGCTCTCTTTTTGGCTTCTATCGTCACGTCGTTAGCTTCTAGGTAAAAGCTTAACCTCTCTAGGTAATCTTGAATGATTTCATCATTCGCATCAAATTCTTTTATTTGGCCATACAGCGCCATAATTCTAGAAATAATTAGCTAATAAGCTCTAGCAAACCTCTTTTTTGCGTAAGTAGGTGCTCTTTCTAGTAGATGTTTATCCTTCGTCGCCAAATGACGTGGATTGTAATGACTGACGAGAAGCCGCGTTGGTTGTTAACAGTCTTTATTATGTACAGACGCCATGTTGCAAAGAGAGAAAGAGAAATGGCGAGAGAGAACTATTTATAGATAACAACATGTAAGGGACATCACTCAAGATAACAATATAAATATAATACTAATACAGAGAGTGAGTTCCCTTGATCTCACAATTAACTCAATCTATTACATAAGACAAAATCTATCACTCACACACAAAATATATCAAACACATCAAATACATCAAACTATGACAAATTCTATCAAACCCACACACAAAGTTCACCTTGTAAAATCTTACACTAAATACATTATGAAAATGAAACTCACCACCGTCAGAAAAGTCCTTCCCGATGTTTTTCTTCGGCCGGCTGAGCGGTATTCGATCCACCCACATGTACAAGTCTTCCAGTTCAACTGAGTCATAATAGTCTTCCATGAGCACATGGCTCAGTCCATTGTAACTCTGCTTTGTGTAAATAAATGTGCTCATTGTGACACCCCTGATACGAAAATGTGTCGCCCCTGCGTTTGGCACACCTTATGAAAAAAAATAAAAAAAAGTCAACAATAAATCTAATTGCCTTTGAAAACCAGGGCATAAAATTATTCCTCCGAACTGAAGTAATCTGTAACACGGAGACCTACCTAATCACAATGAATACAATCACTCTATCGTAAAATTAAGTCCCATGGTAGATTTTACCTCCCAAGATAAAAGTAAAGTTATCAACAAATGGCATAAGGGACCATCTTTCTTGAGACGTGATTTAGGTATACACTACTATACATTTAAATCAGGGGTCTCCAAACTACGGCACGCGGGCCGGATGCGGCCCGCGAGGTCCTCTCATCCGGCCCGCGGCGATCTTTTTGTCCACGGAAAAAACCGTTTGTTAGTGATGGCTGAGGAACTTTGCCCAGAAAAATCAAAGACATGTTTGGAATTAACTGGCCCCCGAACTGAAATTTGATAACTAATGCGGCCCTCGGACTGAAAAGTTTGGAGACCCCTGATTTAAATCTGTCACTGCTGAACTAGGCTACAGTATTTATGCTATATTGAAACTTATGTAGATCTTACCGCGGCCCAATATTTTATATATATATATATATATATATATATATATATATATATATATATATATATATATATATATATATATATATAAAGTGTGAGCAATGTAAAATGTATGTTTAGACATTTTAAATCCCTGAATTTACTAATAAGCTACTAGACCTAAATCTGTGGGGGTTTTATAATTAAGGCAAATAAATTTATAGCATTTTGTGGCGTAAATAAACTAAATTTCGATTTTATTTACTGTAACTATTTCAGAAATACTATTAAAAGAATTATATTAATCTTTGTTTTTATGAAATTCTTTAACATACTGCATAAACAAAACATAATCAACATGGGGCTAACGTAACCGGTTTGATTTTTAGTCTTACAGTAAAACATTAGGAATGCCTTACTTGCTTCCCCTTTTTTAGTCTTTTATCACGGAAACAATACAACGGTATTTGGAAACAAAATGGCGACCGTGGTCAATATATTTTTAACTTTACCCTTTGATTTTATTGCTTTTACATCGCATGGACTGATTTTATATTTGTAATTTTTATTACTTATGATAAGTAAGTATTAGATATACTTGTTGATATGTTTGATAGTCTTATATTATTTAATACTATTCTAATTTTGAATGTTCACTTACTCGACTTTCAAATTCGCGTAACCATAACCGCGTTTTTTTTATGATTCTTCAGTTCATTCCCCCTTTGTTTCTTTTTTATCTAGATCTAAATCTTAACTAGATGTTGAAATCTAGATCTACATCTGTCTAGATTGTAAAGGCTTTTAAGGACTAGGCCCTACATAGAATCTAGAGTATCTTACGATCTGCGAATACAAAAAAAAAATCGAAAGTCCCGCTCTGCGTCCCGATTTCAATAGGGTCTCATTCCGTAACTATTTGACAGGAAAAAAAAATTACCATAACACTGTGCAATCATTCTACTGTAATAATATGGTTCATTTTGTATTCCTACATGTAGAATTTGATATATTCTTCAATTTCTTGTTTTACTAACTTACATGCTATTATTAGTAGTAGGGTTGTCGGCATCGTCCAAGTTCGTGGTGAAAACATTACCTGAAATCTCCCATTACTTTTTTATACCGAGTGCACAGGATTTCGTTTAGCATTCTAATGAGTTTTTAATTAGTCATTGTATGTAGGTCATGTTGCCACCATTGTTATATTTTTTCATCCCAGGCTGTCAGCCTTTAGTTTTGATCAACTAACAACAGCATTCTTGTATCTCCTAATTGTTGTTTTCAAAATTATTTTAATGTACCTACCTATCTTTCATTTTTTCAGCTCTAGATCTAGTTTTGGCTGAAGTAAAATTTGTTTTCCCTAAAATTTAATTTCGTCAGACTAGACAAGAGTCAGGCCTAGGTTACCTGTCTGTTGCTATACATTAGCTATGTTCTAACTGTAATTTTAAGTTTTCAAGTTCTACTTACCCTTATTTATAGTTATATGCAGAAAATCAGAATTCATACACAATACGCACATAAAAGCCATTTTGTTATAAGTGAACTGACGTAATCAGATCAAGGTTTTTTTGTTTTGTTTTTATGTGTGTAAAAAGTTTTTTACTTTTTACACACATAAAAACCATAAAAACATTGATCTGATTACGTCAGTTCACTTATAACAAAATGGCTTAAAGATTGACTCTACTTCACCTGCCCAAAATAATAAGGCAGTTATATGCACATTACAGTGCTCAAGTCATTTAATTTAGATTTCTGACTGTAGTTCTTTCATTCAATGTATTTATATAGAACATTGCTTTAGAAACCTTTTCATACTTGCGCAGCACACAATTTTTTGGGGGTCAGGGGAGGAAGCCAACACAAAATATACTCTCTTGTAATATTTTTATTCATTTCAACAACATATACAAGTTCTATATATCATTCTAGCTAAACTGCAAATATGAACAAAATACAATTGCAAATAAAATAACTATGTCCATTTATCCAGGTCTACCATGACTTGTCACAATTGGCCAATGCAAAAGCAAGGGGATTCCACCCCTCACAAAAAAAACTATTTGAGCTAGACAGAAAATCCTTTTTGTTTTGTTTTCATTTAGTTGAGCTCAGCAATGAGCAAGAATATATATATATATTTTTTAATATGTTGATTAGTGTTTTTTTTTACCAAAATCCCTATTAGTATGCCGTTTGATTCAACGGCTCATGCGCTTACTAAAATGGCAACCATTTTCGTTTTCACTACGCGGTAGAGGGATAAAACTAATGATCAGAAATATTACTCTTATACTTTTCTGTATTTAAAATTGCTTTTTATAGTTGTATTAGTCATGAAGCATGGCATGCTATTATTTCTGAAGCTTAAACTAAATTTTTGTTTATTATTTGTTATATTTGTATTTCATCCTAAAACTTGGTAATATGTGTTTTATCTCTTTACAGTTATTGAGAAAATAGAGTGAGTATGGCTGATGAATCCCAGTCTCCCCAGGAGGTCTCCCCGCTGCCAGATTCTATATCTGATCATTTAGATAGCGTAGAATCAGTGGTAGACCATCAGCCTGTTGTCAGCACAGAATCTAACTCATCAGAGTTACCAGCCTTGGTCGTTGATGTCTTTAATACAAATGCTCTGGCTTCATCCCCATCACCGGTTGAATCTGGTAGTACCAACTTTGCAAGATCTGCTGGGTGCTTACCATTACCTAAAGAAACTGAGAGAAATGCCTTGCCGGCATGCACCATAGCTCCAATGATACCAAGAAGCAATGACTTTCAATTAACTGGCTCTTCGTCGGCCTTCAGGCCATTTATTACACAACCCTTATCCTCCTCAAGGGAGATAACCTCCTCCTCCCAACACCAAAACTTAATAACATCCACTCCCATTTCTAGACGCGCTGAGAGATCCACTCTTCCAGGCACATTCATGTCATTTCAGAGAACCTCACCCACACCCTCTCCATTACGTCAAGTCTTGCTTGGTGACTCGGCCAATGGTAATGAAGACAATGAAGATGGGCGTACAACAGCATCTGCACCTCCTTGTACGCCTGCACCAGAACCACACATGCAACCACAGTCTCCGTTTAGAAATAACCGGCAGATTAAGAAAATTGATTTACTGGCTATGTCAAGATCTCGTCAGTCAGACAGGGCAGAAAATGCACGCAGAGATGGCCGCCTTGCACCCAGCCCCAGAAAAAAAGATGAAGTTCTTCGAAATAGTGGCTTCACTTTTCCATCCAACAGAGGCTATGAAGCTCAGTCCACTTTAAGGCTGAGCATGCACAACAGTCGTCTGGCTGGCTCAGACACAGGGATATCCCCAGAGAGAGTGGTCAATGGCACTTCAAGCACAGCTTCACCAAACATTGATGTGGTCAGTGTTGATGACCCAACTGACCCATCCAAGTGTATGTTCAGCATTCAGTTTCATGATTTTACCCCAGGTAAGATGGGCTTTTCATGTTTAAATCACTTGCAAGTTGCTTTTTCTAAAAGACTCCAATTCTCACCTTATTTTCTGTGGTTATGCATCAGATTTTGTCAATTTTTTCCCAAACACACCATACTCCCTACATTTTAGTTGAGTTATTATTAAAACAGGAACTTATCTTAGAAAAATTAATGGATGGCTCTTTATCTAAATATATGTTTATCCATCCCCTCATGTTTACAGATTTTCTAATTTCAAATTATCACCTTTCTTTAATTAACAGCAGAACAGCTGATGAAGTGTAATTTGTGTGGCTTCGTTACAAGCAATCAAAGGTTTTTCAGGCGACACAGGCGATTACACAGTCGACAGTACCAGCCCAACCTGATTCACTGCAGCCTTTGTGATTACAGCACCACACAGATCAGAAAAATGAGAGAACACACCATCAGCAACCATCATTTGTCACACCCGCATTCTTTGCCCAACTCCAGTCAAACTTACAACGCCCCGTCTGTCATCCCCGAGTCAACTCACAGGCCTCCAGTCCAAAGTCAGATATTTATGGGAAATGGTAGCATCTTCCATCCAGTGTCCAGCCGGCCTGTCAACGTGGCAGTTGGCACGGCTGCTGCTAATGTCATATCCAACACCTCCAGCCTAGGGTTGCCCACATACATCCCAACACCCCAAGCCTCTCACATCCATGTCAACACCCAGGCAGGCCTACAGCACCCACCAAGGGGCAGTGCTATGCTGGGGAATTACGCCCCCTCTAATGACCATCAGATGGCCAGCTACATGCAGTCTGTCCTGTCCAACCTGATGTCTCCCCGCACAGACCCCAGCAGTGCTGTCACCTCCTCCAGTCTGTACTTGCAGGCTGCCAGAAACTTCCCCCAGGAATCTCATACAGCTGTACCCTCCAGCAACCCACCAGTACTGGAGGAAACATACAACTACAGGCGCTTCTGGAATGCTAACAGCAGTAATGGAACTGTGCCTGTGAATCAGAACTTGAGAGGCTCGTCTTTTGTCAAGGTGAAGACAGAACCCAGGCCTGCTCCCATCAGCCAGCTGTCCAGAAGTGTCCATGACATGCCATCCAGCACGCAGAAGGACAGGCCTGTCAGGAGCCCACGGCGCCAGTCTGACACGCTGGACAGTGAGTCAGGGATGGACATGAGCAGTGATGACCACGCCTGCTCACCTCAGCCAGGTGCCCTGGGGGGCAGGACAGACGCCAGAGTGAGCACAGAGACTCTGGAAGCCAACAGAGCATCACAGGCAGACGAGTCCACGCTTGGGCCACAGTGTTCTCTGCCCTTCATTAAAATAGAATTTCCCCCGCATAGAGACACGTGTGGGTTGATGAACCGCAGCAACTGTAGCCGCACGGATCGCGAGGTTCAGTGTGAGATCATCTCCATGTCCAGCAACCACAGACAGGGCAGTCGCACCCAGTCTGAGACAGTCAGCAGTGCAGGGGGGTCAGCTCTTATAGAAACCAGGTGTTATTTCTGTGGGGTTACCTTTGATGATGAGGTCTTGTATTCAATTCATATAGGCTGTCACAGCCATACAGATCCTTTTATGTGCAATGTTTGCGGCAAGCAGTGTCATAATAAATATGGCTTTTATTCTCATATCATGCGAGGTCATCAGTCTAGACCAAACACGTAAAGGTGGCTGCTTATGTCCCCATAATGTGAGACATTTGTCTAAACTAAATTTACAGCGGTAGCTTGTTACTAATCCTTGATTGCTCTTTCACATCCACAAACCACTGCCCCAATACATAGACCTAACACTGCCAAATGAGCCCTGAGAACACTTGAAACCATTTTTGATGAGTTTAAATTGAATGATTGACTATTTTAATTAGAAAATGTATTATGTCAGATCTTTCTGTTCAATATTAGTAGTTTAAGCCTTTTAATTTATAATTCAAATGACACTCATTTTTGTAGATTACAGAAGATGTATAATTGATGTATACAATTGTATTAGCTAACCATTTGAAATCAATGTTTTGACCTTTGCCAAGAGGTTTTGACCAGCTGCCTAAAACCACAGAGTGACATATCTATGCAAGATGACAACTATAAATATATCTTAATTAATTAAGCTGTTTCGTTGTTAAAGCAGACACAACAATTTGATTAGTAGGGTAAAAAAAATAAAAAATGCACGTAAAAACATTTTCGAGGTGGTAATTTTGTTAAGCTTGCCATTTAAGTGTTATGCAGACTTTGATTGTTTAAATGTACTAGCAGAACTCATGTGCCATATCTTTGTAAGCTGGTCTAGAATTGATGTGTCAACAGTTCTAAGCGGACAGTAGTCTAGACGGTGTACTTATTTAGTCAAACATTTGCTTTGCTCTACATGTTAAAAAAGGAAGAAAATAGGGGTGGGCTTTTTTCAAATGTCTGTCATTTTAGAATACTTTTTTAATGAAATTTAAAATTGTAATTTTGTATGTTTTAAAATGTATGATCAAGTGTTTGATTAGAGCGTTGAAAAAAGATTTCTATGCAAGCTTCTAACCTGGTTTTGTAATTTGTTTATCAGTATGAAGCTCTGAAATCTTGGGAATCGAAGTTTTCAAATTCTTAAACTATTCTCTTGATAGATGGGTTCATCATTCAAACAAATTCTTAAACTATTCTCTTGATAGATGGGTTCATCATTCAAACCAATTTAAAATTCATCGTTCCAACCATTATCTAAAAACAAACTCTAAAACTAATAATCCCAACTATTTTCTTGATTCAGATTGATGTGTAGTGTGTATCAATGAAACAAATTTAAAGAGTTCCAAACATGTTTTTTAGTCCAATGGACAATGATGGGAGCACTTGGCTGTGATGTAAATATTGGTTGTATCTAAACACTTTGTGCACCCTTCACACTCTCGTACTTCTCATTCTAGACATAGCGCGCTTTCTGAATAATTCTCAGACCTATAAATCTCTCTCTTTTTCTCTTCCCCCTAACACCATCACAGTTAAAGAGAAACATTTTCTTTTTCCTTCTTAAGATCACGTTTGTACTTTTGCTACTGTCATTTTAAATGTCAATTATTTGTTACACACACTACAGGGCATTGAATCATTTGAACTTCTTATCTATTGGTATAGCTTAGTTTTTCAACTTTTAAAAGAGGCATATTTGCTAAACCTAACCCAGTTTGGATTAGGGTTTTTTAGAAAACTTTTTATCATCTGATGCATAGGGATGTAAATATTTTCCAATACTTGCTTACTTTGTTTAAAAAATGAATCGAAAATTGTGTGCATAATGCTTTAACAGTTGTTCTTGTTCATATATTTGATTTGTATTACTGCTGCTAATTTTTTTCTTTTTTTACAGCAATATTAAGCTTTTCAACGGTGCTCTAACTGATGACCATCCATAGCTCATGGTCATCTACAGCTAACTTAAGTTGTGATGACCATCCATAGCTCATGGTCATCTGACATGTATATCTTTGGGCTGTTGTTTATTTTATTTTTGGTATTATTGTTATACAGAAAATATGTTCACAATGATTTAGTTGATCGAAACATTGACAGATCAGATTTGAATTTTTGCACAGGTGGCATTGATTTTCTTAAAGCTCAATCTAAATCCAATACATGGTTGATTCCATAGTTTCATTTCATCTTTGTTTTAGAGTGGAGACAGAACCTTTTAAGTTTTGGATTCACAATTCATATTTATATAGAGGACACCTCCCCTCCCAAACTTTATTGTTTAAGAATTTACTTCACATATATTCATGTGTATTCAAAATTTGAAAAAAAATATATTTAGACAAAGGTTTGTGCAATAATTTTGTTTGATTAAGGCCACTTTGACCAAATATAATTTTTTAGATAACTTTTAATTTTTGAATCTGATCAGTGGCCACTCTCACTGTGTACATTACTAAAGAAATACAGGCTAGTAGGGTAATATATAGAATCAAAATGACCTTTCCCCCTTTGTTCTTAAATGTTTACCTTGTTTTTAAATTAGAATTATTTTTTTAAATTAAGGGTGAATTCTTGATTCTGGTAACACCATAGCAGGTGTCAATCAAATTTTCTTTTGCCAGCCACTGGCTGCCTGGTGTCTGCTGGCCACCTCTCGTTGTGTTCTGGCCACCTCTTGTTGTTTGCGGGCCAGGTTTCAAAGTGTGCTGGCCGCCTGACATTGTGTGCTGGCCGCCTGACATTGTGTGCTGGCCGCCTGACATTGTGTGCTGGCAACATTTGAGCTACTAACCATGACAATTGTACTTATCTGTACATATCTAATTATTAGCTGTGTTTAACACCTTGTTTGATGGTAGTACTGTAGACTTAAAAATTCTTGTCCATAAAGCTGTGAATTTTTGCTGAGTCTCTTAATGTTTTATCTTTATAGATAAATAGACTATGGGATTGCCATTTCAAAGAAACATCTGTGCAGTTGTCTAAAGTAAAATGCCAATTGTAGTTTACAATTTGTAATTGAAGAGCCAAATTTAACGTACTATAATTTTTTGTTTGATCCAAATTTTGTGGCCAGCTAAAATTATTTAATTGAAGAGCTACAAAATGTTTGGTTGAGCCACATTTTTTGGCCAGATAAAATTATTTAATTGAAGAGCCAAATTTAATAAAAGTTTGGTCTGAGCCATGTTTTTTGTTAGCTAAAATTTGTAATAGAAGAGCCAAATTTGACGTTTGGTTTGTGGCCAGCAAAATTTTTGTAATTGATGAGCCAAATTTAACATAATGTTTGGTTTGATCCACATCTTGTGGCCACCTACACTGTACAAGACAATGGTGTTCAAATCTTCTTTGTGTGTGTAATTTGTTATATCAATATGTAAGTATGATGACACTAACCACTGTTTGTCATGTAGCATTAATTACTCTTTTCTCCCTTGATTCTAGCTGAAGAACAAACTTACTTGATCTCATGTATACAATATTTTAAAGTCAACTTGTGTATGTTAAGTCTCTGCCTCTAGTGGAGTGTGTCAATATATATATAACTACCTACTTGTATATATTATGTTGTTTATTATGGTACTAAAAAGCCTAGTTAGTATTTACTGAAAAAAAAACCTGGTTGACTAGTCCCACTAAATTCTTGTCTGTTTAGATTAGCAATAGCTACATTAGCCTAGGCTCTGTCATGTTGAGAGTCAGCTACTTTAAGTCCTGTGTGGCATGATTTGCTCTCATTGGAGAGTGTAATAAAACAGTCATGTTCTTTTCTTCACTAGGTCAGGTTGTTTGAAACGTGTGTAATGTAGCTAGGTCAGGTTGTTTGAAACTTGTGTAATGTAGCTAGGTCAGGTTGTTTGAAACGTGTGTAATGTAGCTAGGTCAGGTTGTTTGAAACGTGTGTAATGTAGCTAGGTCAGGTTGTTTGAAACTTGTGTAATGTAGCTAGGTCAGGTTGTTTGAAACGTGTGTAATGTAGCTAGGTCAGGTTGTTTGAACTTGTGTAGCTAGGTCAAGTTGTTTGAAACGTGTGTAACTAGGTCAGGTTGTTTGAAACTTGTGTAATGTAGCTAGGTCAGGTTGTTTGAAACGTGTGTAATGTAGCTAGGTCAGGTTGTTTGAAATTTGTGTAATGTAGCTAGGTCAGGTTGTTTGAAACTTGTGTAATGTAGCTAGGTCAGGTTGTTTGAAACGTGTGTAATGTAGCTAGGTCAGGTTGTTTGAACTTGTGTAGCTAGGTCAAGTTGTTTGAAACTTGTGTAACTAGGTCAGGTTGTTTGAAACTTGTGTAATGTAGCTAGGTCAGGTTGTTTGAAACGTGTGTAATGTAGCTAGGTCAGGTTGTTTGAACTTGTGTAGCTAGGTCAAGTTGTTTGAAACTTGTGTAACTAGGTCAGGTTGTTTGAAACTTGTGTAATGTAGCTAGGTCAGTTTGTTTGAACTTGTGTAACTAGGTCAGGTTGTTTGAAACTTGTGTAATGTAGCTAGGTCAGGTTGTTTGAAACTTGTGTAATGTAGCTAGGTCAGGTTCATTTGTTGTTTCAACCTTGTGTACAGTGGACTGCCATGTCTCAGAGTTGTTATTTAAAGCTTCCCTAATTCAAATTTTTTTAACTTAATTTTTTGTTGTTTCCTGCATGAATTGTGCATTGTCATAAAATATTTGTTCAAACTATCAGATGTTCAAACAATTAGGCGGCAAATTGTTGAAGCTGGTTTCGGTGTAGTCATTGTGAGCATCAACCTCAGCTAGATGACTAAATTCATAGACTGGATTAAGGTAGTTTATTTATAGAACTGGTTCAACTCTTGTACTATTGCTGGTGGGTTTTTCTCCCCTAATTTTATGACCATGATGGTACCACATGTTCCTTCTATTTATAGATGTGTTTGTTTGGGTTGTGTTGTTCACCTTTTAAAAAGGAATAGTTGAGTTCATTTAGTCTTGTAGACTTTGATATTTTTTAAGACAACCCAACACCTAGTTTTTTCTGATTACCTTTATCATTCTTGCAGTGAATGCATTTGCTTGTGACTATTGGTTCTATTTATAGCTTCTATTTGTGCTTTCTCTAACTTGTCAACCAATTAAATTTATTTTTGTTTAATTCAAAACTCTAGTTTTGTTTATTTTTGCTTTATTGTTGTCAAAGTACATGGACAAAATTAAGTGCAGAAAATAAAGATGTTTACTGTAGCAGGAACACAGACTGTGAAGGTGTTTAGCAGAAACACAGACTATGAAGGTGTTTAGCAGAAACACAGACTATGAAGGTGTTTAGCAGGAACACAGACTATGAAGGTGTTTACTGTAGCAGGAACACAGACTATGAAGGTGTTTAGCAGGAACACAGACTATGAAGGTGTTTACTGTAGCAGGAACACAGACTATGAAGGTGTTTAGCAGGAACACAGACTGTGAAGGTGTTTACTGTAGCAGGAACACAGACTATGAAGGTGTTTACTGTAGCAGGAACACAGACTATGAAGGTGTTTACTGTAGCAGGAACACAGACTATGAAGGTGTTTACTGTAGCAGGAACACTGACTATGAAGGTGTTTAGCAGAAACACAGACTATGAAGGTGTTTAGCAGGAACACAGACTATGAAGGTGTTTACTGTAGCAGGAACACAGACTATGAAGGTGTTTACTGTAGCAGGAACACAGACTATGAAGGTGTTTACTGTAGCAGGAACACTGACTATGAAGGTGTTTAGCAGAAACACAGACTATGAAGGTGTTTAGCAGGAACACAGACTATGAAGGTGTTTACTGTAGCAGGAACACAGACTGTGAAGGTGTTTACTGTAGCAGGAACACAGACTGTGAAGGTGTTTAGCAGGAACACAGACTGTGAAGGTGTTTAGCTGGAACACAGACTATGAAGGTGTTTACTGTAGCAGGAACACAGACTATGAAGGTGTTTACTGTAGCAGGAACACAGACTGTGAAGGTGTTTACTGTAGCAGGAACACTGACTGTGAAGGTGTTTACTGTAGCAGGAACACAGACTATGAAGGTGTTTAGCAGGAACACAGACTATGAAGGTGTTTAGCAGGAACACAGACTATGAAGGTGTTTACTGTAGCAGGAACACAGACTATGAAGGTGTTTACTGTAGCAGGAACACAGACTATGAAGGTGTTTAGCAGGAACACAGACTATGAAGGTATTTACTGTAGCAGTAACACAGACTATGAAGGTGTTTACTGTAGCAGGAACACAGACTATGAAGGTGTTTAGCAGGAACACAGACTATGAAGGTGTTTACTGTAGTAGGAACACTGACTATGAAGGTGTTTAGCAGAAACACAGACTATGAAGGTGTTTACTGTAGCAGGAACACAGACTATGAAGGTGTTTAGCAGGAACACAGACTGTGAAGGTGTTTACTGTAGCAGGAACACAGACTATGAAGGTGTTTAGCAGGAACACAGACTGTGAAGGTGTTTACTGTAGCAGGAACACAGACTATGAAGGTGTTTACTGTAGCAGGAACACAGACTATGAAGGTGTTTACTGTAGCAGGAACACAGACTGTGAAGGTGTTTAGCAGGAACACAGACTATGAAGGTGTTTACTGTAGCAGGAACACAGACTATGAAGGTGTTTACTGTAGCAGGAACACAGACTATGAAGGTGTTTACTGTAGCAGGAACACAGACTATGAAGGTGTTTACTGTAGCAGGAACACAGACTATGAAGGTGTTTACTGTAGCAGGAACACAGACTATGAAGGTGTTTACTGTAGCAGGAACACTGACTATGAAGGTGTTTACTGTAGCAGGAACACAGACTATGAAGGTGTTTACTGTAGCAGGAACACAGACTATGAAGGTGTTTACTGTAGCTGGAACACGGTGTGACGTCAGAGATCGATACCCCAGCGCCACCCTGACAGGGCCATCGATGTACGCGTGCGTCACACGCCTCCCCCGGACCTCAAGAACGTTAATCAGTGACCGTTATCTGACCCAGTTTAAAGATTGTATTTCTTTAATTCGTTTCAACGTGAGTACTTGCACGCGTGGCAATCAGCGGACGCCAACGTATGTGTACCGATAATCAATAAGCTCATTTGGACATTCTGGTAGCTGAGCTGTGTGGTAGTGGAACTCTGCTCACGATGTGCTAAACTCTCCTCGCGATGTGCTGAGTGAAGAGACCGGTATGTTCTTTTCCATTCATCTCTTAGCAAATGCTGATAATGACAATATTAACACAAAATTTTGATACATTAGTGTGATTTCCATAATTAAAAATAACGGTTTAAAATCTATGAAATTGTTTCTTGGTGCATGGAAAGGATATAGGTATAATGGTGTGAGGGGGTAATAGTATACTATAATCGTGTGTAGTGTAACGTTTGATTGGGCGATGGGTCAAAATGTTCGCGTATGTTTGTTTCTACATGGTAAATGTATGGTTCTATTTACACGATAATAATTATCTGTTGTAGTTTTTTAAATTCTAGTTTGAGAGGAGCCCAGCCATGCCACCACCAACTGCTGGATTTACCTGGCTCATGGCGTGATAGCGGGATGGAGGTAGATGTGGCCAGGTGTGCTGCCTCTGGACCGTCCCTGCACGCATGCCTCACCTGTCACCTGTGCGGGGAGATCTTCCGCAGGCCTCGGATCCTCCCCTGCGGGCACACCTTCTGCGGCGAGTGTCTCCTCAAGCTCAAGGACGACCAGCTCGGCGATGGCCAGAAAACTGAGGCGGTGTCCGTCTCGTCTGATGTGACTGACGACCCAGGTCACGCCGACTCGGCCAGTGTCTGCAGCTCTCGGCCCGGCCCGCCCAGTGACGTGGACAGTCTCGTGGGCGCCGAGCAGCTGGTCAATGGCATGAGCCGCAGCCAGACGTTCTTCAGAGAGAAGCGTCATCAGTCATGTGACCGGAGTCCGTCACGGTTCAGCGCCCCTGCCGGCATTGGTGGGAGTGAGAAGAGCTGCTCCAAATGTGGTCACGTGACCTCGTCAACCTTGCCCCGCCGCGGCAAGACGTCACAGAGCACGCCCTGCATCGTCAGCAAAAGCCCCAAACGTCAGGGGAGTGGCGGCTCCAGCCCTAGGTGGAGCGCCAGCCCACAGAGAACCTCGCACCTCTCGCCGTCCTCGTTCGACCACAAGCACGTGAGGGAGATGGACCTGATCGTCTGCCCACTGCCTGACTGCAGCTACTCGCTGCGGGTCATGAACCTGGCTCGGTGGTCGCCAAAGAACAACGCTCTAGCTGACGTCATCAGCGCCTGGAGACGGCAGAGAGAGAATCTTCAGGTGAGTAGTGCCACTTTTCTTTTCATTCGATTTTTTTTTAGTAAACCAGAGCAGAGCACAGTTTGTGTGCTAATTATAAATTTCAAAGTAATTAGTAATGTAATCCGTTTAGGTGACTGGGTATTTCACATTTGGCGACATTATTTCATGTAAACTATATACACACTACTATCCGGTCCCTGCATTACAGTTGCACTAGATCCTATATGATAAATGTGAACCGCTAAATTTTAATGTTACCGTCATCTCTAGTTCATGATTAGTTTTTGGTGCATTACTAACCCCACAACTGAATGTGTACATGACCCCAGCGTCACCCCACAACTGAATGTGTACATGTCCCCAGTGTCCCCCCCCCCCCCCCACAACTGAATGTGTACATGTCCCCAGCGCCCCCCACAACTGAATGTGTACATGTCCCCAGCGCCCCCCACAACTGAATGTGTACATGTCCCATCCACAGGATGCCAGCACACAGACAGACATCAGTACAGACAAGTCGCTTCTAGTGACCATCCCACGGACCCTGGTGGACAGCCGAGCCCTGCAGCCCCTGGGTCAGCGCAGACGACACTCCTCCATGATGGACATGGCCTTGGACAGCGCCATCAGCATGGACAGTCTGGAGAGGGGGTACATCCCCAGGGGTCACGTCACCTGGAGATCCTATGCAGCCATGGTTGGCATGAACATTCTGCAGCAAATTGTCAATTTGTGAACGTCCAGCTTCAATGTGTACTGGTCAATTTGTGAACGTCCAGCTTCAATGTGTACTGGTCAATTTGTGAACGTCCAGCTTCAATGTGTACTGGTCAATTAGTGAACGTCCAGCTTCAATGTGTACTGGTCAATTTGTGAACGTCCAGCTTCAATGTGTGCTGGTCAATTTGTGAACGTCCAGCTTCAATGTGTACTGGTCAATTTGTGAACGTCCAGCTTCAATGTGTGCTGGTCAATTTGTGAACGTCCAGCTTCAATGTGTACTGGTCAATTTGTGAACGTCCAGCTTCAATGTGAACTGGTCAATTTGTGAACGTCCAGCTTCAATGTGTACTGGTCAATTTGTGAACGTCCAGCTTCAATGTGTACTGGTCAATTTGTGAACGTCCAGCTTCAATGTGTACTGGTCAATCTGTGAACGTCCAGCTTCAATGTGTACTGGTCAATTTGTGAACGTCCAGCTTCAATGTGTACTGGTCAATTTGTGAACGTCCAGCTTCAATGTGTACTGGTCAATTTGTGAACGTCCAGCTTCAATGTGTGCTGGTCAATTTGTGAACGTCCAGCTTCAATGTGTGCTGGTCAATTTGTGAACGTCCAGCTTCAATGTGAACTGGTCAATTTGTGAACGTCCAGCTTCAATGTGTACTGGTCAATTTGTGAACGTCCAGCTTCAATGTGTACTGGTCAATTTATGAACGTCCAGCTTCAATGTGTACTGGTCAATTTGTGAACGTCCAGCTTCAATGTGTACTGGTCAATTTGTGAACGTCCAGCTTCAATGTGTACTGGTCAATTTGTGAACGTCCAGCTTCAATGTGTACTGGTCAATTTGTGAACGTCCAGCTTCAATGTGTACTGGTCAATTTGTGAACGTCCAGCTTCAATGTGTGCTGGTCAATTTGTGAACGTCCAGCTTCAATGTGTACTGGTCAATTTGTGAACGTCCAGCTTCAATGTGTGCTGGTCAATTTGTGAACGTCCAGCTTCAATGTGTGCTGGTCAATTTGTGAACGTCCAGCTTCAATGTGTACTGGTCAATTTGTGAACGTCCAGCTTCAATGTGTACTGGTCAATTTGTGAACGTCCAGCTTCAATGTGTGCTGGTCAATTTGTGAACGTCCAGCTTCAATGTGTACTGGTCAATTTGTGAACGTCCAGCTTCAATGTGAACTGGTCAATTTGTGAACGTCCAGCTTCAATGTGTACTGGTCAATTTGTGAACGTCCAGCTTCAATGTGTACTGGTCAATTTGTGAACGTCCAGCTTCAATGTGTACTGGTCAATTTGTGAACGTCCAGCTTCAATGTGTACTGGTCAATTTGTGAACGTCCAGCTTCAATGTGTACTGGTCAATTTGTGAACGTCCAGCTTCAATGTGTGCTGGTCAATTTGTGAACGTCCAGCTTCAATGTGTACTGGTCAACTTGTGAACGTCCAGCTTCACTGTGTACTGGTCAATTTGTGAACGTCCAGCTTCAATGTGTGCTGGTCAATTTGTGAACGTCCAGCTTCAATGTGTACTGGTCAATTTGTGAACGTCCAGCTTCAATGTGAACTGGTCAATTTGTGAACGTCCAGCTTCAATGTGTACTGGTCAATTTGTGAACGTCCAGCTTCAATGTGTACTGGTCAATTTGTGAACGTCCAGCTTCAATGTGTACTGGTCAATTTGTGAACGTCCAGCTTCAATGTGTACTGGTCAATTTGTGAACGTCCAGCTTCAATGTGTACTGGTCAATTTGTGAACGTCCAGCTTCAATGTGTACTGGTCAATTTGTGAACGTCCAGCTTCAATGTGTGCTGGTCAATTTGTGAACGTCCAGCTTCCATGTTTATTAGTCCACGCAGGATTCGAACATTTAATGAACATTTTTATCTCAGAGAGTTTAGGTACCTGATCACCAATAAGTGATACATTCCCATCAATATCTGCTTGTTATAGATCATGCTTGTTTATATGGAGTAGTGTTTAACTAAGGCCTCGCTTCACACTGAACGTACTGTATGTCTGTGATGAGGCTGTCTGGTGGTACATACATTTTAGTAGAGTGTAACAAACACATTCAGCTGTGTGTGGTATATGTGGTTATGTGTATATGGTCACCTATGGTGTGGCTATCACTGTGTGTGGTATATGTGGTTGTGAGATGTATATGGTCACCTATGGTGTGGCTTTCACTACATGTTATTCAATGGTGGCGTGCAACAATAATGAATGACAACCAATGTGAAACAAGACAAAAATAATGGTTCATTACAAAAATCAATGTCTGATTGGGGAAAGTCTGTGATTCTGTACATAGCTGCATTTAAAGTCTGTGTCAGTTTTTTTATTTCAATGTAAACATCCACATGGGCACACAGCTACCTCTAGAGGTGTTGCTTTTTTTTATTTGCAAGAATTAGAAAAAATAAAACCCATTAAAATATGTTTTTGTAGACATTTCTATTGCATTAAATCATTAACAAGTGGGAACATGAATTAAAAGATGCATGTTAATAAAGAGTGCATTCACTTAAGTAAACAATATTTTCACTATTTACAGTAAAGTTATTTAATCGTGAAATGATAAATGGCAGTGACTTTCATGCTGATAAATTATTTGTTAACCACCTGTTCCACATGAGCCATCAATTAAGAGGTCACTTCAGGAAAGTCATGTAATTAGTAAAATCTCACAAGAAATTCCTATGAGAAAACCAAATTGAGCCAATCAACATGTTGATTTATGCTTGATTCAAAGATGAGGAAATTGAATTAAAAAACTTAAGTGGCCAATGTAAAATTGCAGTTTCTTTCAAACCTTGCAGGTTTACAAGAGACTAGGTGTTTTGCCAAAATTCTGCTCCAACTAATTATGGTCAGGTTCTATGGGGTGAAAACCACCTCTACAAACTTACATGGTAAAATATTCAAATAAAAATATCTAATACATTAAAATAACTGACAACCACTGGGTTGTGCTAGTAATGAATTTGTTGAACAATTTTGTGAACTACCTTAGGACTCTGCCTGTTACAAAATTAATCAAGTTAATGTCACTCAACTCAAGACAAAACTGCTTCAATCTTAGCAGTTTGCTTCAAATAAATATTTTGTGATTGATTTAATTTTAATTTTACAGTGCTAGAAAACATTTCTTACTGTTTGACATAGTTACATTCACCTGAGGGGCTGGGGACAGTTGTGTGTAGGTCATCAGGGGTGGGGACAGTTGTGTGTAGGTCATCAGGGGTGGGGACAGTTGTGTGTAGGTCATCAGGAGTGGGGACAGTTGTGTGTAGGTCATCAGGGGTGGGGACAGTTGTGTGTAGGTCATCAGGAGTGGGGACAGTTGTGTGTAGGTCATCAGGAGTGGGGACAGTTGTGTGTAGGTCATCAGGAGTGGGGACAGTTGTGTGTAGGTCATCAGGAGTGGGGACAGTTGTGTGTAGGTCATCAGGGGTGGGGACAGTTGTGTGTAGGTCATCAGGAGTGGGGACAGTTGTGTGTAGGTAATCAGGGGTGGGGACAGTTGTGTGTACACAGGTCATCAGGGGTGGGGACAGTTGTGTACACAGGTCATTAGGGGTGGGGACAGTTGTGTGTACACAGGTCATCAGGAGTGGGGACAGTTGTGTGTACACAGGTCATCAGGGGTGGGGACAGTTGTGTGTAGGTCATCAGGGGTGGGGACAGTTGTGTGTAGGTAATCAGGGGTGGGGACAGTTGTGTGTACACAGGTCATCAGGAGTGGGGACAGTTGTGTGTAGGTAATCAGGGGTGGGGACAGTTGTGTGTACACAGGTCATCAGGGGTGGGGACAGTTGTGTACACAGGTCATTAGGGGTGGGGACAGTTGTGTGTAGGTCATCAGGGGTGGGGACAGTTGTGTGTAGGTCATCAGGAGTGGGGACAGTTGTGTGTAGGTCATCAGGAGTGGGGACAGTTGTGTGTAGGTCAACAGGAGTGGGGACAGTTGTGTGTACACAGGTCATCAGGGGTGGGGACAGTTGTGTGTAGGTCATCAGGGGTGGGGACAGTTGTGTGTACACAGGTCATTAGGGGTGAGGACAGTTGTGTGTAGGTCGTCAGGGGTGGGGACAGTTGTGTGTAGGTCATCAGGGGTGGGGACAGATGTGTGTGGGTCATCATGAGTGGAGGACAGTTGTGTGTAGGTCATCAGGGGTGGGGACAGTTGTGTGTAGGTCATCAGGGGTGGGGACAGTTGTGTGTACACAGGTCATCAGGAGTGGGGACAGTTGTGTGTAGGTCATCAGGAGTGGGGACAGTTGTGTGTAGGTCATCAGGGGTGGGGACAGTTGTGTGTACACAGGTCATCAGGAGTGGGGACAGTTGTGTGTACACAGGTCATCAGGGGTGGGGACAGTTGTGTGTAGGTCATCAGGGGTGGGGACAGTTGTGTACACAGGTCATTAGGGGTGGGGACAGTTGTGTGTAGGTCGTCAGGGGGGGGGGGGGACAGTTGTGTGTAGGTCATCAGGGGTGGGGACAGTTGTGTGTACATAGGTCATCAGGGGTGGGGACAGGTGTGTGTAGGTCATCAGGAGTAGGGACAGTTGTGTGTAGGTCATCTGACTATGAGGTCAGACTATTTCAACATTTCTATACGTGGGGCATGTGTTAAATCATATATAAAAAGGTCAGACTGTTTCAACATTTCTATATGGGGGATATGTGTTTAATCATACATATGAGGTCAGCCTATTTCAAACTTTCCTCTTCCCTCTCTGGTAAGTGTGTCCAATCAATTTGAGATTTTCCTGCTGATGACAGCAATTCATTACACAGAGCAAAATGTCGGCAGCCCAGAAAGTCTCTGTGTGCTGAGAGTGGGGATGGATGAACACTCTTCAGAATGTGATGTTTTTTCTGTGGAGGTGAGAGCAAACAATGGTGCCAACACAGGTATTTTATTTCACAAGTCAACACCTTGGAGATTATGCTAATGGTGACAGAATAAAATATTTCAGGAACAAAACCAATGAGCATCAATAAACAACTGCTAACATGGACATTTCTGTACCCACACACATCTAACATGGACATTTCTGTACCCACACACACATCTAACATGGACATTTCTGTACCCACACACATGTCTAACATGGACATTTCTGTACCCACACACATCTAACATGGACATTTCTGTACCCACACACACATCTAACATGGACATTTCTGTACCCACACACATGTCTAACATTGACATTTCTGTACCCACACACACGTCTAACATGGACATTTCTGTACCCACACACACGTCTAACATGGACATTTTTGTACCCACACACATGTCTAACATGGACATTTCTGTACCCACACACATCTAACATGGACATTTCTGCACCCACACACATGTCTAACATGGACATTTTTGTACCCACACACACGTCTAACATGGACATTTCTGTACCCACACACATGTCTAACATGGACATTTCTGTACCCACACACATGTCTAACATGGACATTTCTGTACCCACACACATGTCTAACATGGACATTTCTGTACCCACACACATGTCTAACATGGACATTTCTGTACCCACACACATGTCTAACATGGACATTTCTGTACCCACACACATGTCTAACATGGACATTTCTGTACCCACACACATGTCTAACATGGACATTTCTGTACCCACACACATGTCTAACATGGACATTTCTGTACCCACACACACATCTAACTGGTGTGAAAATTTCTGTGCCAATGAACTGCCTTAATAATGGTGAGTTCCAATCAGGTGTTTCCATAGAAACACTAACTAGCCCAATCAGGTGTTACCATAGCAACACCAACTATCCCAATACAGCGACACCAACTGACCAAACATGAACTGTCCTGACCATTTCTTTATAGACCAACCAGGTATCTGTGCACCAACAATGTGGGAACAAAATTCTAGTCTACTAGTCTGGTAAAGAATTATAAACATTATTGTTCTGCATATGGCATGGTCAAATGGTAGAGCATATGGCTGCTAGCCTAAATGTTTGATATCTGTGAGTCACCAAGCTTTGATGACTTACGTTGGGGAAAGTAAAGGTGGCTGGGGAAAATGCTGACCACACTATTCCTTTAAATGCAGAGGTCAAGAAAAAACTATTTAATCTGCCAAAGTGATTGCTAGGTTGAAAGAAGAACTTGATGTAATTATCATTCTACTTAGCTATCACAACTTTTAGGTAAGTGATAGCCCCCTTTTTTTTTTACTGCTGGACAAAAAGGAAATAGTATAATGACTACTTACAGTATTGATACAAGCTCCTTTCTTGTGTGCATATGCCCCCCACAACATGAACACCAGGCCTGACAAGTTCAGGTTCAGCCACTGTATGACTGCGTCAGTAAACTTTTCCCAACCTTTATCAGCGTGGGAGTTGGCTTGAGATGCCCTCACTGTCAAACATGCATTGAGTAGCAGGACACCTGGGGGAACAAAGGTAAAAGCTATATACACCTGTCCATTTTATGTTGAGTAGCAGGACACCTGGGGGAACAAAGGTAAAAGCTATATACACCTGTCCATTTTATGTTGAGTAGCAGGACACCTGGGGGAACAAAGGTAAAAGCTATATACACCTGTCCATTTTACATGGAGTAGCAGGACACCTGGGGGAACAAAGGTAAAAGCTATATACACCTGTCTATTTTACATTGAGTAGCAGGACACCGGGGGGAACAAAGGTAAAAGCTATATACACCTGTCCATTTTACATTGAGTAGCAGGACACCTGGGGGAACAAAGGTAAAAGCTATATACACCTGTCCATTTTACATTGAGAAGCAAAACACCTAGAGAACATTGGTAAAAGCTATACATTGCACATTTTCACAAGAATAAACAACATTCTACATCTATATATATAAAGCAAAGTGGTCAAGTGCCCGATAGGGCACTTCCCGGCGCCGCAGGCGCGTCAAATTTGGCACGATGATGCCTTGGGGAGATAGAACACGAGGGCAGGTGACGGTTGGCCGAAAAGTCGACGGAGAGGGGGTCAAAACTGACCTCAACTGACCGGCGCCTTATATGGGCTATATTACGAAAAAAAAATTTCCTCCGACGACCCCCCTTGATATTTTGTGAGGTGGTAGGAGAACGCCTTGGGGTGTCACAAAAAACTCGCCATGTCCGGGAAAAATAGGGAAATGGGTCAAAACTGACCAGTCGTATTTCCCTATATAATCTTTGTATTTTATGGGAAAAACATAGGGTCATTTCCAATCGGATTTTAGGGCGCTTACCCTCTTTACATCTGGCTAAGTTTTGGCATGTTTATAGGTAAATGGCTTGGCCGTAGGGCAGAAATGTCGGTTTGACTCAAAGCACTCGACGAGGGCTAAAACGTGACCGCCAGTGAAATTCTCTTTATATGAGCTCTATTACGAAAAAAAATTTCCTCCGACGACCCCCCTTGAAATTTTGTGAGGTGGTAGGAGAACGCCTTGGGGTGTCACAAAAAACTCGGCATATCTGGAAAAACTTCGTAAAGGGGTCAAAACTGACCAGTTGTATTTCCCTATATAATCTTTGTATTTTATGGGAAAAACAGAGGGTCATTTCAACGCAGACTTTAGGGTACTTAAACTCAGTATATCTGGCTACTTTTTTGCATACTCTTAGGTAAATGGCTTGACCTTTAGGGGAAACTGTCGGTTTCAGTCAAAGCCCTCGACGAGGGCTAAAAAGTGACCGCGAGTGAAATTCTCTTTATATGAGCTCTATTATGAAAAAAAATTTCCTCCGACGACCCCCCTTGAAATTTTGTGAGGTGGTAGGAGAACGCCTTGGGGTGTCACAAAAAACTCGCCATGTCCGGGAAAAATAGGGAAATGGGTCAAAACTGACCAGTCGTATTTCCCTATATAATCTTTGTATTTTATGGGGAAAACAGAGGGTCATTTCAAAACGGATTTTAGGGCACTTACCCTATTTACATCTGGCTAAGTTTTGGCATGCTTATAGGTAAATGGCTTGGCCGTAGGGCGGACCTGTCGGTTTGACTCAAAGCACTCGATGAGGGCTAAAAAGTGACCGCGAGTGAAATTCTCTTTATATGAGCTCTATTACGAAAAAAAAATTCCTCCGACGACCCCCCTTGAAATTTTGTGAGGTGGTAGGAGAATGCCTTGGGGGTGTCACAAAAAACTCGCCATGTCCTGGAAAAATCGGGAAATGGGTCAAAACCGACCAGTCGTATTTCCCTATATAATATTTGTATTTTATGGCAAAAACAGGGAAATTTTAACACAATTTTTAGGTTACTTAACGTCTGTACATCATGCTAAGTTTTTGCATACACTACTATAGATGACTATGCCGTATGGAAAAACTGTTGGTCAGACTCAAAGCCCTCGACGAGGGCTAAAAGATGATCGTGAGTGAAATTCTCCTTATATGAGATATATATATATATAAATAGACGAACGATCCCCTTAATATTATATGACGTCGTAGACCAACCCTGGAAGTTAACAAAAAAAATTTATTCCCGTCGGAAACAGCCATTTTAGTCGTTAAATATGTTCATATACCGTAATTTCTTATATAAGCATAGCTACTGTTTGTAAAAAAAAAAGTAAACAAAGACTTACATCATACGTTCTTTTTTCAAGGGAGGTAACGTTTGTAAAATATTTATTTTTCAAATAATTGTATACTATTTTAAACAGAAACAGAAAATGACGAAGTATAGCATTTGTTTTAGTACAAAATTAAGTTGTTAATTCAGTTACATATCCTAATTAAATAAATAAATAAATTTCAAAAGGCAATGTAATATAAACTATGAGATATACTGTTCATGGGACCTGTGTAGTTCTAATTCCATTTTAGTTATACATTGCGTACTTTCCAATATTTCGCTGAGAACGGTATTTAAATGACAAAAAAAAAAACATTTTTTTTTTCTAAACTTAGCATTACTGTTTAAATTAAAGCACTCCACACCCAATTCATCGCTAAATAATTAAGTATTCAAATTCTCAAATGTTATTTAAAAATCTAAGCGAAGCTAGGCAGTATGCCTAGTTGGTTATATTGCCAAAGCAATATTTGATAAAACTACGCACTACAAAATCAGACTATGTTTTACTACCATGAAAACAAAATGTAATGTTTTTGTAACTTTTTTTAATATTACCTGCAGCATCTAACTGCTGGTTTCACTTTACAAGCAAAAATATTTAAATGTAACAGTAATTACATTGATTAGCTCAACAATATTTAAATATAACAGTGATTACATTGATTAGCTTTCCAATATCTATAATATAAGCGGGCTGGTAGTGTGTCAGTTTATCCGTCATCGATATAGATTTTGGAACCTTAAAAGTAAACACATCACATGTCGTGCTTTTACTTGCATCGCAGTGTCTTATTAAAATTAATAGAGAAGGGTTTCTTTACATAACAACTTAAATTTATTTTATAGTTGCCACTGTTTTTACTCTTTCGTAAAGTAAATATTAATTACACGTAAATGCTAAAACATATTAAACGGATCAATGTCAAATATCATTTTCATTTTGAAAAAGTGTATACATTTTAATAATAATAGGGTCGAAAAAACTAATTAATTAAACTGTTTTGTAATTTTGCCAAGGGAGGTAATTTAAAAATAAATTCAACTCACAGCTAATAAAAAAATGTGAATGCAAATTCTGCAGACGTGTAAGAGGACATTATTGTTGGAATATTATAATTAGCATAGATTGATGAAAGGCTATCTTTTATTTATTTTATTCACTGAACGTACTGTTTACTAATTTTAATCTTTAATCAACTATTCTGCACTATTATACACACGTCATCATGTTCATTAGGTGCGTAATGGTTTCAATCATAAAACTCTATTGTAAACTATTAAAATTTAAAGTACTGAAAAAAACACATGAATTGATAAAGTGCAATATGGTAGGTAAAACACGGATATTTTAAATACTGCCTTTTATTTATTTTATACACTGAGCACTGTTTAATAATTATTATTCTATCTTTCGGTTTGGGGACAAGCTGGGGGTTTTATAGTCATTCACTGAATCAGGGGCCTCCGTCGGCTCACGGATAGGGTGCGATTTGGCACCACCGACTAGACTGTGAGCACTATGCGTTTATGTTTGCATTTAAGTTGTGTTATGAGTGTTGTGTTTGTTTTTTCGTTTGTGTTTTTTTTTTTTGCGTTTACATTTGTGTTTGCATTGTGGTTGTGTTTTTATTTGCGTTTATTTTTTCTTTTGCAATTGTTTTTGTGTGTCCCGTTTGTTTTTGTTTTTGCATTGTATTTGTGTTTTCTTTTGTGTTGTGTTGGTACATTTAAAAAGGATTTAACGTTGCGGAGCAAGGGTATGCAGCTAGTTTTAATATAACAGTAATTACATGAATTAGCTCTAGAATATTAAAATATAACAGTAATCACCTTGATTAGCTCTACAATAATTAAAAAAAAACTAATCACCTTGATTAGCTCTACACTATTACAATACAACAGTAATCACCTTGAGTAGCTCTACAATATTTAAATAAAACCTGTTATCACCTTGATTAGCCCAACCAATGAGATTTCCATGACCTGGACGTTTGAAACCCTCTATGCTTGACTCCAGTTCCTTGAACATGTTTTCTAAACTGATCAAACAAAAAGTTGGAAACTAAAATGGGGAAAAAATTGCAGTAACTTTAACACACTATTCACAACTTTTGATAAAAGAACAACAAGTTTATGACAGATGAAAGATTCACAAGGTAGGAGAGAGAAAAAAACCTCACTTACCTAGGAGGTGGCTTTACCCCAGGTAAAACACTGAAGCACAAACCTGTGACAAATCAATTCAAGTAGTTAGTCATTTAACATTGGACAACGATGTATTCCTTAAAGCAAATTAATTAATCTTAAGACTATGTTCCCTTATAATGTCGCAGCACTCATTAATTCCCCCTTGAACTTTAAGCTACACTGCTAATAAAATAATCTCTGATGCTAAAGGTTCCCCGAAAAGTTGACCACAGCATTAATCAGTTTACCATGAGCTTGTCTGGGTCCATGGTAAGGATCTTGACCTATGATGACTACTTTTACCTGCAAGACATACACAACTGTAAGGCACTTGTGGGGTGAGGCATTACTGTAAGCATTTGAATGAGTAAACAACCCAAATCACATTTAAAGTAAAAAAAAGCAATTACTGAATCAATACGACATGTCCTAGTCCATGAAAAAACCTGTTCTGGTGGTGGGTAAACTGTGCCTTTCTTTCTTTCTTCAGCGATGAATGTACCAAGCTGAAACAAATAGGTTTGAGCAAAATAATAAAATCAAACACATTTTCAATTATATTTATTTAGATAATTAAAGTTGTTTGAATTATTTTTTAAAATTGAAAATGCTGAAAGACACCTTAATAAAGTATTCTTTAGAAAATTCAGGTTCTAATGCAGTGAACCATGAGTGGCCAACATTTTGGACCAGACCTCCTGTTTTCCCACCAATCAACTTCATCTTGGCAGCCAGTTTATTTTGCTCCACTCTTTTTCTATCATTTTCTGATAATTCCACAGGACAACTTTGCTTTTCAGAGCTCTCAGACAATTTGACTTTTTTCACTGCTGGTTCTTTAATTTCCTCTTCTTCAATTTGACCTTTAACCTGTGGAAAGTAAAATTAACTCTCTTAAATGAAAAGGTATTTTTTTGTCTGAATTATCATTAGGCTATTTCTATTTTATATTGTGTAACCAATGTTTCTATCAGACATATTTCTCTGATGGGGGGATGACACCCGTTAAAGTAGCCAATAATATATAGACTATATAAGATTTATTTCTTCTATCTATTTCAGGGTGAATGTTTAGATATGGTTAGGGCAGAATGGAGAGAAAGACATGCTGGGGGGGGGGGGGGAACCTCTTTCCCCCCCCCCCCCCCCCCCCCCCCCCAGATTTAATCTATAATAATAGTTTCGCTGTCTGTCAAGAACGCTCTGTCTGACAAGAACGCTCTGTCTGACAAGAACGCTCTAGAGAAAACACAAGCAAAATAAAAACATGCATAGTAATTCGAAAAACGAAGTATGACGTCGACACATTTAGCGCACAGAGTAGAAAATAATCTCACAGTAATATAATGACGTCATTGATTCTGGCGTAAATATTGAATAAAGAGGACATGTTGTCTAATCTAAGTGGTTTGCGTGAAGAGTTTCTTGCATACAATTCTTCGGGTAGGGGCGAAGCCCCACCCCCCGCGTAAGAACGTCTGAGCCCCTCCCCCTCCCCAACTCAAAAGAAATTTCCTCATCGATACTCTATAATAAAATTACCGCCTAATTAATGTGTCTAATCTAAAAAGTGGTTTTCTTGCAATGGGACGGTAGACATGATTTTTTTTGGGGGGGGGGGGGGGGGTGGAGGGGTTGGGGGGGGGGTGTGTGTGTGGGGGGGTGGTGTGTGTGGGTGGGGGGGGGTGTGTGTGGGGGGGTGGTGTGTGTGGGTGGGGGGGGGGTGTGGGGGGGGTGGGTTGGTTTCAGTGTTTCTTTCAGACTTTTTCCTCCCCGGAGAGGGGTGGGGGGTACTTGAAATTTTCGGGGGCGGGGGTAGAATTTTCTGGGAGGGGGCGGACACTGGAAAAAGTATATAATTATATTTCGTTGAATGGGACGGTAGACATGTTTTTTTTGGGGGTGGGGGGTGGTGGAGGGGTGGGGGTGGGGGTGGTGTGTGGGGGGGTGGGGTGGGGGGTGGGGGGTTGGGGGGTGGGTTGGTTTCAGTGTTTCTTTCAGACTTTTTCCTCCCCGGAGAGGGGTGGGGGTACTTGAAATTTTTGGGGGCGGGGATAGAATTTTCTGGGAGGGGGCGGACACTGGAAAAAGTATATAATTATATTTCGTTGAATGGGACGGTAGACATGTTTTTTTTTGGGGGGGGGGGGGGGGGGGGGGGGGGGGTTGGGGGGCGGTGTGTGGAGGGGGTGGTGTGTGGGGGGTGAGGGGTGGGGGTGGGGGTGGTGGGGGGTGGGGGTGAGGGGTGGGGGTGGGGGTGGTGGGGGGTGGGGGTGGGGGTGGTGGGGGGTGGGGGGTGGGGGTGGTGTGTGGGGGTGGGGGTGGTGTGTGGGGTGGTGGGTTGGTTTTAGTTTAGAGAAAAGAGACAGCACTATCAGCCTAGCGCCCGTTGTACCCTTCCTCAACGGGCCATTTTTCTCGTAAATATAGAATTATCATTTTGTTATTTTGAGCACCTTGGGGCATAGTGATATTTTGTTAGGAACTTTCACTTTCCTCAGTGATAAGTACTAAAGTAGATCTATGATGGTAGATAATTAAGTAGAAATCTAGGGCAAGCACTACTCTAGTCTACACTAAACACTTTGACAGTAACTACAACTCTATAATAATTACTAATAATTAGATCTAGACTAGATCTAGATAGATCTAGTAAGTTACCTTTTTATCTGTATTTTCATTACTAGAATTTGGACATGTGTTTTTGTCTTGAAAAGCGGGCGCAGCTGATGGTGAATGACGAAAGAATGATGATATTTTTGTTTGAGAAGGCATCGTTTTCAGTGATTTTCGGTATCTTGCTGATAACAATCTTGCAAAGAATAAAAATACCATTTGGTGACGGTGAAGTAAAAAGTCGTCTAGAATCTAGACTTAGAATGTAGATCTTAGATCTGAGCAGTTGAGTAAGGTAAGAGATCTCTTTGTCTTTGATAAGAAGTTATTCTCAATCGCTTCACTAGATCTAGATTTCCTAAATTTTCCTAGGCCTATCTAGAAACCTAATTGAAAATTATAATAATATTTATAAAATATGATTATTAGTCTGTGTGATTAACTTGACTTAGTAGTAGGCTTAGTCTTGGGTCATAACCCGTGGGGCTAGATTCTGGAGTCTAGAGAAAGGCTAGAGTCTAGATCTTGTCTTACTACAACTATCTAGATCTAGAGATCTAGCAGAAATCACATTTCCCGCGAAATCGTTAGCCTACCTAAAGCGGGAGTGATCTCCCCTATGCCATAAACTTTCTCGTATATTTTTAGCGCAATTTCCATACTGGGATTGCGATTATTTATTCGTTATTTCTGGATGGATGGATGAATGAAAGGATGTGTGTCCGCAGCTTTACCGCAGTTTAAGTCATATCTCCTCCTCAACAAAGTAATATCGAGGACTAGTTCCAAAAGCAAATATGTTAAGCAAGTTCCGAGGATGATTGTGGGCCAAAAAAATTCCCGGAATTCCTTCCTGGATTTCCCGGAAAAGTAAAAAAAAACTCGAAAAAAATGCAGTTTTTTGCCCATATCTCGGCAACCAAACCACTTAGCGACTTGAAACATTTACCAATCGATTCCTGCCATAATTTAGAACAATATTGCCGAAGAAAGTTTTCAAAAATATCCTTTCGTTCGGTCACAATTTTTTTAAAAAAATTACATAAACACCTACAAACCGATCGTCCTCCTAGCTTGAACGCACCCCAGCATTATACGTCTTGTGTTTTGTCCCCGTGTGTGCTTTACGCTACGACAGTTCTATTTTTAGATAACATATGGAAATTGCGCTTAAATTGTCACTAGACTTTTTATTAATTTGTTTTTTACAGTATAGGGCTGGTAAGTAGGCCACCGACCAGTTCTATGGCTCATGCAGGTTTTATTGAGCCGTAGAACTGGTTGATGACCTACTTACCAGCCCTGTACAGAAAGTCTTGTAATCGTGTAAAAAAAAATCTAGATTTTTGCAATCTTGACCGTATGTGTGTCTGTGTGTGTGTTGTCTGTAAACACGATAACTTGAGTACCGTTAGAGCTAGGTTGATGAAATTTGATATATAAGTATTATATCAAAATCATAGATCCGTATCAACTTTTGAGCGATTTCCGATAACCAAAAGTGGAACTTTTTCTACTTTCAATTTTTCAAAAGCCTATAACTTGAATACTATTTCAGACAGATAAATGAAATTTCACATGTAAAAGATCTAATTCTCTGCCTTCTGTCAAATTTTGAGTGATTTCCGATTTCTCAAAAAATGCATGTGAATTTATAAAATACTAATAATATTCCGCACTATTATGCACATTTTATTAGGCATTCACTTGGTGTGAAATTATTTTTTTCTACGAGATTTCATTCAATTTATAAAGTTTAAGTATTAAAATGGATTAAAAATCATGTCTATATCTCGAGTTGCCATCCCCTATTGTTTCATATAAGAATATTTGAGAAAATTTAGGGGAGATCACTCCCGGTTTATTATTATAATTATAAATAGAATCGCATTAAAAAAAGGTATTAATAAAGTTTTAAAATGCTAATTAAGCATCTAATAATTTCTAATGAAGTCACATTTTTGTCACAGTTCATTGTCATCGAATCTTGACCTACGTAAAATGTTTAAAAGAAATCGATTTGGTAGAAATTATCTTTTTTTTAAGAAAACGGAAATAATGTACATTTTGCCAAATAGCGTGAATTTGTGCACACCTTATTTATTAGGTATGTTGTCACCCCAATCTGGTCATTGATTGACAAATCAGTTATTGAAAATATTCAACTAAAATTTTTTTTTTCTCTGTAAATTTTGCAGCTGGTGTCATTCCCCCCCCCCCCCCCCGAGTTATAGCTTTAATGTTCACAGTTAATAGTAAAGTTGTTTATGTATAGTTTGTTATTAATACAACTGGATGTAGCATTGTTTTCTCTATAGTTAGAAGGTTTATGTCACGGTGTCACCCGGGTGTGGTATGCCCGTCCCCCCCCCCAACTTGCGACGCCTCTGTATGTGTGTGTGTGTGTGTGCGTGTATATATATATATATATATATATATATATATATATATATATATATATATATATATATATATATATATATATATATATATATATATATATATATATATATATATATATATATATATATATATATATATATATATATATATTAGGGTATCCTTTGTGATTATGGAAGAATAAAAATTCAAGGACAAGTGTCATATCATTTTATTCTACAGTGACATTTTTTGTGTCGGGGTAAGGTCCTGAGTGGCGAGGTAATTGACAGTGAGAGAGGTTAAATATGGCTTTTTGGCAAGAACATTAGCTACGGAACTCCCCGCAAATACCCTGTCAGAAACAGCTGGACACAATCCACTAGATACAAATTTATTATTTAAGTTTTTCTTCTCATTCCAAGGAAGAACTTAAAAATTGTTTTATGTCTATAAATTTAATATTTAAACATACTTTTAATAAACTTTCAAATAGATTAGTTGAGGGCTGATCTTTAGGATTGGTATGTGTTTTTTTTTAACTTTTATTTCCTAATGTTCAAGAACAATATTTTTTTCTGCCTATTAATTCAATTAGCTAGCATGAATATTGAACAGTACATGTGGATTTAATTAAAACTCAACAAGATTAATCTGTTCAAGTTCAATGTTTTTAGATGAAAGTAAATTTATTAATAGTAACTGCTAACCTATTTTTATAAATGAAAAGGAATACTATTTACTGCTTTTTATTACTTAAAGGTAATACAAGATTTTTAAGAGAGAATGTACCATAGCAAAAAAAAAAATCATCCCAAAAGTAAAAAAACAAATATTTTTAAATTAAAAGAATTATTAACCTTTTCTTGGTTTTACAAATTAAAAAAATCTAAAAATAAATATTTTAAAAATTCACTGAAAGAGTTTTACATATGACGAGCTTAATTAAATTAAGCCATTTACTCCTATTACTTCAAATTGATCTTTACTGTTATGTGTTTTATAAATAGTTTTGACAAGTTAGGACTTGCATTGCTGATTTGTTTGAAGATCAAGAATTCAATCATTCAAGTGCAATTAGTATTTTGGTCAATTTGATCTTATGTAATAATAAATAGTTATTTATGTACATCAGACAGTCAAGATCAAATATCTTGTATAGAACTAATATTATTTTTTTTTTCTTAAATAAAATGTATGCTAATATCATTCAACAGTAAAAAAATTTAAAGACAAATTTACAAAACCATTTTAGAAATAAATCACCCTCACATACAAATTAGAAGACAAATTTACAAAACCATTTTAGAAATAAATCGCCCTCACATACAAATTATTATTACAAATATTTAAAAAAACAAGCCATGAACTAATTATTATGAATTCACTTGTAAGAATATAATTTTTAATTGTAAAACAAAACAAGGAAAAAAACGGTTTTAAACTGTTCAAAAATGAACTTAGGAGTTTTCCACAAATCACTCCCAAACTTTAGTGAGGATGCTTGAAATTGGGAAAGGGATGAGTTTCACTTTTTAAAAGACTGGTTGTAAATTTGCTTTTTTGTTTTGATTTGGGCAAGTAAAGACATTTTTTTAAACCATGACGTTGTTTGTGGATGACCCCATAGACCAACTGCTCTTTCTTTATAGGTAGAAAAGTAAGAAAAAGTGATCAAGAAAGTTTTTAAGGCAGTTGTCAGGAAAATGATCCAATTCATGGGTGAAGTTAGAGTGTGAGTAGGGTGGGGGCTTTAATTTTTTTGGAAAAAAATAACCTGACCTATCAAAAGTTAACAAATATTTGTAATTTTAATATCAAATATAAATAAAATGTTTTGTTTTGTGTGACTATGTGCAGATCTCAGGAAGGATATGGGGCCTTAGCCTACTCTCCCACATGTATTATATCTCCAGCAACTCCCCCCTCCCCCACCAAAAGCTGGATTCTGCCTGTATATATTCTCTACACAAGAGATATAATAGCTCAAAATGATATGTGAAAACAGCCTCAAACCCTAGTGGCCTACTTTTTTTCTCAAACCCTAAGACTAGTGGCCTAATTTTTCTTCTGTCTAATACAAATTAAGGTTTTCTTAAAGATATTTTCTTCGCTTGTATAAAAGCATATGCACAACAAAGATTTTATAACACAGGAAACAAAAAATAAAACTTCAACTAATAAAAAGCCTTCAATAGAATACTGTTAAATGTACACATATTTATGTTTTAGAGTAAGTTTTAGAGGGTAACTTGTATTTTTAGGGTGATAACTACTTGGAACCTGGAGTATACTGAGACTTTTGCAGGCAGAAAAATCTGTTTACATGATTTGACATGTTATTTTCTTTAGTACAGTATGTAAATACAACATACAGTGTGTAACAACATATTGTTTGTGTGTAAATATAACATCTGAGTGTGTTTAAATACATCTGAGTGTATAAATACCACATTGTGTTTCAAAACTGTTACTGTAGAGCAAAGCTAAGTTTAAACAGGAAAAGAATCGTAACTTAATTTGTCTTAAAATAATATTTCAAATTTAAACAAGTCATCAATATATTGCTTATATATATCACCAGATTTGAGATTTCAAGTTTAGATCACAATTGATAAGCCAAAGGTAAGGATCACAATCCAAAGGTAAGGATCACAATCCAAAGGTAAGGATCACAAGCCAAAGGTAAGGATCACAAGCCAAAGGTAAGGATCACAAGCCAAAGGTAAGGATCACAAGCCAAAGGTAAGGATCACAAGCCAAAGGTAAGGATCACAAGCCAAAGGTAAGGATCACAAGCCAAAGGTAAGGATCACAAGCCAAAGGTAAGGATCACAAGCCAAAGGTAAGGATCACAAGCCAAAGGTAAGGATCACAAGCCAAAGGTAAGGATCACAAGCCAAAGGTAAGGATCACAAGCCAAAGGTAAGGATCACAAGCCAAAGGTAAGGATCACAAGCCAAAGGTATGAATAACTATGAACAGAGTGGCTGCGGGCGCAGTTTAAATGAAGGCCAGCGACACATAGGGCAAAAATGTTTTTCTCTGTTGAGCCACGAGATGATGCAGGTCTCATGGAAGACATGCGCACAGGGCAGGCCACACAGGACAGTGTTGGGAGCAAACTCATCCAGGCAGATGACACACTGGTGAGTCAGCAGGAAGCCAGGGGGGAAGCCATACGTTGCTGTAGAGAATGGAATGGTTAATGTGTCCGGGGCTGACTTGGTCTGGGTAGGTGTCGCACCTGGCTCAAGTTTGTTAGGGTCCGCAGACACAGAAGGGGTGGTGTGTGATGAACAATGGGCCTGACCCCTCCACTCTGATTTCCCATGACCGTTGTGTTGAGGTAACCTTTCATTAGAGCAAGTTTGTATGCCACTTTCCTGTAGAGTCAAATGGTCTTTAGGAAGGTCAGCTGAGTAAGGAAGTGCTGTAGAAACTCTACTGTAGGGTTTCTGTGCCCCTCCTGCTGACCCCTTGTTTGGAGCTGTAGGGCAGCAATCCTCCGCAGCAAGGCATGGCTTGTGTGTGTCATCTGGTAGTTGGATGTTTGCTGCCACCAGGTCTGCCATCAAGGCAGGGCGGTACGGCCAGGTCTGCAGGTACTTGATATACTCTGACGACACTGGAGGCTGCAGCCAAAGTGAAGGCTGAGACAACTGGGAGCCAAAAATATCCAACCCACCCATAAAGTCATAGCCACGTAACCTCATAGGCTCAAGGAAATCATTAGGGCGGAGGTACGTTAGAGTTCTCATTTGGGTAAAATTGAACCAGTCATCTTCTTCCTCTTCTGCTCTGTATTTTCTGCACAAGATAGTGACAACTACCAAATACAGCATAAAGGTTGTGTATACAATATGGGGATGACTAACAAAGAAATTATAATCCCCTCTTAGAAGAGTTCCTAAAGATGAAGTGCTAAAGAGACGTTCAAGTTTGAGTGCCACCATAGGCACTCTATCCAAATAAGGCATCTGGAATAAGCCAATGAGAGGGAGCCACAGCATGATGACCACTATATTATACTTAAACATGCACCAAATCAACTTGCCAAACCTCTTACAACAGCTGCAGTTACAAACAAACAGTTCAAACCATGACATCACATTGGCCACACAAAAGCTGACAATAAACACGTCGTTCAGACAGGGATACAGAAATTTGAGAAACTGCTCCATGCTGATGAAAGAATACTGTTCTCCAAATTCACCTCCATATCTGTAGGCTTTCTCTGCACAGTAAATCACATATGCTGGCAGTTTGTCAATTTTTTCTTCTCTTAATGCATGTTTCCACTGATCATGGATTTCATCATTGGGGAGGCTAACGATCCCAAATTTGACGCGGCCTGGAAATTTAACAGTGAGCGCTGAGTAAAAGAGAGGAGCAGATCTGGCCCGGGTAAATAAAACAGCTCGGACTTGAGGCTCTAGCGTGTTGCTGGAGAAGTTCTTCCACTGGCCCTCAAACATGGACGGGTGCAGCAGCTGCACTACCTTCTCATCCAGTTTGTCACGCAGCCAGCCTAGCAGAGCACTCTCTTTGACTGAGCCAGAGTAGTTGTACATTGCCACATTGGCTTTCTTTTCAAACTGACTGGGCAGTGCCAGGAGTAAAAATGGAGAGTGCCATCCCTTCAGGTTGCAATATCTAAAAAAATATTTTAATATATTAATTATGTAATCAATGGCAAAAAAATCTGTAAAATCTCCAAAAAGTGACTACTTAATTAACTGCAATAAAATTTTGGTAAATTTAAAAGTATTTTTATTGTGGGTCGTCTTCATACTACTCATCCTCCTTGAAATGTGTGATAAAATGAGGTTGCATTTTAAAAAGTAATGTTAGAAACTGGACTTACAGGATTAATTTGCATTTTCAAAAGATACATTTTTAGTAAATGGTAAAACAAATTGATGCATATATGGTGACAGAGCTAAGTAAATATTTTGGAAGGAAATTTTTAATAAACAAGAGCTAAACTCTTGAGGGATATGAGTTATGTTATTTTAGGTGGGCAAGGGTTCTAACTTTTTTGAGACCATGATGGGAAGGGGAGTTGCAACTCTTTAGTCAGTCAACATATTAAATATTAATTAAGAGAGAACGAATGACTATAAATTATGAACAATATTAAACGGTGACTTCCAACCCAAACTTAACAATACTCCCTTTAAAATTTTTAGGTGACTTTCAACCCAAACTTAACAATACTCCATTTAAAAATTAACTTCAATGAGGTAAAAACATAATACAATAAGATGTCCAGCTTAAACATCAAGTTTGGAGAACACTTTCATTATTAGAGATTTACAAGACTAGTTTCTGAAACCATAGATCTCATGGGTCAAGCAGGAACTGACCCCTGGTCTAGTGATCAGATAAATTGATCTCATGGGTCAAGCAGGAACTGACCCCTGGTCTAGTGATCAGATAAATTGATCTCATGGGTCAAGCAGGAACTGGTCTAGTGATCAGATAAATTGATCTCATGGGTCAAGCAGGAACTGACCCCTGGTCTAGTGATCAGATAAATTGATCTCATGGGTCAAGCAGGAACTGGTCTAGTGATCAGATAAATTGATCTCATGGGTCAAGCAGGAACTGACCCCTGGTCTAGTGATCAGATAAATTGATCTCATGGGTCAAGCAGGAACTGGTCTAGTGATCAGATAAATTGATCTCATGGGTCAAGCAGGAACTGACCCCTGGTCTAGTGAGCTGATAAATTGATCTCATGGGTCAAGCAGGAACTGGTCTAGTGATCAGATAAATTGATCTCATGGGTCAAGCAGGAACTGACCCCTGGTCTAGTGAGCTGATAAATTGATCTCATGGGTCAAGCAGGAACTGACCCCTGGTCTAGTGATTAGATAAATTGATCTCATGGGTCAAGCAGGAACTGACCCCTGGTCTAGTGATCAGGTAAATTGATCTCATGGGTCAAGCAGGAACTTACCCCTGGTCTAGTGAACAGTCCAGCAGTCCAGTTCGAACACCAAACTTGGAAACTTTGAGACGAATTGTTTTCCACCGGTCCTCACTGATGACTGGGTGGTGATTAGCATGAGAGACTATCTGAACCAGCCAAACACTGTCTTTAGCATCCTCTACCTGGACACCACAAGACATACACATGATAGCATTCAATACTTTTTACACACCACAAGACATACACATGATAGCATTCAATGGTTCAGTGTGATCATTCTAGTCAGGGTAGAGTGGTTCAGTGTGATCATTCTAGTCAGGGTAGAGTGGTTCAGTGTGATTATTCTACAGTCAGGGTAGAGCTGTTCAGTGTGATCATTCTAGTCAGGGTAGAGTGGTTCAGTGTGATAATGTCTAAAAGTTGTTCTTACTTGCTCTATGAAATGAGAACCTGAAGTGAAATTTGTGTCTGTAGACAGAGTCCTATCTTCCTGGGCTAACTCGGCTTCCTCAGCACTCACTTGTCCTGTAGAGAGTGGATATCTCATTCAAAGATTCAGTTAAACTGTTTGGACTACACATCTGATATTCTTTCATGATTGTACTCTTACATTCAGAACAATAAAATTATTTATTTATCTTAATATTTAGGCTTACCTTTTCTCCCACATTAAAAAATAGTTATTCCAAGTACTTTTTCAACTCAAAAGTAAAATATCTTATTGACATGGTGGGACAACTTTTACAAAAATGCCAATCAAAGATGCATGTTAAATAATAGTTTAACCACTGTAGCTAGCAAAAATACTAGCAATAAAGTTTGCTAATAAAATACCTCACCATTCTTGTTAAGCAATAAAAATAAATACCTGAGGCTTCCACAAGGGAAGAAAGTTCTGATTTCTCTAAAACACCCTCATAGCTGACACCCCTCTGTTCAAGAAGTGCCTTCAGCTTAGCCACAGAGAGAAGCATGGGGTCCAGAAACTGCCTTGAGAGTGTCCCACTCAACTCACACCAAGAAATGGCATCAAGTACCCGAGAAAGAATGAAAAGCAAAGTGATATAAATCAGGAGCAAACACAATTTCAGCCACATTTCTATTCAGAATTATGCCTGCTTTACAATGTGAGAAGTGAAAAACAGAAAAGATCCGAGAATGTCATGTAGCAGTAGGGCAAACACCTGAAATTAAAAAAAAATAAAAAATTATTGAATCATTCTGATAAGAATAGGTGTCTAATAAATAAGAAATGGATCTAGTTTTTTGAGTGAAAGAATTGTGCAGCACTTCAATTCCTTGGAGAAATTATGTGCTGCAAAAGTGTTGGTCAAAAAACGTATTTACAATATTTCTGGAACAACTAACACTTTGATTTTTACTATTAGGTTTTGTTACTACTGCTAATTAGTAGAAGTTAGGCCTAAAAGTCATGAAAGAAAATAAAAGTCTAGTTTAAAAAATAGCCATGCCCAAGGTATAGCAATAGAATAGAAAGACTACTTTGGAGAGACTGTGATGGACACTAACCCAAATAAATGTGGGTAATCATGTTAAAATTTAAACAGCAGTGTTTGCGATCAAGGTTTGCTATACAAACAGCTGCCATCAGTAAATTAGAGTGGTTTCCCTTGAATCTCTAACTATAATTTTACTAAAAAACTTAAGATGGCTGCTTAGTAAATGAGCTTGGTAGCATCTGATGAAAACGTCGCTAGGCCTAATCTTTATATATTACTGGAATGTTTTAATAAATTTGCTTAAAAACATGTACATGAATGAAACTTTCAAACATTTTCATAACTTTCAAAACATAAATCCTCCTATAAATGAGAAATGATTATTAAAATTTAATGAGTCACTTCTTTTTTCACATTACTAATCACTGCCAATTTTACATACCTAAACCGATAGATTACCTAAATATTCTAAATAATTAAATTTGATATAGATTCTATCATTCATAATCATAACATTAACATGAGAGTAAGTCTTTTTCTTTTATTATTATTTATTCATCTAGATCTTGGAATCTAGGCCTAATAAGTAAACTTTAGCAAGATCTAAAAATTAGTTAAATAAATTACTTTGTTAAATTACTTGACATTAGGTAGAGTACTCAAAGTACTGGAGTCCTAGATTTCTTCTACACTCTTGCTGCATGTGCATCAGGCATCATTAGTCATTAGTAACGTGAATCACACTGTCTGTGAATTATTATGAATATGTGATTTTGAGTGGTGATCGGTGATACGTTTCACGTTTGCGAAAATTCATAATTTACTGTCGAAAATGTAGCTTACTGCTTTGTTGTATCTAGTCTACATGTAGTAGTATTAGCACGGTGTGTTTAGATTCTATATCTGTAGATCTAAATCTAGAACTGTGTTATATTGTATTGTTATGATTCTTTTGATGGACTTCGACGTCGACCTACCCAGACGGAAGTGATTGTTTACATCTAGATCATGTGACCAAACAAGGGCTTATCACTATAAAAGACATAGGGCCTAGGCCTACATCTAAAATCTAAATTATATCTACATCCTTGCCGACTGGACTAGAGAAGCTGGTTTATTTTATTTTGTTATGTTTTAATACTCATGTTAATTTGAAAATAAAAGTAGCTCATTGGCCATTTTAAAGAGATACTTGTTGTTATTATAGTTTACTACGTTTTGTTTGTTGGCTGAGTTGCCATATTGACAAATTACTTCCCTAGTTGAATAATTTTTTTAGCAACACTTGCCGGTATACATTTTCAAATATATATATATATATGTTACGGTCAAAGCCCGAAGTGCGGCCAAAGCGCGGATTGGCCGGCCAATGCGCGCATTGACCGGCTCTCTTGGCCAAAGCCCGAAGAACTTAGCACTAAGATCGTATTTCGTACATTGGCCGGCCTATGCGCGCACTGGCCGGGATGTCTTGGCCAATGTTCTAACTAGACTAAGTTGTGATCGCGTTTTCATTATTCTGGGTGCGGTTTCATTGTGAGCAACGTATTGTTTAGCTCTTGTTTGTATAGCACTCTATATGCAAGGCGACTAAACAAATATGATGTTATTGTAGTTGACGGTAAAAAAAAAACTTATTGTATCACTAAAAGAAGACAATGGTGCTATTTTGTACCACGTGCACTCGGAAGAGTTATTCGACTTGATCAATGAAACTCACATGGAGGTCGCACACGGATGGAAAAAGAGCTGAAAAGAAAGTACAAAAATATCACCAAAGAATGTACGCATCCGTGTTCCAGATGTTGACAGAGGTCGCGGTGATCCCCGAAGCGTGATTGCAGTTGTTCTAAAACAACTGTATGCTAGAAGTGAGTTTTCAATTCTTCACGAAAAACTGCTCTTATTGTCGGCAGTTGGTACTAAGGAAAAATCACTACGAACCATCGCATCTTCACAATCATTGACTGGGGGCCAAAGCTACACTCGCTGCAATTGCACAACCAAGTGCACAACAAATCGCTGCAAGTGTAAAAATAACAAGCTACTATGTAATTCTAAATTCCATAAAAGTTCCACTTGTTGTAACAAATGATAATATTGATTGATTGGGACAATAGTACAATAAAAAATTTGAATGTTTCTGTCATTTACTTTAATTAATAATCAATAAACACTTAATTTCATGATCCTTACGGCATAAAAAAAAACAAAATCTGCTCATGATCTTCTAATTCGGACTTTGGCCGATCCACCATGGCCAGTCCGCCGAAATCAAGCAAAGTTTCGGACTTTGACCGGTTAATGGAAGGCGATATTGGCCAATGCGCGCATTGGCCGGCAAATCCGCGCATTATATATATATATATATATATATATATATATATATAGGCCTATATATAATGTTAATGTCATAAGGTAATGTTACCACCAGAGTATAAACAACTTTTTAGGGTATGAGGCTGGATCGCGGTCCATTTGTTGTTTATGTCCATAGGTTATTTTAGTGAGTGTTATTACAGTTAATATAGAGCTATTACTGCTATAGTGGATCTATTTGATTTTTACATAACAACTTATAATTATTTCGAAATTAAAATGCAATTGCTTTTTTTTGTCGGAATTCGGTCCCCCTAACCGGTGTGTGTGCCCCTCCTCTGCATTGCCGGGTCTGGCGTTATTGTAGTTCCGCCCCTGGACACACGGCGACGAGAAATGGGACCAGGGCAGCATCAGGCAAATGGGAACTGAACAGCAACATCCTCCAAACATTATGTCTACATTATCTCAGCGATATATCCAACAAAACGATGTTTTTCTTTATTCCCTTAACACTTGACCCACGGGTAACTAAATTAATTTACAACGCTTGGGTAAAAACTCGGTACAACGCACTCACATGTGTACTGAAAATTCTAAATAACGATTACACAACATTTATCCCCTACCTAATTCGAACTTGTGGCGAACGACAAACACCTACAATACAAACTAATAAACTAGGTGATAAATTTTTATTAAAAAAAACAACAAAAAAAACTCAAAACCAGTGCACACAAACAACTTATAAATTATAAGCTATATTAGGTACCCATCAGAGAAAAGTGGACACAAGGCCATCATATGACCTCTATCGAGGGATCCTAACTCGGGACTTAATTATACTTATACCACATAAGTGTTGAAATTTAATTCACCAAAAGAAGAAGGGAAAAAATTATTTGCTACTCGTAATTAGATTTATTAGTATTAATCTTAGATTCTTAAGATAGATTCATTATTGGCTTTACTCTATTTAATTTAAAAAGTTAAGCCTAATGCAGTTAGGCCTACTATAATTGAATATTATTATATTATCCAGTGGCGTCTCATGGGGGGGGGGTCACATATAAGATTTAAGTAACAGTGCTATAATGACAGTAAAAAAAAATTACAGAGGGGTCCATGGGGGGTGTAAACCCCCCTAACCCCCTTGCCTACGCCACTGATATAATCAGTTCATGGAAGATGTTTTTTTAATTACCTAATGATATATTTATCAATTATTAAGAAAAAAAGTGGAAAGCCTACACATTATCTTGTTGAGAATGATAATATTAATAATATTTCTTTTTTTTTTCGGTTTTTATATTTGAATTTACTTAATTATGTAAAAGTAGGCCTAAATTTAGTAAATTATAATTTTTACGCAGATATACTTACTTCAATACTACTACTCTAAAATAAAATAAATTTTAAAAAAAGTTCTGACGCTATAAATATGCATGTAATAAGTTGATAAATAGTTTGCTCAAGTAATATATGTATTTGTGTATGGTTGTCTGGTGAATTTCCTAAATTTTGTTCTGGTAATCTGGGTTTACAAAATAAAAATAGTATCGACGTGGAGGAGTATCTCAGCATAGTCTTAGAAGGAACAGATCTCTAGTTCTATTTTTAAAAATCTAATCTAGAATCGAGATCTAGACGACTAGTCTACAGTTGTTGTTAGATCTATAGACTAGTTCTAGATTAGTTTTAGATGAGCCTACCTATAATAAGTAAAATACTGTTTCATTCAGTGATGTAATCTTGATTGTGTTGAGTGCCAGAAAGGCGAATTTCGGAATTCCGAATTAAGCTGCAAAAGGTAGGCCTAGACAGGCTACATATTAAACATAAAAAAAAAATGAATATCACCATTACTATTATGTTGGGGGGACGGCGTGGCCTAGCGGTAGAGAGTCAGACTGCTGACCCGAGAGTCCGGATTCAAATAAGTGGAACGTCCCTGAGTCGACCCAGCTCTGATGGGTACCTAACTTACTTTGTACTTTAAACTAACTTAACCCAGCATAGTGCTGACCACACTATTCCTTTATTCTCTTCAAAGGCAAGACAATGCAAAAAAAGTAATCCTTTCATGAAAAACAGCAAAAAAATAAAAGTTGTGAATAAAACATAATTATTAATTGTAGGCCCCCCTATCAAGGCATTTGATGGGTTTGAACCTGCCGCATCCAGCACAACAGCCACTTATTATTCCACTCACCCACACAGCTTCATGCTTTACATTAAATTTATTGATAACTATAATATCCCTAATTCTGTAATTCAGGTATTCCCAGTCAACTTAAACTGGCTACAAATACTAAAAATTATAAGTCGCCTATTTAATTTATTAAGCATAGGCTTCTGCTTACCCAATACTACATTCTGGAATTGTGACTCTAGGAATTTCTAATCCAGACTGTAGTTCTAGATCTAGATGTTATTAGCTAGGCTATACTATAGGGCCTATAGATAGAAAAATGAGAATATCAATTACTGGTCTTAGATTATTAAGACAGATTCAATATTGGTCCTACTCTATTGAATTAAAAGTTAAATGCCTTATGCAGTTAGGCCTACTATAAAAAAATTCTCTTTAGTTCTAGTGATCCATTGGGTAGATGACATAAGTGTTCATATGTTTCTTGACCTCGCCATATGAAAGGATAATGTGGTCAGCACTATGCGCAGTCCCCTTAACTTTCCCTAATGTAAGGTAGGTACTCATCAGAGCTGGGTGGACTCAGGGACGTTCTACTGACTTGAACCTTGATTTGAACTTGAGATTTTGCAATTTAGCGCTTTACCGCAAGGCCACACCATCCCATTAGGCCTACTATATGTTAATATTATTATACTAGTTGATTTTGATTAGGCCTAAGATAAGTTGATTTATTTTACTATCCATAATTGCCAGCTACATATTTGTACTTTTATTAGAGCGTATTAATTTAGGCTTATTAGTGATTAATTATTTTCAGTTGTTTGAATTTATTAGTCTACTTTAAAGGATACCTTTTATTATTAATTTCAATATTATAATTAGGTCTGTCAGGCAGTTATGGCTAGTTACATAAGAGGAGTCTCTCAACCATTACCTGTGCGGAGTGATTATAAAAAACTAAAGCAGTCAGATAGACTTGATGGCCACACCTCAAAGACAAATAAAAATTACCACGGCAACATTCCAGCACAAAATGTTAAAGCAGCCAGGGTGTACCTGTTTGGAGATTCAGTTGCGGAAGAAGATGATGACAATGTTGAATATGAAATGAGATCTCGTCATAAAAAAGGTGCCACCTATGACGGAGGTTTATTGCAAGACCAACCACAGTATTTTGAAAAAGAAATAATTGAAGGTGAAACACTTCAGGCCATAGCTCTCAGATATGCCTGCCAGGTACGTCTAATTGTTTTGTTGCCATGGGATTTCAATTCAATTTCAGTAAGGATACTTAAATAGCAGGAGTTTTTCAAACATTAATTTCATTAGAAATTATACCCTTAAAAACTAGATTTATTTCCATTTAGATGTACTGATTTTCTGTGTCTGGCTGAAATTTAAAAAAAAAAAAAAAACCACATTGTGTCAGGCACTCCCAATTTCACATTTTGAGAAATTGAACCAGGAGTGATCTCCCCTATACTTTCTCAAATATTCTTATATAATACTACGGGGATGGCAACTCAGGATATAGACAATATTTTAATCCATTTTTAATTACTTAAACTTTTAAAAATAGAATAGATTCCCGTAGAAAAAAGAATTGCGCACCAGGTGAATGCCAAACAAAATGTGTATTATAGTGCGGAATATTATTAGTACTTTATAAATTCACATCCGTTTTTTTGAGATATCAGAAACAGCATTAATTACTACTTCCGGTTAACGGAAATTACTCAAAATTTGACAAAGGCAGAGAATTAGATCTTTTCCTTACATGTGAAATTTCATTTAACTATCTGAAATAGTACTCAAGTTATAGGCTTTTGAAAAATTGAAAGTAGAAAAAGTTCCACTTCTGGTTATCGGAAATGGCTGAAAAGTTGATACAGATCTACAAATTTGATATAATACTTATTTATGAAATGTCATCAACCTAGTTGTAACAGTACTCAAGTTATTGTGTTTACAGACACACACACAGACATACAGACAAGATTGCAAAACTATGTTTTTCCGACTCAGCGAGGTGTAAAACGTCGAGATTTGATTTTTTTTTCATGATTAATAATACTTTCTCTATACTTTGTATACGAGAGAGTAAAAAAGGTTTTGAAAAATTTAGCCTATAATACCAATTAACCCTTAAAGCACGCGCCACATGGCCTTATGCGCTATAAGTTATGTAACAGCAAAGCCATGATTGTGGCTTGGCGCTTTAAGGGTTAAAAAAACAACTAAATAATTGCTTTTGAAATTATAAATGATATTTGTTATTATTTGATATTAGATCTCAGATCTGTTCATTGAGTTAAAAAGCTGACTTTGATTACATTAAATGTAAATTAAATGTAATTCTTTTGAAACTGAAGAAAAAACCAACTAAAAAAGTAGAATGATTTTCTATACTTTCCTGTTCATTTCAATATTTGTAGAAAATCTGTTAACTTACTCATTTTGTAGCTTGACTGTCCTTCCATTAATACCATACTTTATCTCTTTGCAGGTTTCTGAAATTAAGAGGATTAATAATTTAATCCAAGATCAAGAGTTTTATGGTCTCAAAGTTATTAAAGTCCCTATGACCAGGTTTGGTGTTCTTTCTGAACAGTTTTCCAGAGGAAATAACAGACTCAAGTCAAGCAGATTTCCTTCAAGTGCAAGAGAGAATGAAAATGCTGAAGAAGTGTTTTTGGACAATCACTTTGATGACACTGACTCTCAGCATGACTTTAGTGACCCTGACACACAGCTGAAGATTTTAAGGACTTTGAGCATACGAGAAAACTTTTCAGCCGAGGGGAAAGAAGCAGAAAAATTTCTCAACAAAATGGACGAAGATTTAAAAAAGTTTAAGCAGTCGTCTCACCGGCCGGAGCGTGAATCCTTGACAGAAGTGATCTCAGTATTGACTAACAAAAGCATCCACCCCCTGATGACCAATAGACCTAAGAAATCTAGCGGCGCTGACTGCGGTTTAAGCTGGTGGTCCATCATCATCATCTCTTTAACTGTAACAATCATTTTACCTTCTATAGGCTTGATATACTACTTCTTCTATTATCATTCTCATTCATAGCACAAAATGTCACATCAGTTCATTTTTGCTAGCTTTTTAACATACCAGTACAGCTGAGTTGAGCTTGATCAAATTAGGATAATTTTGTTAAAAATGTCTTACAAATGGTTGATAAACCTTTGGAATTGTTACTGTTACTATGTTTGCAATTCTTGTCAGTTGTCAAAATGTGTATAGTGAGTACTTGCAACCATATGGCCATGTTTCCTAGGGCATTTAAATTTATCTCAAGATGTTTAACATATCCCATTCATGTTCAAATGAACCTGACTATATTCCAGACTCCACGTGGCACCAACATATCTCCAATGGTATTGTCTTTTTATTTCCATTATTTAAAATACATGTAATGACGTACATTATATCTAAGAAGTGACTGGCCTATTAAAGCTAAGAAGGTTGAGGTACTATATAAAGGTAGTCTTTCCTTTAATTTAGATTTAAAACATTTGTTTAGTAAAATATCTGCTGTGTATTTTATTTAAGGTGGTCATATGGTGGATATAATTCTAAGTTAATTTTTTTTAAAAATCAGAATTTGTGTACCTTGGCCTTTATAAAATGTCTAATAATCTTAAGATTATCTTTAATAATCCTGTAAATAAATCAAGTTGTTGATTAGAATCTTCTAAACCCAATGTCTATGTCCTCAGTGAGGACCTTTGACTAGAGTATAAATATAACTTACATCAGTTTTACATGATATATTTTATATACCTAATATTTCCCTAAGAAAATCTCACATATGCATGTAATATTGTGATACATCTTTATTCACATATTCAGCTAATGCAAGTGCCTTCTTTCATGTACACAACCTGAACCAATGTTGAATTATTTTTATCTTTAAAACTGTTTATAAAATCAAGATCTAAATTTGATATTTTAATGATTGTTGATGTTATGATGTGGTGTTATGTTTATGAGGTGGCGCTAATGTAGTATGCCTTTGTGCTATTTTCAAATATGTAACATAGAATGCTGTACTTTTAAAAATGTGTATAGAATATTTGTTATTGTTTCATAGAGGATGGTCTCTTTTGAGTCATCTGTTAAATTGTAAGATATTTTCTTTGCATGGTTCCATGTTTCTTGAGACAAAGACGCTTGTGTGAACAACAGTTTCTTTGTTACAGTGCCATCTCTGGTGTGGTCAGTTGTGGGTACAGTACCATTTGTGGTGTGGTCAGTTGTGGGTGGGTACAGTGCCATCTCTGGTGTGGTCAGTTGTGGGTACAGTGCCATCTCTGGTGTGGTCAGATGTGGGTACCGTGCCATCTCTGGTGTGGTCAGTTGTGGGTACAGTACCATTTGTGGTGTGGTCAGTTGTGGGTACAGTGCCATCTCTGGTGTGGTCAGTTGTGGGTACAGTGCCATCTCTGGTGTGGTCAGTTGTGGGCACAGTGCCATCTCTGGTGTGGTCAGTTGTGGGTACAGTACCATCTCTGGTGTGGTCAGTTGGGGGTGGGTACAGTGCCATCTCTGGTGTGGTCAGTTGTGGGTACAGTGCCATCTCTGGTGTGGTCAGTTGTGGGCACAGTGCCATCTCTGGTGTGGTCAGTTGTGGGTACAGTGCCATCTCTGGTGTGGTCAGTTGTGGGTGGGTACAGTGCCATCTCTGGTGTGGTCAGTTGTGGGTACAGTGCCATCTCTGGTGTGGTCAGTTGTGGGTACAGTACCATCTCTGGTGTGGTCAGATGTGGGTGGGCACAGTGCCATCTCTGGTGTGGTCAGTTGTGGGTGGGTACAGTACCATCTCTGGTGTGGTCAGTTGTGCACACAGTGCCATCTCTGGTGTGGTCAGTTGTGGGTGGGTACAGTGCCATCTCTGGTGTGGGTGGGTACAGTACCATCTCTGGTGTGGTCAGTTGTGGGTGGGTACAGTGCCATCTCTGGTGTGGTCAGTTGTGGGTGGGTACAGTGCCATCTCTGGTGTGGTCAGTTGTGGGTACAGTGCCATATCTGGTGTGGTCAGTTGTGGGTACAGTGCCATCTCTGGTGTGGTCAGTTGTGGGTGGGTACAGTGCCATCTCTGGTGTGGTCAGTTGTGGGTGGGTACAGTGCCATCTCTGGTGTGGTCAGTTGTGGGTGGGTACAGTGCCATCTCTGGTGTGGTCAGTTGTGGGTGGGTACAGTGCCATCTCTGGTGTGGTCAGTTGTGGGTACAGTGCCATCTCTGGTGTGGTCAGTTGTGGGTGGGTACAGTGCCATCTCTGGTGTGGTCAGTTGTGGGTGGGTACAGTGCCATCTCTGGTGTGGTCAGTTGTGGGTACAGTGCCATCTCTGGTGTGGTCAGTTGTGGGTGGGTACAGTGCCATTTCTGGTGTGGTCAGTTGTGGGTGGGTACAGTGCCATCTCTGGTGTGGTCAGATGTGGGTGGGTACAGTGCCATCTCTGGTGTGGTCAGTTGTGGGTGGGTACAGTGCCATCTCTGGTGTGGTCAGTTGTGGGTGGGTACAGTGCCATCTCTGGTGTGGTCAGTTGTGGGTACAGTGCCATCTCTGGTGTGGTCAGTTGTGGGTGGGTACAGTGCCATCTCTGGTGTGGTCAGTTGTGGGTAAGTGCCATCTCTGGTGTGGTCAGTTGTGGGTGGGTACAGTGCCATCTCTGGTGTGGTCAGTTGTGGGTAAGTGCCATCTCTGGTGTGGTCAGTTGTGGGTGGGTACAGTGCCATCTCTGGTGTGGTCAGTTGTGGGTACAGTGCCATCTCTGGTGTGGTCAGTTGTGGGTGGGTACAGTGCCATCTCTGGTGTGGTCAGTTGTGGGTACAGTGCCATCTCTGGTGTGGTCAGTTGTGCACACAGTGCCATCTCTGGTGTGGTCAGTTGTGCACACAGTGCCATCTCTGGTGTGGTCAGTTGTGGGTACAGTGCCATCTCTGGTGTGGTCAGTTGTGGGTGGGTAAGTGCCATCTCTGGTGTGGTCAGTTGTGGGTACAGTGCCATTTCTGGTGTGGTCAGTTGTGGGTGGGTACAGTGCCATCTCTGGTGTGGTCAGTTGTGGGTGGGTAAGTGCCATCTCTGGTGTGGTCAGTTGTGGGTACAGTGCCATTTCTGGTGTGGTCAGTTGTGGGTGGGTACAGTGCCATCTCTGGTGTGGTCAGTTGTGGGTACAGTGCCATCTCTGGTGTGGTCAGTTGTGGGTACAGTGCCATCTCTGGTGTGGTCAGTTGTGGGTGGGTACAGTGCCATCTCTGGTGTGGTCAGTTGTGCACACAGTGCCATCTCTGGTGTGGTCAGTTGTGGGTACAGTGCCATCTCTGGTGTGGTCAGTTGTGCACACAGTGCCATCTCTGGTGTGGTCAGTTGTGGGTGGGTACAGTGCCATCTCTGGTGTGGGTGGGTACAGTGCCATCTCTGGTGTGGTCAGTTGTGGGTACAGTGCCATCTCTGGTGTGGTCAGTTGTGCACACAGTGCCATCTCTGGTGTGGTCAGTTGTGGGTAAATGCCATCTCTGGTGTGGTCAGTTGTGGGTGGGTACAGTGCCATCTCTGGTGTGGTCAGTTGTGCACACAGTGCCATCTCTGGTGTGGTCAGTTGTGGGTGGGTAAGTGCCATCTCTGGTGTGGTCAGTTGTGGGTACATTGCCATCTCTGGTGTGGTCAGTTGTGCACACAGTGCCATCTCTGGTGTGGTCAGTTGTGGGTGGGTACAGTGCCATCTCTGGTGTGGGTGGGTACAGTGCCATCTCTGGTGTGGTCAGTTGTGCACACAGTGCCATCTCTGGTGTGGTCAGTTGTGGGTGGGTACAGTGCCATCTCTGGTGTGGTCAGTTGTGGGTGGGTACAGTGCCATCTCTGGTGTGGTCAGTTGTGGGTACAGTGCCATCTCTGGTGTGGTCAGTTGTGCACACAGTGCCATCTCTGGTGTGGTCAGTTGTGGGTAAATGCCATCTCTGGTGTGGTCAGTTGTGGGTGGGTACAGTGCCATCTCTGGTGTGGTCAGTTGTGCACACAGTGCCATCTCTGGTGTGGTCAGTTGTGGGTGGGTACAGTGCCATCTCTGGTGTGGGTGGGTACAGTGCCATCTCTGGTGTGGTCAGTTGTGCACACAGTGCCATCTCTGGTGTGGTCAGTTGTGGGTGGGTACAGTGCCATCTCTGGTGTGGGTGGGTACAGTGCCATCTCTGGTGTGGTCAGTTGTGGGTACAGTGCCATCTCTGGTGTGGTCAGTTGTGCACACAGTGCCATCTCTGGTGTGGTCAGTTGTGGGTAAATGCCATCTCTGGTGTGGTCAGTTGTGGGTGGGTACAGTGCCATCTCTGGTGTGGTCAGTTGTGCACACAGTGCCATCTCTGGTGTGGTCAGTTGTGGGTGGGTACAGTGCCATCTCTGGTGTGGGTGGGTACAGTGCCATCTCTGGTGTGGTCAGTTGTGGGTACAGTGCCATCTCTGGTGTGGTCAGTTGTGCACACAGTGCCATCTCTGGTGTGGTCAGTTGTGGGTAAATGCCATCTCTGGTGTGGTCAGTTGTGGGTGGGTACAGTGCCATCTCTGGTGTGGTCAGTTGTGGGTACAGTGCCATCTCTGGTGTGGTCAGTTGTGGGTGGGTACAGTGCCATCTCTGGTGTGGTCAGTTGTGGGTACAGTGCCATCTCTGGTGTGGTCAGTTGTGGGTACAGTGCCATCTCTGGTGTGGTCAGTTGTGGGTGGGTACAGTGCCATCTCTGGTGTGGTCAGTTGTGGGTACAGTGCCATCTCTGGTGTGGTCAGTTGTGGGTGGGTAAGTGCCATCTCTGGTGTGGTCAGTTGTGGGTGGGTACAGTGCCATCTCTGGTGTGGTCAGTTGTGGGTACAGTGCCATCTCTGGTGTGGTCAGTTGTGGGTGGGTACAGTGCCATCTCTGGTGTGGTCAGTTGTGGGTACAGTGCCATCTCTGGTGTGGTCAGGTGTGGGTACAGTGCCATCTCTGATGTGGTCAGTTGCGGGTGGGCACTGTGCCATCTCTGGTGTGGTCAGTTGTGGGTACAGTGCCATCTCTGGTGTGGTCAGTTGTGGGTGGGTACAGTGCCATCTCTGGTGTGGTCAGTTGTGGGTACAGTGCCATCTCTGGTGTGGTCAGTTGTGGGTACAGTGCCATCTCTGGTGTGGTCAGTTGTGGGTACAGTGCCATCTCTGGTGTGGTCAGTTGTGGGTACAGTGCCATCTCTGGTGTGGTCAGTTGTGGGTGGGTACAGTGCCATCTCTGGTGTGGTCAGTTGTGGGTACAGTGCCATCTCTGGTGTGGTCAGTTGTGGGTACAGTGCCATCTCTGGTGTGGTCAGTTGTGGGTACAGTGCCATCTCTGGTGTGGTCAGTTGTGGGTACAGTACCATCTCTGGTGTGGTCAGTTGTGGGTGGGTACAGTGCCATCTCTGGTGTGGTCAGTTGTGGGTACAGTGCCATCTCTGGTGTGGTCAGTTGTGGGTACAGTGCCATCTCTGGTGTGGTCAGTTGTGGGTACAGTGCCATCTCTGGTGTGGTCAGTTGTGGGTGGGTACAGTGCCATCTCTGGTGTGGTCAGTTGTGGGTACAGTGCCATCTCTGGTGTGGTCAGTTGTGGGTACAGTGCCATCTCTGGTGTGGTCAGTTGTGGGCACTGTGCCATCTCTGGTGTGGTCAGTTGTGGGTACAGTGCCATCTCTGGTGTGGTCAGTTGTAGGTACAGTGCCATCTCTGGTGTGGTCAGTTGTGGGTGGGCACTGTGCCAAAAGTCATAATAAATGTAGTCTGACATGTTACTATGGTAACACATTCACATAAAGCATGTTCTATCAGAGTGAAATCAGCAGTGGAGGAAGAGCTCATTTTATGGCTTGAAATGTTTCAGCTGGGAAGTGGACTGTTGGTTTAATTGGCCGTTTTTTCTACTCCAATTCTTAATTTGATTGTTGAAGTATACCACCATACTTATTGCATCTGCCCTTTGCCACCAGAGTTAAAAAAAATACAAATCTGTGATTATTTTTCTTATAATTCTCAATTGTTGATTTTTTTCTATTAAATTGTTTATTTAATGTTTAAAATTTTGTTTTGCTATTAATTTATAAAACATAATATTAATTTTTTGGGTGAAATGTTTATTTAGTTGTTTTAAAAATCATGTTTTAAAACTACAATATGCTTTAACAATGAATATTTATTTAAATGAATGATTTGATGTTTAACTATTTCACACATTGTGAGATGTATAAAAAGGGTTGAACACTTCTTCAGGGAATTTTTCACCTTCCATTTCAAGTGGTGTCATGTCATGTGGTGTCATGTCATGTGGTGTTATGAGATTAGATGTAGATTAGTGCACACACCACCGTTGTTGTAGCTAAGAAATAGTTCACAAAAAATGAATACTATGGGTGGTTAAGCCAAAATTTCAAAACTAGTCACTATTTTAATTATGCGCACTTTTGAGTATAACTCAGACTTAAGCTGAGGCGACTTAATATTGGTTTGTTCCCAAGTTCACCTCTTCATCAATTTTAAAACCACTGGCAGCATTTGTTTAAGGCATCTAGTTTTTAAATCCACCTATTTATGGTTTTACTTTGTGACAATTTAAATTAATTATCTTAAGGTGGCCCATCCACATTCATTATGGTTTCATTTTGTAATTGTGAACATTTAAATAAATTACTTATTTCTTACGGTGGTCAAAATGTTTATTGAGATTATTATTGTTAATGGGTTAACTCATTATGTTGGTACAGGAAATAAAAGATGTTTACTTCAGTGTGTTCAGTGCTGGTATATACAGGTTGACATGGGTTTATTAAAACTGTATTTTTTAAGTTAGTTTGGGTTTGAACAAAAACTAGTTTATAGTCAAATCACATAAAGTAGCTTTTATTTCTAAAGTAAAACAACAAAAATGTATTTACAATCAACCAAAACAGATTTCATTT